CCGTACAGAGTTTCGTATGCTCAACGTGTAGAAATTAATAAACAGGTGCAGGAAATGCTTGAGAAGAATATTATACGACCGTCCACTTCGCCATGGGCGTGCCCGGTATTGCTTGTAAAGCGTAAAGGAAGCACGTCGGCTCCGCGCTTCTGTTGCGATTTACGTGGACTGAATGCCGTGACAGGGCGCCCGCTATGGCCCCTACCCCGAGTCGATGACGCCATCTCGTGTTTTGGGTCATCTAAATATTTTAGCAGTCTTGACTTTAACAGTGGTTTTTGGCAGATACGTATGTCTGACAAAGATATTCCTAAAACCTCTTTTGTAACGATGGATGGGCAATACGAGTATCTTCGCATGCCTTTCGGGCTATGCGGAGGCCCGACATTTCCAGCGTGCGATGGATTCAATATTAAGCCACCTGAAGTGGCGGGGTGTCATCTGCTATGTAGATGACGTCCTCATAGGTGGTGAGACCTTTGAGGAACACATTAAGCTACTGGAACAGGTGCTCAAAGCAGTTAGTTCCGCAGGGTTTACGATCTCCCCGAAAAGTGTGAGCTAGGGTTTAGTAAAATTAAATTTTTGGGTCATATTATTAGCCGAGATGGAATTCAACCCGACCCTTCGAAAATAAGTGCCATCGCTACGTTTCCTACACCGAAAACGCCCAGAGATATTAAATCTTTTGTTGGTGCGCTTAGCTACTACAGACAGTTTATCAATGGGTTTTCAACATTAGCTGCTCCACTGCTCAAATTAACTCGAAAAGATGTACCTTTCCGTTGGTCAGATGAGGAACAAAACGCTTTCAAAAGCCTGAAAACGTGCCTAACAACCGCACCGATATTAAAACCTTTTGATCATACATTACCTACTCAAATTAAAACGGACGCTTCTGGACTAGGCGTCGGCGCCATACTGGAATAACAACATGCCGACGGTTGGCATGTCGTTGCATACTCTTCAAAAATGTTGGACAAACATCAACGTAATTATATGACGTCCGAAAAGGAACTGTACGCAATTGTCTTCGCAATAAAGAAGTTTAAACACTACTTGGAGGAAAGCACTTCGTAGTTATTTCCGACCACTTTCCATTACAATTTTTACTAAATCTCAAAGAACCACAAGGTCGTCTAAACCGATGGAGTCTCTTGCTGCAAGAATACGATTTTAAAGTGCAGTACCGGAAAGGCCGTCTGCATCAAGACGCAGACCTTTTGAGCCGGTACCCCCATGAGCAAGCTGATATTAATGCAGACGACTGTGAAATACCCGTGTACGCAATATTACCGGACCAAAGTCGTGACACTTTGATCGCCGAACAGTCCGCAGATGAATTTATTTCAAAAATTAAGCTACTTGTATCAGATGACACACAGTATCTGGAAGCGACAAGAAATCTTCAACGATTATCAGATACATTTCGTCTAATGGATGGTATATTATACAAGTTCAGGCTTCGTAAAGGTAAAAGAATATTACTTGTTTGCATACCGGCCAGTATGCGAGTCGAGATTTTGTACGCTTGCCATGATTCCCCTCTTTCCGCTCATGTTGGGTTCACCCGCACTTGGCATGCTGTGTCATCCCGTTACTACTGGCCGAAAATGTTGCATTACATTAAAAATTAAGTTAATGCGTGTGAAGCCTGTCAGAAACGTCACAGCGTAAACATTACCCCGACCGGATACTTGCAGCAAATTAAACAGTATGGTATTTTGGAGTCGTGGTCGTTCGACCACGTTGGTCCCTTTCATGCGTCGCCGGACAATGCAAAATACATTATTGTAGCAGTTGAGAATGTTTCTCGTTACGTCGTCACCAAAGTCGATAAGTCTACCGGCATGGAAGAGACAGCTCAGTTCTTTATCAACAATATTATATTGTCCTTCGGTCCGCCGCTGCACATCACTTCTGATCGTGGTGTTGCATATACCAGCAAAATTATTCGCAAAATTAATGAAGTTTTACAAATTGACCATCAGTATACAACTGCATTTCACCCGCAGTCGAACACGTTAGCAGAGCGTTTCATGCGATTTCTTGGAGAAAAATTAACTATGTACGTTAATTCCGAACAGAATAACTGGGCACAGTACATACCGTATATTACGTATGCTTACAATAATACGAAACACTCAACTACTCTGCATACGCCATATTATTTGTTGTTCGGTGTTGAAACACGATTGCCTCTTGATACTATCTACGGGAATATTAATTCGGCTAACTCTAATGAAGTTACGATAAAAACGTACATCGAACAAATGCGACAGAAATGGCATCATGCAGTGGAATTCGCTAAAACACTCACTGACATTACGCACGAAAGGAATAGTGAAAACTACGACCAAAATAAAGTCGGTATTCCGTTCAGTGTTGGAGATTCAGTTTACGTAAAAGATGAACTACGAGTTGTTGGTCACACAGAAAAATTAACTAATAAGTTTAAAGGTCCATACATTATTACGAACGTTTTCGACAATGGTAACGTTGAGGTCAAGCTACACCAGGCAAAATCAAAACGTAAACTTATTGATGTTGTTCACGTTTCCAAATTAAAGTCATACAAACATTACGATGCCGACGTTCTAGCTAGCCGGAATGCATTTTTACAGAAACTACGACCTCGAGATGTAAAGACAACTGGCGATGCGTAATCGTACATTAAATTAATTAAACTACTACGAGTACAGTACATACTCGTATTAAACCTTGATATTAGATTAACTGTGTTTCAGCGTTGATTTTGCCTATACATTACAATGTTGCAGTTTCCCTTATTCGTAGATGTAAATTACGAAGACGTGCGCATTCTAACCGGCAGTAGTTTAACTGATGCGCATTAAATTAATACAGTATACATTATGTAGACATGGACGTTGACGAGAGCACCGGCACCGGCATGGACACCAGTGACCAGCAGCCGCAACAGCTATCAGCACCGTCCAGCTCTGTTCCGGCTACCGAACCCGAACTCGTAACGCATGCGGACTACAACGATCCGCTATTTCAGGAAGACACTTCGAATATTAACCCGTCCACCACTCGTGAACCACTGCTGAACGCTCCCACAGAAGAGAAGGATGAACTACCGTACAATGGTCAGAGCTTACAGTACAACAGTGCTCGTCGTGGTAGTCATCGCAATGGTCGTAACAATTATGGAAACATTAATCGTGGTGATCGTCGTCAGCGCAACTACCCGGCTGTTGACCCAGCAACTGAAAACATTCGTTACATTAACCGCGGCATTCGCCAAACCGCTGAACTTGCCACGTACCAGGAATTCAACCCTTACATCGGGTTCCATAACAAAACACCACGTGAACATTATCGTCGGCACATGGATAACATTGACATTGCCGTTGCGCGTGCTGCTGGAGACATTAACACTACTACCGATCCCACAGAACGTAAAATTAAGCTCGCCCAGAAGCAGGTTTTGTTTCAACACGTACACCTTTCTCGATCGCCTACGCACGAATCAAGAAAACGCAGACACCGACAAATTCTGTTCGTTTCCGGTTCCGATGGACACCGTCCTTAGTCCACATTACTTCCAAAGCTGGCGTTTTGATCGTTTCTCGCGCTCTCCCTGGATCTGCTATCAGGGAGATGATGGAAAGTGGTTGTACGAACACCGTACTGGCTTCGTTTACCGTTACATTAACAATGGACAGCGTCAAGGATTTGAACAAGTCGAACAGTACCCGAAGTACTTTAACCCGTACCGATACTTTACCGTAGATGCGCCATTCATGCCTGCAGAAATTAACTGGGATGGTGCATTCACTGATGAAATTCGTGCTGCCAAAATTAAATCGCTCCGCGAGTACGATGCGCAGCTGGCCGCCACGGCTGCAGTGCCAGCGTATAACCAGAAATTACCGGTTGTCGAAATGCCGGATATGCCTGTTGGTTTGAACATTAACCGGGACGTAGCTTCCATCATGACCGCATTAGGCATTCGTGGTTATGCTACACATGACATTAAACCGCAGTCTTCGACTACCGTGAGGGACAAAGACAGCCAGATCCAGGACCTACGCCAGCAGATTGACCAGCTCCGTAACCAGATGGATCGTATGCGTGATGCCGACCAGCGCACCTACCGGAAATGACGGAACAACAGCGGACACCGCCTGATGAATCCTAACCGTTGGATGGACACCACAAGTGGATCCACCATGTTCGTTTAATGGACTGCATTTAATCAAGTATTTTTCTAATTTTCTTTTCATTTCTGATGTTGTTTTATTTTGTTTGTTTAATCAGCATCTTGATGAGACAAGTGTATCTCATCGCTACCGTGAGGGATGTAGCGATAGAATTTGTACAACGTGTAAGACCACCAGTTTCGAATAGTAATGGTCATTTAACATCAATGATTGGTTGTTGTTTTACTGCATTATGATTCATAACGTCTGATAACGATTCTTCACATTTCTATGGATTTTTACCGGCCTTCTCTCAATGTCTAGAATTCTCACTTTAGTCTTGGAACGCTTGGTTCTCTTGCCGCTACTCTTGCCTGAATTCTTGCTGATTCTCTTGCAATAAGAAACCTTGCTATGTGTTGCGTTTGCGTTGCTCCGTTTGACCGCTTGGGATGAATCGTCTCATCCCAACCGGTGCCTGCTAAGTAATTGCTGAGTCCACATCCGGCCGCACCGCAGACGGCCGTACCAACCTTACATTACATAACAGCCGCTTAATCGTGGTAAAGGTTGATCACCGCTCCACTAGAACAGTAGCCAGATAGGCGACTGTTGCAATATCGGTATTCGCTATTTCGACGTGCCATACCATGTAGGGGCTGTACAATTGCTTTGAGTTTGCTTTGTTAATTAGAATAGTTACAATCAATACAATGGCTGCCAATATTGATAAAATATTAAAATTGCAAAAAGAGTCTGTACTAACATTTTCAGTACTGTTCATAATGGTAATTCACGCCATTTGCTGCAAATACAGTACGTCTACAGTATGAGTATTTTTCGAAACTTTACTATACCATTCCCAGATTGCAGCTTGAACCGTGATATGTCCAAAAACACCGCAGTTCTTATAGTCGTAGCAATTTTACGAAACAGCTCTCAATTAAGGTGACGAGTCGTCTTAAAACAACGCACACAGTGACACAGAATCCAGCATTCCCCGATTCATACAGCAAACAGGATAAAAAAATAACCACAGCACATACCGGTTACCGTACCAATTACAATATGTGTTTTTACGATAGACGGTAGATACAATTTTCCACACCACACAGGCATACCATTACAGGTTGTGGATGACGATATGCACGCCCTGAACGTACTGGCGCTGACGAACTGCTTCCAGTTTTTACGGCCTGCTGCTGCTGGCCGCCACCGCAGTTGGCTGTATTGTTGTTTCTCTGACCGGAGTAGATGTCTCGATCGGCCTGGGTTCCGTCCCCCTTGTCTTGAGCGTTATGTCCTGGTCCCGGGGGCTTCTGGGTCAGATTGCACTGATTTGTTTGGTTGGCGTTTCCGGCAGAATCCATTGTACTATTAAACAGCAAATTACTGTAAACAGTAAATTACAGCAAATTAGCCTTGATACAGACTCGATACTACCGAATATGTCACAGGACTCGTTAATAAGCATAGCGTAGCGCAAAGCAGCGAAACACAAGATTGTAAAGAAGGCAGCGTCAGTCCCATATTCAAAAATCTCTGAAGCGTATATTGGTCGTTAGGACCGCTAATAGATCAAAAAGTACAACAGCCGGGTTGCTGAAATTGGAATATTTGCGAGCAAAGCAAGGCAACAAACGAGCGCAAACGAAACCTTGTTACAGAATAATTCGTACGATTTTACGCCATACAAATGCAGGGTAAAAAAAATTCGGTATTACGTATCAACTTCAACACATTTACAGTAGACGGTAGTAAAAGTATATCTTCGGTTAGTGTAGGATTGTAACCGATTTTTAACCGTTGCAAGAATTCAACGCATTTAAAGAAAATCACTCATCTCCATCGAAAGTTTGCTTGCTGTTCTAAAATTAATGAAAGTAGCGAAACTGCAAACCATGGAAGAGTTATTTGCTGTCCTTACGACGAACCTGTTTGTTATAGTAATTTCGCAGGTGTCCAACGAAAACGAGGCAAATCAGTAAAGGTGAATTGTAATAAAGCCTAAGGTTGTGGAGTCGATGGTTATAAAACGGCAGCCATATAAAACGCCAAATTAAATTTTGTTCTGGTAAGAGCTGGACCACGCTGCCACGGCAGCCGCTTCATATAGTTAGGCCGATGGCAGACAGGCCGAGCGCCGATCCAATGTGGCGAGGAGGAATGGAGGATGGACGCAACGCGGTGATTGGTGTTTTTTGTATACGTGATGCACAGCGGTCACCGTGCCGACGAAAGGAAAGCAGCCGGCGAAAGCAAAATGACAAATGTCTGAGTCGTTCATGACTTCATGCAACGTGCCCTATCTCGATTGCTGCAGATCTACGGTCTACTTAGAAAACAAGCGTTCCTGGATACGCCAATATTTGCATTCTTTTGAAGAGCCATTGCAAGCGCCAGTTTGTGCAGTCAACTGAAGAGCACCCAGTAAAAGCAGAAAACTAATTCCTTTCAAAACAGCTACTGAATAAACATGGTCACGTAAGCCTTAAATATATGGTACCGATTTGATCACATACACTTGTTTAAATAGAGATTTACATACAAAAGCTTATAATAACGTATGGTATATAGTACAGCACTTATCTGAATAAGTGAAGTCGGTTAGACTATAATAAATACGAAGTGAGGTATGGTGATTATAGTTTACGGCTTGAATGCGGAAATTCTGCGACCAAATTTTTAAGTACAGTACTTACACGTTTCTCATTCGCAGAGAATTTTAGGGTAGTGGTTTTAATTCTAGTGTACCATCTTAATGATCATACCTTAAAATCCGAAATTTACGTTTTAAACGCCCCTTCCCGCAGATCACGAAATAAGAAAGGCCCTGAGTGTCTAATACATTGTATTAATTCGGGTTTTACGGCAGTTATAGTTGTCGATTCCTAATATTAAATTGCTTGATTTATCTGTTCGGCTGTTGAGAGTTGTAGCATTATTTTAAAAGTTATAAGATTTACAATAGGCCTTCTTTAGTATTTATAGCCAGGAATACAGTGTGGTGCTTTCCAGAAACTTACTTGCGAACTGCATGCTTGGCGGGTGTGCTCACTCCCCAGCTATAAATGAAAAACCTTGCATAAATGCCAACGATGAGGTACAGTGTGCCTTACGAAACTGTATGGAAGTAAGTTGCTAGTTACGAATTCAGATGCTTCGGAAAACCGGTTTTTGTCATGAGTCATGACCCACAAGATACGCTTGCGCTGCATACCGTACTCGTGCAGCAGGCAGTACACAATGATCAGCCGGACAACCAGCGATTCTAGCTTCATCCAGATGTTCCTGTTACTGTACTCTATCATCGTTTATCCACAACTACAGAGAAAACCTTCAGCTAAGTGATAATACTTCAGAAACTTGCAGCACAAAAAAAAACGAAAAAACAGCTTACTAACAAATTAGGAGCCTAAATTTTCATGAGACGAAAGCTCATTTTTGATGGTGATGCAAATCTTCAAATTTTATCTTGTGTCTGTCTGAATACACTCTTGGTTTAAGGATAACCTTAGACGATTCAATAGTTTCAGCATTACTTGTTTTCAGTGTTTTCCTTCTCCAAAATGGGAAGTCTCACTGCAAAACTATGCGGGCAATTGCGTATTGCTATCTGCGATACCCTAACGGAACAAAAGGATCTTAATGGTACTCGTACTGTTCGAACAGAACTGTACATGTTGATAAAACCGCATGTAAAGCTTAGCGATGCCGGCTTACTGCAAAAATTATGTAGTTTAGGAAAACGCCGGTTGGAAGTTTCTAAGAGGTACGAGATACTACATACAAAGCTTGCCCGGTAATTTCTACCGCATCAGCACGCTCAGACACAGCGTCAAATACAAATTCATGGGTTACGTCAGACTCCCTACTATGGCGCGTCACTCCACAATATTTACCGCTTTACCTTTACATGCATTAGGAATGGCGGATATATGCTCTAAATTATCGATCTAAATTAAAAACTATCGATACAAATTATAATTATATAAACTTTTCTCCTTTTTAATTGCCTTAAATGTTTAGAGGAGTGAATTTGTCATTATTGGTGAATTAGTGTAGTGGCAAGTGGCAACCGCTCATGTCAGAACTTCGCACGAAATACGTGACATCTGTACTTCGTACCTTCACGAAAGAAGTAACCGGACAATCATGTACATACATATTTACTGTGCGTACAGATATAATCCAGACAGGTACGTTGAGTGTTCTACGGTAATCCAGATGTTTTCCGTTTTCGTACCTTTTAGCCGTTTTAGGTTACGAATTTCTTGCTGTTGTGGATGAGAACGCCAATCTTCCATACATATTTAATGATTAATATACATTATTAATCTCAACTAAAAATTTCACAATAGCTTCGTAAACAATCGATTACTCATTAAGCACCAGTAGATAAAGGCGACCTAATCACAGAGAAAATTTGTCTAAATTTGCTCCCATCGGTGCTGTCCCCATGTTCGATGCGGCGTTTTCTCGTTGGATTTCGATGCTGATCCGCTGGGGAAGATTCCACGGCTCATTTTTCGCCGATTCCAGTCGTATTTCGGCACTATTTCCTATCCGAATTCCGTTATCATGCGGGTGGTTCCGGTTCGGGCGGACCGAGAGTCTCAAAGCCGTTTAAAGTACGTAAACATTTTGGCACTCTATGTTAGGAGTTATGGACTTATGGTTAATCTTCGTATGATGAAATAGTTTAATTAACCTATTTTTTTAAAGTTCTTGCGCTAGAGACTATGGTAACAGCCAGAGGCAAAACTTAAACAAATTTATCACACCTTTATCCTCCACCGCAAGGCATGATCAAAAACGGGTGGTAATTGCGGCCTGCAATTAATTAAGCATCACTAAAGTCAGTTTATGTGTATGCAATGCGAATGAGCAAGCACCATACAAAAGCTACAAATTTCTGGCTGTACTACTAATAGTAGCCACTTGTTCGCCTTGTCGGGACGCCAGGCTTGTAAATGTAAACAATCAAAATAACAAAGAACTGTCCATCACTTGTCGGTATGCGCCTGTGTTAAAAGGTCAACATGTTTCCGTTGATGTACGAGTACGAGTACGAGTATATTCAGACAACTGAGACAAGTCACACAGTAAATACAAGTTCAAAACATAATGTTCTTGAAAGCGCAGTGTACTTACTTTTGTGGCACCACCTAAACGTTAACGTACATGGCTTTAATCGCAGTTGATGAAGCAGGCTTTTCAGGTAGAACTTGAAGAATGTGGTACCTAATCTGCGAAACCTAAAATGTTACGTCCGTTGTTCGCATGCTTTAACCAAAATTATTTCACTGTTGTGTTACTCATACTTCGTCTGCTGGGTTTAGTGTCCATCAGCAAACACACCAAAAGACAAACAGTGTACTTATTTTATTTGATCGTGCTTTGACGACGTGGTCAACTGCGCTCTTTATCAGTCTGAGCATTGGCTGTTACTTCGATTTCGCTGCTAATGTAGGAACCGATAATCATGTTCCTAGCAGCTCTGCCGAACTTTTTCGAGATGCCATGGCTGTGCTGGATGCGTTCCTGATACCGTTTACCGCTGTATCACTTTACTACGCATTCTGGAATTTTGCGTTGTGGGTAACCGAATTTCATGCCGTTGCCGAGCGCATTATGACCTCCCGAAGCACCAAGCTGCTGATGTTCGTGGGTATTATTTTAGGAGCGCTATTCCTGTGCACCAGTGTAAGCAACATTATTGCTTTTCTGCCGAGTCTCAGTTTTGATGCGATGATGGAACATCCGTTGTTTCTGGCGCTCAGAAGTGTCGGCGTAGCCACGAACACTGCATATATCATGGCTGCTGTCCCACAAATTTCCATTTACGTGTTTAACGGTCAACTGACATTTGCGCACTGCGTCTTCATATTTATTGCGGCTGGAACAATCCTGTGCTTTGTCAATATGACATCGCACCTGGCCACAGTGGCAAAAGAGGGAGAACTGGAACAAACAATTAAGGAGTATAATAACCTCAGCCGTTTCATCATCCTCCTTAATGAGCGAATTCAGGCCGCTTTGCTTTGCACGTATGCCCGAGAATTCATGCTGTTACTGTTCATGGTCAGTTCAATAAGGACTCAGTCGCCGTACGTTGGGGAATTCTCCCCATTGGTTGGAACGGTCATGACAATTTGTATCCTTCGAACGTGGCTGTTTGTTCTCGTAAATACCAAGGTAAGATTTTAGACAGAAAAGCAGAAAACTAGGTTATCGTGCTCACCCGATTGACTTGAAAACCTTGGATAAAGATAGTACGCACTCCACCTTTCGACAGTACATACCGCGCTACCGGTTACTACAAAGGTAAGCTGTGTCAAAAACTAGAAGCAAACTTTTTTATCTAGGCGGTGGCTTTCACCACTGCAGTTACAATGCGCACCATGGATATCCCTTATGGAAGGCAAAAGAAGGACACATCTCTATGGCTCGTCCTTACGGACAGATGTGACGTGGTATTCAGTGTCGGTGGTCTTATTGACATCAATGGCCGATTTGTCCTTGGAGTAAGTACAATCTGTACTAAAAACTATTTATAGATAAACCTAACACAAAGCAAGCCGAAAAAGGAAGTCAAATTCAAAACATTAATTAGAGCATCATTAAATATCGGCTGAATGTAACAGCAACGTCAAAGTCGCGCTAGTTTACAGGAGCTTCATAAAAGCTAAGTATTTCCAGTTGCAAACTATTACTAACGAAATACATAGTTGCCAAGCAAACCGAACCGGTAATGCGCCGGTAACTAAACTTAAGAACCACTTCAGCAACACAAGAATTTAGAATCATTCCATGATCCATCCCATCTAATAAGCGATAAAGACAAACTCCTGGGTCATCGAAATCTAGCATCAAGAACAAAATTCGTCAAGACTCGGAAGCGGTTTCATGATTTCCTGATGCACGAAGAAAGAGAACGGTTCCAAAAACAAGTCTTTTACCATTTATGAGCGCCATTGTCCTTCACAAAGGTGCATCCATCTGCACATTGCATGCACTCGAGCCCAGCAGGAAGCTCAGCAGCCACATGGACTTGCAGGCTCAGTGAGAAGTCACTAGGATTAACGTAGCCTTTCGTTGGATCCAGTAATTTCTGAAAATATGACTTGTATGGACAATATTTAGTCAAGGATATAGGTTAATCGGTAATCGAATAAAACCCTCACCTCCATAGAGATATATGAGTATCCCCAACTAAAACTATCTTTGGTGAACAACATGGACAACTCTACAAATTAAAAACACCTGGTTAAAATTGATGTCAATGGTTGACTGTAAACCGCTTAGGAACCCCACTTTTCTTAAATGGCGTAATTTCGGTTTTCCATGACATAAGGCGCAGCTCTGCATTAACCTGGCAAGTCCAGGAAGCTGATCTTGGATAGCCAGAAGGCCCACAACACTGGAGGTAAAGGCCCAAATAAGTATTTTCATCACCAGTGTCCTTCTGAACCCTTATATTCCTGCAACAAATGCATATCAATGGCATCTGTCTTCCGAGTAGTTTCGATTAGCTTCTGATTTCGTCACTGCGGTCCCCCACCACAGCAGCTTCCTGACTGTTATGGAATCGCTGAATATTGGCGTCTGTTCGAGCTTCCTCACATCCGGAATGATATAATTGATTACACCCTCAGCGCGCACATCTAGAAAATTATTGTCACATCAATTCTTCAAAAACGGACTAGTAAAATGTCTAGAACATCATGAACACGCTAACTTTGCCGGGGCTGCGTAGGGAACGGCAGCCGCGGTTTAATTGTAGCGTGCTTGTAGTGGAAGATGTCCCATCCTTCCGATTGCAGCAGCAAACCATTCTAAATAAACACAGCATTTCACGGCTGCCCAGTGTCTTAGCTTATGCTATGCTTTTCGACCGTAAAAGATCACAGGCCAAAGCAAGCCGAGGCCTGACCACGTCGTCCCTTGTTAAAGGCTGTAGCTTAACATATTGAAAGACACTTTATCAATTGTTTAAAAACCGCGAATACCTTCAGGGGCCCATCCAGCAGCTGAGCATGTATTAAGAGCGGAAATCGGATGAGAAACAACGCTGGACCCAACATTTCACGCCGATTGGCGGAGGAAGCGTCCATGCTGTTTTGTTTGCACATATTTGCCGCCCCCTGTCAAAAAACTACTGACCAATGTCGCACAGATCGCCAATAGAATAATACTGCCAAATTCCTTTACGTCTCAACAGACGAGCAAATGGTGTCTTCACTGGCGGTCAGCGTATCTCTCTGAAGAATGGTGTGGAGCGCCTCTTGTCCAATCGCACAGAACTGCTCGGATTCCCAGATACATTCGGCTGATTCATCAATCAGGCATAAACATTTCTCCAGGATGTTCGGCGCGGCACTTGCGTAGCGAACCGCCTACACAACATAATCAGCTGATATCTGCGAAGCAATCCGTTGTAATACGAACCAGTAAGGCGACTTACGCTATCCAGATGATCCAGGCAGTTGCTGATGCTGAGCTTATCCAAGACGAAATTAGTGCACAAGACTATCAGAAATGGCAAGTCGTATTTATCCGCGCAGCCCAGTGTGGAAAAGACGTTATCCTGGGTGAAATTCTCCACGGCATCGGTGTAGATATCGCTGCACCATTGGTTGTGTAAGTGTTAGCAAAACCCTGCACATACAACATTCGCTGCAGAAGGAGGTGAAAAGATGCCGTATGAAAAGTTCGGGAGACGTCATACCTAAGCATATTCGCAAAAGCATCGGGAAGAAAGTCGGGATGTCGATGGGAGCTGTGCAGTTATCCAAACTTCCGTAAAACATCGTATGGAACACAGTACTGCGGAGACCCATTATAAGTCTGCACAATGAAGCATGTGACAGATTAGAAAGCCAAAGAATCGTCAAAAAGATTAGAAAGCCAAAGAATCGATCGTTCATTATCGTCAAAAATTGTCAATCACACACCGAAACGTCTCAATCAGGTCTAACAATATTCTATAACAGTAAAGCGGTTATTGTGAAGGTAAATCTGTGAAAGGACTAATAACAGTGTGCTTTGGTTTCTGAACTTATCAGCTAATCTTGCTTTTGATCATAAGTGTTGACGAGCAAGTTTTCGCGCGCACTTTGCACACCCACTTAAGTACAGTACTGTACTGCTGACGGTGGGCTGACCAACTGGTTAGCCGACTATACCGTCTACATAAAGAACAGATACGGTATGTACTGTAATTCTATACTTCGCTTTTTCTCATATTCGGGTCACTTTAACTATACAGTTTCATATTCCGGTCACCAGGTAGCAAAATGTCCTAACAAAATAAAGTTCACAGAAATGGTGAGTTTTCATAAAACGACCTCTCTCATTAAATTCACTCAAAGTGACCGGAATATGAAAAACAGCGAAGTAAGATATGTATTAATACAATCATATCGTACTTCGCTGTTTTTCATATTCCAGTATATTCTGTTTTTCATACTGTACGACGCACCGATGCCAGGATGAATGATGATAATGGGATTTGTTAAAATTGTGCTGGTTTTAGGTTGTTGGTGTCCTTGCAACATACACACTACTGATGTGGGACGACAAATGCCAACCAGTCCCTGAAACTACCAAGCTGAACCATTCCCAGGCTTGACAACTTTCTACAGCGACATCATTTTTAGCAAATCTGCACCAAGACGCTACCGCCCATAAACTACAAGGCGGTACAGAAGCGGGTGGTTATGATCTTCCACGAAAACTACGCGTATTTTATTATTAAAAGAATATCACTCTTCTTAAACAGCGAGTTTTTAGATCATCTCACTTAAATTTTTAATTGTTCTGCCTAAGCTCGTAGAGGGTCATAGTTGTACCTAAATATGTCTGACAACAAAAGGAAATTGGTATATCACGTCCAGCTCCATTTCCGCTGCTGGAATGCCCTTCGCTTGTGAAAAGCTTAAAGTTACAAGTAAAGTTTGGATTGGCACATAGGCGAAGTTTAGTGTTGATCAAACCCCGAAAAGCCAGCCGATATTCCGGTTGCAGTCCGAAACAAATGAGCTGTAAAGCAATTCAGGCAGAAGTTGCGGAACTATTGCAGACCACCAATAAAAAACAAAAATGAAACTGTTTATAGGCTATTTAACGTACAGGATTCATTGCATATCCAGAAGTTGCATCGCCGCTATCCACAGCACTGCCAGCGGCTGCTTAACCTCGTTTTCCGCTACTTTAACCAGGGAGATGGTCACCGGTAATATCATTGAAAAAGCGGCAGTCCACACAAACGAAGCACACATCATCTTTGTTGTGATAATTCGTCTCTGATGGGTTCTGTCTAGCCTGCGCTGACGTGCGCTCCTTGCGTGTTCTGGTTGAATCTGATACTTTCCCCTTTTGATCATAACGTATAAGAATACGTATAGTACTGCCGTCAAAGCGCCCGGCATATAAAACCCAGGTACAGCAGAATCTGTCCCAGCTGTCCACTGGACGTAGCCGCACAAGTACCAATCGGCATCATTACAAAATGTATTCCCAGGTCAAACCATCCCAAACCGGAATACACGAATGCCGCTAACCATAATCCAACGATTCCGATTACAACCTGGCAGCGACTGGACAAAGTGCGGTATCTATGCGGATAACACACGGCCACGACACGGTTAATGGCAATGTACAGATCCGACCAGTAGGCTGCACAACGGCAGGCGAGCTGAATCCATTGCAGGGGCTTACAGGATTGGGGATCTAGTAGAGAACCTGCTAACTGTTTACGGTATATGCTCGTGGCGAAGATCGGGAAACTGAAGCCGCACAGTATCGCGTAGGCCATCAGGCAGCTGGCGATTAGTATTCCGCAGCCCCTCCGTAGCCGGCGTTGGGATGTGATCAGGCAGATAATAAACAGATTACCAAGGGCGCCTCCAAAACAAAAAAGCAAGTAGGTCGCCGTCCAGGATATTATCCATTTTGCCGGTATAGAAACTGTTGAAACATCTGGTGACGTATTCAACGTGATATTGTCCAGTGAAGACGAATTTTTCCATAATAAACCACTGTACTGTCGCAACATTAGGAGATTATTTTCAAATCACTCCGCGCATAGAAAAGAATAATATGTCGTATGGAAATTCCGAACGGATGCTGGCGCAGGGACAAATACAGAGCATTATAATAAAGCGGTCTTAATAGCAGCAGCAAGCTAGGCAGGCCTATTTCATTACCTTCCGCTCCCCACAGTTCGCGGAACTGTCAATACAACCCTTCTGAGAAGTTAGATGTGCCTCCAAAGATCCAGATCGCGGTTTCTCTCACAGCGGAAACTTAATTTTACCTCCGCGAGACAGCGCGCGATGTTCTGTAAGTTCAAAGGTGACAGCACGCAGAAGGATATTCAGCTTCCATTGACTTCCCTCCAATGTGAATGCACACAATAAGTAAAAGGCGGTAACCGTGAATATACCCGTATAATACATATTTTATTATTGCTTTATGTAGTCGTTAGAATAATAGTCAAATAAATCGCGGCATGACTGTAACTTGCCGGTTTTTAAACCATAAGGCGTTGATGGTTTTCCTTTTGACCTACACTTTTCCATCACCCTTCAAAGATTTTTAGCCAGTGAAGTGCATTTATCCGCTTGCATGGTCCCGACAAAACCATATTCTGCTCAGTTCTCGCAGCCGGTCTGTCTCGCTTTTTGCATGTTCAAGCGGAAAATTACTTGCGGCTATTAATCAAAGAGATGGAACTAATTCTTCGAAGTGGCTTCACTTTACTGGCTCATTGTCGATAACAAATGTAGCAAGCGGAAATCAGAGGCATTGGAGAAGTAAAGTCTAGCTCTCATGGTAGAACCGCCAGCAATAATCAGTGGAAATCTGCTTCTGTAATGCAGCGCCTGATTTGCTCTTTTGTGGCTAAAAATGCCATGTGCGTCAATAAATTACAGTCTCCTTATGCAGCACTTGACGCTTTCAGCTGGGTTCGAATGCAACCTTTACGTGTGCGTCCATTGTAATGCCATTTACTCGAAAATGCCGACGTCTCAGATAGAAAGACAAAAGCGTCTCAAGTTCCCAGGATCAAATTAGCAAATAAATCACATAATGCACAATAAGGCGAGGTAAACCGATTACCGTCCAGAAAAAGCAGCCATGAATTTGAATATCAAGCTTTTATTTTATGATGCGTCGCACTGTTGAATTAAATTCGTATGGTACCATTCCGAAACCAATGTCGATGTGCGCATACCGGTAAATTATGCGTATTTGAGTAATGCTGACTTCATTACCATTGTGTGCTCGAGGAATTATCGTGGACTTCATACTCTTTGCAAATCATTTATCAGAGTCACCGGCCAGCCGATATCGATGAGAACCATAATCATGAAACATATCACCGACCAATGGTCGGCGACCATAAACCTACATAAAACCTTCCGAAAGCCTTGATAATAAAACCTTTATTATCGCACCCAGGCAAAATTCTAGCACTTGTACTTATTTAAACGGCGGGTTACAATTGTTCACCGATTGTTTATTTAGTCACTATTTACTGCAATGGAAATTACACTTCGTTGCTGTCATGGCTATAACAAGTTCTTCTCACATATCTAATTGTAAGTGATATTGGGTACGCTACGTTCTCTTTACTCGGAATGAACCCACAAAGACGACGAGGCAACCGTCCACCTGGGGATGATCCCGGGGGGTGGTGGAAGTCTGTGGGAGGTCTCGTCCTAGCACGTGCCGGTGCCGTGGCAGCTGGAGTGGTTTTGACTAAATGGTTTTCTGGCACCAATAGGGAACGACCTGTGAGATTATTTTGGGATATAGAAAACGCACAGTGTATGATTCCGAAATATGCGACTTTCGAGAAATGTGTGGCACATTTACGTAGCATTGCTTCGCCGCATGGCATTGATTTATATGAACAATACAGTATCAAAATCATCTGCGGAGGGTTTGACGGCAACAGTCGATGCTCTCAAGACAAGTGCATTCAAGCTGCTAAAGTCTGCGATAACGAAACGCTAAAAACCTGGAAAGCTGGCGGTACAGTTTCTACTAGACTTGAAGGTAAGTCAAATAAACACTTCAGTTTGACTGCTTGGCCTGGCAACTGTAACGCCAGTAAAACGCGTGATTTATTCGCCGTTCAGTTCAAATACTTTTGTTAATGCGTGTTGCAGGTGTCACGATTCAATGCGGCTGGGATAGAAAAACGCCATATGCAAAGGACAAAGCAGACAACATGATTTTCGAGCAACTGATGGATGTGTTCCAGTCAAACGCGTCCGATACCAAAGTCATAGTCGTAACAGGTAATCGTTGCAAAATCGTAATAGAAGCCAGACCTTTTCTGATGGTTAGCAGACAGCCGTAGCAATTACAGTAATGGGCGCTGTAACAGTTTCAAATTATTTAGTCACTACTACTAGTCAAGTTGTGTGTTGCCCTTTAACACTTATCTATAATATTATACCACCAATCGCGGAAAACCTAGAAAAATATCTTATAATATTATAACTATGGCCGTGTACATTTTCAGTCGATTATCGGTTACGCGAACGAGTTCGCACGGCTCCCATAGATTCGTCCAAACACATTGTTGTTTTGCATCCATTGAATGAAACCCAAGACGGAGTCTGGCCGGACGAGTTCTATAAGCGGTCTTCGTAAAAACCTGCATTAGAATTAATTAATTTGGATGTCAAGATCTTTACGACTGCTAAGCGGCACAAGATTGTCGTTCCGGTTTAATTACTTTCTTATGTGTCTGTTTGTTTCGAAAACATGCCTCTGCAGCATCAGCATCTGCATCGTGCGTCAATAGATATTCTCCACTTCAGCACTTGCCATTTGCAACCACATTCAGAAGTAACCTTTACGTTTGCATTTACTGTGACGCCCCTTGCTGGAAATCCCGATATTTACAACAAATTACAGTACACAAAAGATTTAAGTTTTAGTATTTGCCGCTTTCCATGTATTTCAAAGTGCACACATTTCATTGATTTCAAGTGCAAAGTGCGTACAATGCAAAGTGCGCACATATTTCGTTCTAAATTTCTAAGAAGGAGGTTGCCCTAAAGTGTGTGCTGGATGGGGTCTCTTGTTAAGACTAAAAGAATATCCAAAGGATTTTTGCCATAATGATTTAGCAATTAAAGGGGTTCCTAGTACAGATGGGACCGTTCCTTATTAAAGATGTTAATACCGATTGCTGATAAAACGTTTGTAATTGTAGTACAGAATACCGCCAATTATGTTTTACAAAACAAATCTCTCTAATAGGCGATAGCAATCAATTAAGAAAAGGTATTAGCGCGTGCATGCTACTTCACAGTTAAAATTTGAATATTGAAAAACAACTAAAATCTCTATGTACCCAAAAACAGAATAATTAGTAAGTATGTCTATCAACAAGAAAAATCGGTATATCACGATTAGCTCCATTGCGACTGCTAGGAGATGGATTATTTCCAGTGAAACACGTAAAATTGGGAGTTGCTGTATTCCATACTCGAATTTTCGCAACAATCATTTCCCGAAAAGCCAACCGATATTCAGGTTGCATCCCAAAACAAATAAACTGCAACGAAGCCAAACAGCTATATTAGATTCGTTTTTTGCTAAACAATACATTATTTAATAATAAGTGTAAACCAAATTAACAAATTAGACCATGACATTGACTATGACAAAGCCATCGGATTCAACCTACCGGATTAACTGCATATCCTAGAAGCTGGATTGCCGCTAACCATATCACAGCCAACGGCTGCTTGACCTCGTCTTCCGCTACTTTTATCAGAGAGATGGTTACCGGCAATATCATCGAGCATGCCGCCGTCCACACGAACGATACACACATCATATTTGTAGTGATCATTCGCCTCTGATTGGCTAATGCAATTTTTCGCTGTCTAGGGTTCCTGGCACTTTCCGGTTGAATTTGCTGTTTTCCCCTCTTAATCATGGCGTACAAAAATACATACAATCCTGTAGTCGAAGCCCCGGGCATATAGAATCCCGTATAGAGGACAACCTGTCCCATTCGTCCACTGGGTAACGCCGCACACGTGCCAAGCGGTAGCATAATGAAATTCACTCCAATATCAAACCATCCCAAGCTGGAATATGCCAACGCCGTTAACCATAGCCCCACAATCCCCACGATAACATGACAGGGACGGGAGAAGGTGCGGTATCTATACGGATAACACACGGCCACGACACGGTTAATGGCGATGAAGAGGTCAAACCAGTAAGCCGCAAAACGGCAGGCGAGCTGTATCCATTGTAAAGGCTTACAGGATTGCGGGCCCAATACGGGTTGTCCGAATTGTTTACGGTAAACACTGGTACCGACGATGGGGAAGCTGAAGCCGCACAGTATCGTGTAGGCCACCAGACAGTTGGCGATTAGCAATCCACAGCCCGTGCGCAGCCGGATTTGGGATATGATCACGTACACGATCAGCAGATTACCCAGAGCACCTTCCATGCAGAAGAGTAAATAGGTCGCTGCCCAAGGTATCATCCATTTAGCTGGTATGGTCGATGTTGGAACAAGTGCTGCTGAAGCATTAAATGTCGCGTTCAACAGAATATGGTCCAGCGAGGATGCATTTCTCCATGACATTATACTGTACGGCTTGCACCGTTCACGCAATTTGTTTTTTGGCTGAAACAAATTCACAACTCATCAGTAAGGAATACAAGTAATTGATTTGTACCCTAATACCGTGTGCAGAAACTATGGAATCTAAAGTATGTAACGGATCCGGAAGGATACGCGCGTTCAGAAACATTAGTACAGTAATGTGAAATGTCGACCATATGGAAGTATGCTAGAAGGTCTAAGAGGACAATACACCAGTCAAACTCACTTCCTTCCGATTGCTACAGTTATTAAAACTGTCAAGCAGGCCAACGCTTACTGAAGATGGCAGGTGTGTCTGACGAACGAACTCGCACTTTCTCTCCACCCAGGTGTTTGTTGTTGGTTCGGTACCAGTAACAACAGTCACCTAATTTCATTTAATTCTACCACGACAAGGTAACGGTACTATCCTGTAATTTAGGGACGGAAGGCGACAGCAAAACGGTAAAACCCATCTCAAGATAAAGTCGAATCCATCTTAATGTAAAATCAAGTCGTGCCGCGCTGTTATAAAAGGCAACAGCGGCACTGCTTTCTGAAATGTAATCACCGGCTTACAAGGAAGACACGCAAATCAAATCAATACCAGCCAGCGGGTTCAGAGCGGCATTTCAGAAGTCAGTGTCCGTAAACTGCATGCGCAAGACATTCCGCTTTTTGACCCTACCTTTTTTCTTTTTGCCACGCTACCTAAGAGCTGAACAAAGGAAGCAAGGAAGCAGCGATCTGCACTGCTGCATGGTTAAGCAGAAAAGTCTTACTGATTCTGCTTGATTTCCTTCCGCTGCTTATTTACCGGTAATACGCATAAACTCTACCGCGTATGTCTCGGTTATATCACTCACGCAGGTTTGCGCATGGTCATTTGCAGTTCCTCCAAGAAATCAACCAAGAAATTTTGGTTAATTTATTTGAAAGGGTTTCGACGTGCGCATATCTTTTGTAGAACTGCAAGCGGAACCTATTGCTGCGAAAGAGTGCAATGACATACCATGGCGGAACCCGTCACCGATAATCACCAGAAATGTCCAGAATGTTTTGTATCAAGCATTGTATCAAGCATCAAGCACTGTAAATGCAGCTCCTCAAATTTTTAACTAGCTTCAGATATAACCTTTACACATCTGTGTAAAATGCAATGCCGCTTACTGCACATGCCGGCATAGTGTGTACCGCGAAACGGTGAAGTCTTTGGACCTAAAAACTATCGGATGCCCGGAGTCTGCTATCTGCTGGTTGAGGCCGTTGAGCAGCAAGGCCAAGCCTACTGATTCCTTTCAACTATCGCAAACAGGCCTAAACGATTAAGACTTTTACACATTTTTAAAAAACCTAATTACTATGTTCAGTCTGCGTTGTTCTTGGCCAATAGAAATAATACAGTAGTTTCTTGTACGGCCTTATACAACATTAGCTTCTTATTCGTATCTTCTTGCTGTAATCGGTAATACGAACGCTCGTCAACTGCGCCTTTTGCCTAGCTTTATAACCATTATAACAAAATTAAGACGTTGTGTGCATAACATTAGGCTGCAAGCTAGCTTATTCTCAAAGCCCGCATTTCAAAAAAATGTTGGTCACGTGTTTGAGTTATTATTGTCCCGGTTTACGTTATATTGGTTTCATCCCGCTAATTTCTCGCGGAACGCTTCGGGGGCTCTCTCCAGTTATTGATTAGATAGAAAGCAAAATTTCTGCATATTTGTAATTCGGGGAATTCGGGGTATATCTTGTTACTTACCATTTCCGTTAATGTCAGAGAATAGGGATATCACGTCGATCAATTACCACAATAAATATTGACAGCTTAATATCGTTCACTGTTGCCTTGCGTGTTCGGTGTAATGTTACTCGTACCGTCGTACGTATTGTCGGCAGTCGGCACTAACCGTAAAAGTATGTTATTTCGGTACCCAAATAATAGAGTTCATTAAAGCGTTAATAAAAGTGTACAGATCTTGTATAATTTTTACAATTTACAGATCGAGTGGAAATATGCAACGATGGCTACAACCAGTAACAGTCTAATGGTCGCAGTCGCCGGTGCCCTTTCGGATGCATTTGGTGGTGTGGTATCGACGGGGCTGGGCGGCGCAGTTGTCGGTAATGATAACCCCGTAATGTCCTTAATCCACTGCAGGGCATTTGTTACTCGAATAAAGTGCGGTTCTGTTAGATCTTCCGGATGGCAGGTAGGTGTACTAAAACGTAAAATGTTCATTTAGATATCTAAGTAAATTTTAAGTGGAGTAGCCGACAGGAGGAGCGTACAGTATTCTTCCCATAAGACCCACCACTTCCCATCGGCTGGGGTCGTCGTTACTCTGGCACACTAATGGTCCGCCTTCATCATACAAGCATCTGCAACCGTTATGCGATGGGCTGGAGTATATTTTAGGCAATGCAGTAATGTACAAGATTTAACCATTCCGGTATGTATAGAAACAGCCAACTTTAAAAATTTCTCAGTTTTCTTGCCATTGTTAGCAACATGTCTGAAATATGTGCTTACTGCAGTAAAGTTGAAAGGTTATAGGAATGTAAATCGGGTTGCACTAACCCTCTTTTACTGGAACTTCCACTGCAGATACTAACTGGCAACATGAGGTCCGTCATTGTCGAATTCAGTCCCAATAAACATGACGAATCGTACGTAATGTTCTGGTCGACCTGCTGTAATCGAGCCTCGCCTTTAAACAGATCCAGCTGCACGTTGTTCGTCTTGCCCCAACCGGTGGTGTAACATATCGTGCCAGCAGGAGGTGATGCCGGTGATAGGCACACGGGGCGGACGTGATCGTTGAAGAACATTTTCTATGTATTTTAGATAAATCATCATATCCATCGTTGTTCATGAGCGTTTCTTCAATTATACAGACGACAAATGTGAGTTACTTACATTATTGACCTTTACGAGGCAGTAGTTCAACCGTCGGGCAGTTGGAGCCAATGGTGGCACTTCTTCGGCGAGGTACTCTATCTTGTCGATGTGGTAGATTGCCGCGTTGGGTTCCAGTGCCCCGGTGAAGTCGTGCATACCGGCATGAACGGCCACTGATTTGTCGTTAGCTCTATACGAATTAACGTTGCCTTTGGGTAACGTTTTCGATTTTTATATTGATTCGAATCCGGCTGGGTAATTGGACCTTACTTGAAAGCTGTTTCTACGCGTTCACAGCAGTCAGCTGTGGTCAGCACCCAAGAATTATCTAGCTTTAATATGAAACAAAATTAATTATGAACACAAAAGATTTATGGAGACAAGTGTGTAAGTGCATACGATCGATCCAGAACACGCCAGGAGCTTTTCGGAAATTACAAAAGCCACTTGCCAAGGCCAACTGTGCGGTCGCGCCTGGAAATCAAGCCAGTACCAACATACAGTTACCTGTGTATTCCAAACACTATTTGCGGGAGCGTTTATAAATTTGACAAATTCTCAAACAAAAATCGTTTCTTACCTCCGTTCCACCTAAAATTTTAGTGCTTTCCGAAGACAAAACCGGTGCCACTGGCGGAATTCCACATCCCTGTGGGCAGATCTCATCGGCTCCACTGGGACAATCGGTTTTTCCTGTTAAAACGCGCCCATGACATAAGACGTCCTTCTTTAGTTGCGCTAATTTCGGATTCATTTATACCGTTGCACATCATATCTTCGACAAAGCACACATCTTCCGTCAAATCGTAAACGCAGTATCCCGCATTGACAGAGCAGCTGGATTCTGTTGAGAAGGTTTTGTTACATGCTCAGTTTCAGATAAAAAAAATGTGGTTGCGTTTCCTTTACCTTGAATACGAATTCTAAATCCCTGGACGCCGGAAGTATCCAAATGGTAGCCGGATATAAAAGAGAGTGTCTGTAGAGCAACATACCGTTCTCTTTTACCGTATTTTTGCCTTTCGTTGTACTTGTACACTGTACGTACCAATGTGTCAGTCGCCAACCTCAACCCGGTTGGGCCACGCTTTTCAGAAAATTCGTAGCTTTTCGCAGTCTCTGCATCATCTGCACATAGTGGTTGAATAATTTTGCAATTCAACTCAAGGATCGTACTGGATCAATTTGTAAACAGTGCGAGTATAACACTCACCGCTTGCATTTAGCGGATTAGTGGATATCATTAAACTGTCCCGCGATAAAAGGTCAAACCGTTCTGCATTGATCTAATGACATGGAAGTATTGTTAAGAGTTATATGTGTAGTATGATATTACTTGTAGTAAAAATTATAATTCTTGCTCTCACAAAAAGGGATTTGTTTGCATCAGGAATAACAACCCAGGAACACATCGCTTCCAATGGATAATGCTCCGCGGGTGAACCAATATACACTTCCGTACTATTCGTTTCCGTCATGTTTATTATCGTTTGACCTTCACAAGGTAGAGGTGGAAGGTCAGGAAGTGCAGTTACAGGATCTCTAGTGCTTCGCAAGACCAAACTGAACCCTCGACTGCAAACGGTATAATTTAATGCAGAAATAAATTTATTATTTGTCATGTCTGTGAAGTACGAGTACTTACTAAACGTCTGACGATGTTTGTGACCATGAACCTGTTAGTTGCAAAAACTTTAGCTTTGCTTGCATAACGTGCACGATACACCTATAACCTCACGTACAGAATTCGACGACAGCTCCCCTCTCATCGATTACGAAATTTGGAGGAGCGGTAAATCCGCAATATTTTCCTATATATCAAAATAATGGATGCGGATCAACGTGGCATCTTGAACGGTTTACAAGTGTAATAAATCACCTCTGGCAGCAGTCGAACGATTGCAAATCTCGTTACTTTCGGAATAATCTGCCGGGAATATGGCAACATAATCAATACAGAAGTTTCCCGTGCGCCGCAACCCAAAAACATCCGTCCGCCCATGGCCAAACATGGCGACTAGATTCTAAAAAAACAACATTCCCAGTTCAATAGAGGTACCTACCGGTTTGTGCAACTGTGTATATTGCTGCTGCTTGGTAAATTTATTTTCCACGTCTACGTAGTCAGCTCCGGTTGAAGTTTATCATTAAATATAAGTATGCACAGAAGTATGTGTACTGTACGTGTTTACCAACGATGTACTGTAGTAAGTAACCGTACTCATAATAAGCTCAGAAAACAAATGCTTCAAGTACACAGAATTATTTACCGTTCCAGGCCTTGCGATCTTCCAGCGACAGCTGGTGTTAGGAGGATATGTTGCATTTGGATACTGGGAATAGGAGGGTGAATGTATTTCTACGCCATTAGTAGCGTCGTGGAATTCATTCACGGGATCGCAGCCATCTAGAAAAAATAATAACGCAGATACAGCACGCGAAATGGCAAATAGAAGGTGCTGAATGGGTACCTTCGCCAAATGCAGAAGCGAGACGGTCTGCCGTGGATATCACTAAAACGATGACGAACCAGTACATCTCTGTACCCTTTCGATATATAAATATCTGTAATTATCAAAATTTAAATACAAAACAATAAAACATTGACAAAATGGACTACTCCGTTCACATGCTTGCATACACAGAACCCGAAATACAAGTAAAACTTGCCCTTACGATTTTTACTATTAATTTTGTTGGTAGTGTTGTTTCATTTACGTTTGATTTGGAAAAACGGGTTATCAGCTGGATCGTTTGTCTGGCAATCAGCAGTTTTGATAGCTGTGCTAACTTCATCACTGGGAATTATTGCCGTTTACAGTGTTTCCGGCGTCCTTTGTTTTTGTACAATAACGTTTGCAATGTCCTGTGATAAAGCAGTATAATGGTAGAAATGCAAAATAAAGACAAACGAGCTTACACTGATATAGAGTTAGAATAATATACACGAACGTGGAAGTGTGCATATGCTGCTACACTAAAGTTATACATATGGTACCGTATTTGGTTTTTTTGCAGTTCTCTTATTACGTACGCATGTCTTACGAATATGTACAGATACAATACATAAGGCTATTAATTTTATCGATTATTCGGATCTGCACTGCATGAGCTTTAGTTTCTATTACTTCTAATACTAAGCTGTCGGTACGGCTACATGTGAATTTCGTCAGCTTAATTTTTACGAAAAACTGTGCTACAGATAAACTGTTCAAAGGTTTTTTGCTACTGTAAAAGCAAATTTGTTATGACTGATAGGTTAAATTACTTAATACGACCTGTATTATTTGCATTGCCTCATTGGCAGTCATTGCTTGGCATGTAAACTGGTTTATTACGTTATTAGGTGGGACTGTTCTTAGTATGCGAGAGCGGTAAAGCGCACAATGTCGTACAAACTCACTGAAATGACGAAACACTCAGGTTTTGCTCGGAAATTCGTCGTTGTTGGGTACGGTATATACATATTAAAGATATTAAGTCGGCATTAAAATGTCGGGCACTATTATAAGCGTAATAGCAAGAAAATTATTTTAAGAAGTACAGTATTTTAAGAAGCCATTTCATTTAAGAAGCCATTTCATATTTTAAGAAGTATTTTAAGAAGCCATTTCATGGTGTTCTTCCACAAACGTCACCGCGGTTGAACCTTTTCATTAAAAGACTAAGCTGTTACGACGCCGGCACAGCCAATTACCGGTCTTTTCTGTACGTTGATTTTGAACGCAACAGCACAGTCACTCGGGGAAACACATACGTAATTATAAAGATGGTGTGCTGTACATTAATGCGGCATTTTAACGTCCCACAATCCACACTTCTATAAAATCCATTGCTTTACCATTCATATGATCTTTTTTTGCGAATAGAGTTTATCATAATTATCGGTTACCTGAAGGCTTAAGCAGTTACATAGTTGGGTGAAAGCCGTTTAGGTTAATGCAGTGATTTTATTTTTTAAAACCAAAATATTCGTCTACGGTACTAAGTTTTTGCAACCGGAAGCATTCAGTTTTTCTTTGCACAGAAGGCATATCCTTTACCGAGATGCGTCCATTGATTTTCACTGGTTCATGTATGGCTATGTACAGTATGCGGCAACTGTTTATTATTACCACGACCATTATTTATCAGCGTACACGGCTATTTTTACGCTACGTTGTATTTCGAACGGCCAGTAAACGTGTACATGTGCAGCAAACATCCGAGTGGAACACTGCCGTTCCTTCGCATCGAAACAGTTGCCATTTCACTAATTTGCCTTCTTGCTTCTCTACTCCGTGTCAGCGCAGCACATTTGCCGCACAAATATAACTGGCGCTTTGATCTCGCTCGTCGCTGCATAGCACGCTTTTCTGCCGATATTTTTCCTTGCCGCCCTAATCTCCTAAAATGGCCGACGACGATGCCTGGCAAGAGTGAGTAATTGAACAAAAATTTTTGTTTTTTCCAAATATTTAGCCTTTTCCTTTGAAATCCCATTAATGTCAGATTAAAAATTCGGTACCCTTTTCCCCCACAATTTAATAATTACCGTTTTCGTCGTGATGTAATTGTTATTGTTGTTTAATGTTAACCGACGTTCCCGGCGGTGACATTGTTTGTTGCTGAAATGTATACTAACCTTTGGCAATGTTTACAGGGACGCTGAGTAAGTTGGGTTTATCGTGTCGTTCAAGTGTCACAAGTTGGTAGCGATGTGTGCCGTGCTGTGCGGTGTCGATTTTCGTGTGTATAGTGTGGCCGTATCAAATTCGGCGGTGTTTTGATATGTGATGCGTATTGCTGTTGTCACTAACGATTTCTTTCTGGGTTGATATTCGCGTTCGTGCAGGAATGTTGATGAAGGAGGACAGGCCAGGTAAAAAGATATTTATCTGCACTTTTTTCCTCCCGAATCTCTTCCCCCACCCTTTGCATATTCCTTCCTCCCCAGCTCCTGCTGCCTTGAATGTTTTTATTTACACAATTCCTACTGTAGAAAATGCAGGAAATTTAATATCCCTAATTTTTTACATTAGCTATAATACAAGTGCATTCCAAAATGGCGCAATTTAGGTTGCTTTAACTTATTGCAATACTGCGTACAATGTAATTCCCTCGATCCGCACCATTTCCCGCCTGCTATCATTTTGAAATGGTTAAAAAAAATAAATCAGCCGTTTTTAGTTTATAAAACTGGTGTAAATGCACTAACCAGCTCTATTTATTTTTGCCTTATTTTGTGTAATATGGTTTCGTGGTTCGTAAAAACGTACCCTTACATTTATAAATACTTGTATAAAACTCTAGATTTTTATTGTCAGATTGGCGAATATTTTTAACGGTAGTGCATAATACAGTAAAGGAAATATTATTTTTACTGAGTAACTTCTAGCATACGCTATTTTGCAATGCTTCCCACTTTTATAAGGCGTTCTCTGCTGTCGAGCTGTAATCGTGTAGTGTATGGCTATTATTCTACGCTCAGCCCGATATATGTAAACTCCAACTCAACGCAGCTGGAATGTCTACGATTTTCCTGCGAACAGAAAGCGGTCATGGCTAAAAATATAAACACCGCTCCAGCATTAGTCATACCCAGTACAACTGTAATGCCATCTACAGAAATTAAATAAATGATGTGCGTGCAAGAAGCAAGCAAACCAACCGCCCAGACGTTTGCAACTGGCTTGCCGATATTCTAATTTCCCACACCATACCGACAGTATTAATTAAATTTTCCCGTTACCAATGATAAACCCTTACCTTACCGCCCACTTTAACCGTTCTTGACCTTTCGTACGATCACGCATGTTTACCCAGTTCCTTTGCATGCGCGCCAGTGTGGCCTTTGTTTGCGGTGCTTGCATGATAACCGTGCCCTTGATGACCTTTCCTTGAAAACTGCCGTTTAGTGCCGAGAGGGTATATGTTCTTTGTTTTGACAATGTGCTTTTTCTGTTGGTTTCCGTTAGGGAGGAGGAGAAATCCAAATCCAAGTAAGTGTCTCTGCAGGCCGTACATGGTTAGTCGCGCGTCCAGTTTGCCAGTTTGTTTTTTTATGGTTGTTCTCTATGTATGCGCGTATCCAGTTCGAAAACTGTGTCGTATTTGTTTCTTTCGATGGTATAAAAGTACGACCGAATGGAATATGAACTTTTAGGTTGTAATATTTGTACTTCTGCAATATTTGCAATCGCAGTAGCTTGATCGTACGTATCTAAAAACTGAAGGTTATTGTTATGCGCGGACTTTGCATAATTTACAACTGTACCTACGTCTTCTATGTACCATAATTATGTTGTATGACTATGATTTTTGTAAATGCTTATATATCTGTATTCGTGTCAAGGTGTTTCATGGTAACACAACCATGCTTGTAAAATTGTCATATACGAATCGAATCAATCATTCCTATGAGATTATTCTAAAGGTCACGATATGAACTACTGCAGGAGATAGTGCAGAAACACGAATTCGAAAGCGTACTAACGGATCATAAATATGTTTTTAGGCGTCATGAAGAGGCAGGCGAAGAAAAGACCGAGGCCCAATTGCTGATCGAGGCTAAACAGCGCAAACATGAAGAGGAAGAAGCGGCACGTCTGCGTGAGCTGGAAGAGCAGCGCCGTATTGAGCGCGAGAAGGAAGAAGACGAGTTGCGCCGCCTGAAAGAAAAACAGGTGAATTGAAGGTTTCGATTGTGTTGGCATATTCCGCAGATGAGAAGAAATACTCCTCTCATAAATAATCCTGTATTACCGTTACACTGTCACCACTTCAATACCAAAGGTAATAACTTTCAACATCTTTTCTTCAGGCCCAACGCAAAAAGGAACGCGAGGAAGAAGAACGGAAACTGGAAATCCAGCGCCAGGAAGCTGAAGAGCAGCGCAAACGCGAAGAGGTAATGACTTCTACATACATCAACATAAAATTTGATTATGAACACCCATCAGCGAACAAATGATATATACCGCATGCTCATCTAAAGAAGTGTTTTCAAATAACAACTACCCACTTTTACTAAGCTTTGTGTTAAAACGGTACTTCTAGCTGGTAATGAAAAACCTTATTTAAAACGCTTTAGGAGCAACGCCGTCAAGAAAAGGAACTGGAAAAGCAGCGCAAGCAGGAAGAGGCCGAGCGTAAGAAGGCCGCTGCTGCTGCCGCCATGGTCGGCGGTCGCAACTTTACCATCAACAAGGAACAGGGCGAAAGCTCTATGGAAAAGGTGCAGCGCTCTAGCGCAAACTTCACAATATTGATGAGAAAATCAAGTAAATGAATACTTGTCGGCAGTTTATGAACATCTCCAAAGCCAAGACCGAGATGGGTCTCAATGCCAACGAACTGGAGGTGCTGAAACGCCGCACCGTGGAGGACCGTGTCAAGCCGTTGTCCGTCTCGGATTTGGACTTTAAGGGACTGCAGAGGAAGGCCGAGGAACTGTGGAAGCAAATCGTCCAGCTGGAGACGGCAAAGTACGATCTGGCGGAACGTGCCAAGCGCCAGGAATATGACGTACGTTGACACACTAAAGGTCAAAGGAGATGCCGTCTCTTAACTCGGAAACTCATTCTTGTAGTTGAAAGAACTGAACGAGCGTCAGCGCCAGATCAATCAGAAGAAGTACGCCGCCCAGGGTTTGGACGTGGAGCAGAACACCCGTCACCCGCCCAAGGTGCAGATCATCAGCAAGTATGAGCGCCGCACTGATCGCCGTACCTTCGGCGATCGCAAGGGTCTCTTTGATGGGTCGCAGATTAAAGATGATAAACCCGAACTGAACAAACCTAAAGGTATGCTAAAGATTTTATTTTAATCCGTAATGGTTTTATCGCACTCAGTACCTTCTTAGAGAATTATATGTTAAACGATCAACTTGGAAAAAATTAAGGTATCAGTTTAATGGTTTAATGCTTGTGTGGATCAAGATTGTTTTTTCAAGGTTTTATATGTGCGACTCAGTGCGAGTACCTTAGTTGCTGTCGCGTGACTGAGTTGCGTTACAGGTGTCCGCCGTGACAACTGGATTAAGGCCAAAGAGACGGAGGAGAAACGCGGATCCCGCCAATATGCCGATGAAGAGGACGAATCGCCTACCTACAGCCAACCTACTCGCCATGAAGAAGAACCAGAACAGGAAGAAGTGGCGGCGGAAGACGAGGAATAGAAGAGTCACCAAAGAAAGTAGTTTCCTTCCAGCTGTCTGACTAAAATTGGCTCTCGCTGTTAACGATAGACTCCGGTGCAAATATGTGGTCTTAACCGTCTTATACGCCATACGTATACTTATTCATTTCATCAAGGCAAATCAGATGGGGTTGTTACCGCTAAGAATGAACTTAATAATGGCGCCACTAGTATAATAAACGCAGCATTTTCAATTGCGTCACATATTCATAAGTATTTCGTATACAATTCGTCGAACCGCTATCACATACGCAATATTAATTTTATGGGAAAACCTGATGCAGCACTATCTACAGTATAAGTAGCACCAGCAAGAAAGCTAGAATTTTAAGGAAAAAGAAAGTTTTTCTATGATTTAACAGTAATATCAAATTATTGGAAACGTTTATGTAAAAAAGATTCGAAACTTTATAATACAACAAACATGTCACATATTAATACGAATACTAAAAACTCGGTACTTAAACACTTTTATTTTAGAATGGTACATACAGTAACCCGAAAGCAGCTTGATTGAAAGAGTCCATGCTATTTTGCTAATTTCAAATGATTTGCACGAACGCACAACTACATAATATGCAATTACCCGTAAATTTAGAGTATAAAAAAAATATGCATCAAAAATACAACCCAAAAGACGATGTATAACAGTGTGGCATACGCTGTTTGACAACAAACCTTTTACAAAATAACGCAAAATCTGTCTGGAATCCAAATAGTTTTGTGTCTGGCACCATTGTCAAAGGATAATTACCAATGACAGTTATGTTCTGCCACATAATTTTGCTTGTGTTTATAATGTAGCATAAGTAATTAAGGTTAAAATTCCGGTAAAAGAGGGATGGCTGAGCGCCAGACGATATCGCAACAAAGAAGGCCGAAAGCAAAGATGACGTCTGCATAACCAGAAAACACGTACTATGAATTCTTTTTCAACTTAAATAGATTCTCCTTTCTGGAAAGTGCTTTTCGTAAGTGCTTGTGAAAATAATTCGAAAAGCAAACATTTCCAGTTCCAATTGGACCCGGAATGCGCCTCGAAGCCTAAACGCACCAAAGTTACGGCAAACTCAAATTGCACATGTACTCTGTAGTCATACAGTCGGGTGAGTACCGTAATTAATTATCCGGTCTTGCATGCGCGCCCAGTCCCATACTGTGTGAGTCAGTGTGGCGCCCGCACTGAGTATTAAACGTTTTATTAAAAGTTTCCTCAAAATAACGTGTTTTTCCAGATTTGACCTTGAACATGATCACGGCATCAGAACCTGGTGCGTTGATGGTACAGTATGTGCACTGTTGTGTCACACAAAAAAAGACAAGATAGACCGGTTTTTCTTTAAAAAGGTCATATTATATCGATTTTGATCAACTGCGTCACGATAATGGCAGAAAACGCATGATCAGTATCCTTGGGCGAAGAAATTAGCGACCATGATAAACATCTGGTCGCTGCTATATAAAACCAGCAAAAGCTGTCCAAAGATAATAAGGCAATCCAGTCCGCTTTCTACCAAAGGTCTCTTTCCAGCAATATAAAGTGACCTATTTGCAGCTGCTTTGTTAACACCTCCACAACCATGCGTATCTTTTTCGTGGCTGTTATTCTGGTTGCGGTACTGTGCCTGGTCTACGTTAAGGGAGCGACACGTAAGTAAACTGAATTGTCGAACATTGTTGCTTACCTGCTGATCTATTCAGCAAAGCTCAACATGCTACCGTTTCAGATTAACTTGTATTATGCGTACGTAATAACATCACTATTGCCAGGAGAAGTATAAAAAATGCTCTAAAGTTATAATTTTTCTTAAAGGCTACCATGCAGTCAGTTCTGACAGTAGAACTTTATTTCATTACCGATTGCAGTTGAACAAGCGGACGGTGAAGCGGAAACCATGCTGCAACGACTGAAACGCGACAGTCACCGCTGCTACAGCGATTACGACTGCTCTTCCTGGCGCTACTGCAGCTCGTACGGCTACTGTCACGAACGCAGCCGCTCGCTGGTCCACCGACAGAAACGCGACAGCCACCGCTGCTACAGCGATTACGACTGCTCCTCGTGGCGCTACTGCAGCTCGTATGGCTACTGCCACGAACGCAGCCGTTCACTCGTCCATTAATGAGCTCGCAGTTCTTACGACTGACGTCGGCAACAACCAACGTGCCACTTTTCGGAGAGTAATTCTCCCTCTCGGCGCATCTGCTTCCGTTACGGTAAAAGCAACCGTAGCAGCAACAGATCATTGCAACCTAAAAGCATCCAGCGATTACATTATATCTAGCGGTTCAATTAATGCAGTGCAAGATCCGGGTGACGGTACGCTTCTTATTAGTGGTGCTTATTAGTGTTCTTATTAGTTTTATTATCTGAGCATGCATGCTGCTGGTAAAATATGATGGACTTCATTCAAATTGCCGCAAAAAACCAATGTTCGCCAAAAATTTCCGCGTGCTCATTGTTAACTGTAAGAGTACAGATAATATAAGTACGGCGAAAGCTACTGGAAATAAAGGTTGGTGCACTTTTTTCTTTGATGTAAAATTGTTTGCCCCTGTAACGTAATGTACACACCGGACAGCCGAATGGGACGACCCGTTTCTAACGACCACTATAACAAGCATGTTTAAGAAACTAAAACTACACTACACGTACAGATAGGTATTTAGATTACTAAAACTATCGGCAACATCATAAATTTTAATCTTTTATAAAGGTAACATATTCTAACGCATACCACCGATTCGAGCGCCGGGTGTATGTGGCGTAACTGCTGTTCGTACTTTTTTGGCTTCTTTCGAACACTTATCTTCTGTACCTAGAATAAAGTGACCACTTTCCCTTTCTCATACGACTCGCTCGGAACATCTTGCTCAAATTTGGAACGCGTAAAAGGGAAAAATTAAATTTGTTAAAGGAATCTTTACACAAACAAATTCCGGCCATCTTTGTAATACCGATCGAGCAAATACTGTTCTTTTATCATTCGCATCCAAGTGTTTTTTATGTTCTGATTTTTCTTTGTTGGCTTTTATTTTATGCTGCCATCTACAGATATAATTTTCTTGTAATCTGCGGCGTTTTAGTGCGCCTCTATTCACTAGGTGACTTAAGTATTGTCCGTTGCTGTGAATTCAGAAGGGTGTGATGCTGCCCCCCCCCCGACATTATCATGATTCTTCTAAAACGAGACCCTTCAATGTGATTGCGAAAACTGTGACTGGAATTCAGTGTATTTTGGTTTGTAACCGCTGAACCAGTATCTTATTCTACCTTGCCACAATCATGATCCAGTTAACCTTTGGACCATAAAATACCGGTAATACACAATGGCTCATAATGGCGAAGTGCCAGATATCGCAGTAAAGAATGCAGAAAACAAGAACATTAACTTCGTCACCAACGAACCAATATACGCTTAATTAAATTCTTCTTTTACAAAGTGTTTGCGTAATTTTGAAAATATTTCCAAGAAGCAAACCGTTCCAGTTCCAACTGGAATGGGGGAGCGCCTTGGAGCCATAATGTAAGTACATGTACAGAGTAAGTATGAAACTGATTGCACAGTCGACGTAAGTATGTACGTGCAATTTGTGGAACAAGTAATTAACTAATTACGTATTCAATTTTTCGTGCGTGCCCATATTGTGTACGCGTACCAAAAACTGGATATTATTGCGCAAATTTCCTCAGCGGCAACGTGTTCTAGGTTTGACCTTGAGCATATGATCACGGCGTCAGAGCCTGATCGGGCTAATTGTATCGTATAACAGAAAAGCAGACAAGACATGCAGACCGGTTTTCTTGTTAAAATATTAAAATTAATGTCATTGTATCGAATTTTGATCAAATGCGTCATGCTGATTGCAGAAAACGCAAGATATATACTTGTTTCCGATAATAACGAGGTAAATTTCAATATCTCTGGGCAATGAATTTGGCAACGATGGTGAGGCAACTGGACCATTGCGACCATGGTAGGCAGTGCTTTAAAAGAGCCAGCAAACTGTTTTCTAAACAGCATTCGATAATTCGATCCGCTTTCCTCCGAAGATCCAACTGTCAAAAATCGGTTACCTCTTCTTGGCCGCTAGCACATACATTTATAACACACACGCAACCATGCGCATCTTCTCCGTGGCAGTTCTGCTTGTCGCCGTGCTGTGCCTAGTCTCTGTTCAGGGAGCCGCAAGTAAGTTTACTAACTGCCATACAAATTAAATAAGCGAGCATAAGGTGTACTTTGATTGATTATACAATCCGCAAAGGTCATCGTGGTGCGGAGATGAACGCACTCCGTACTACATAGTAATTTACCTGCGTACGTATACGTGCATGCCGAAGGAAATACGGAAATTAATGGTACTGTTTCGTATAACAAATATCGTCAGTAGTGCTACAGTTGTTTCAGTTGATCAGAATAATTATTAATTATTGTTTGCAGTTGACCAAGCGGACGGTGAAGCGGAAACAATGCTCCGTCGGCAGAAACGCGACAGCCACCGCTGCTACAGCGATTACGACTGCTCCTCGTGGCGCTACTGCAGCTCCTATGGCTACTGCCACGAACGCAGCCGTTCGCTCGTGCATTAAATGCGCAAGCGTCCTATGTCGACAACAATCAACACCACGCTTATTGTTGGTATCACAATTCTCCTTACGTCATATACGTCGCGCCCGCGTCTTTCACAACAAAAGTACTTAATCATTGCAACAGCGGATGACGATGAGGATGAAGCGCATCATTGCTACCTTATAACAAATACTGGTTTAATTATCTCTAAATTTGAAGCCAAGACTGCCCAAAGTGCGCCACCCATAGATGGGACGCTTTTCAAGGTTGTTTAGCTGTATTATCTGAACCTGTCGCTTATAATAAAATAATAATGGGCGTCAATAAAATTAAAAAACTGGTGAGGAGAGCTTAGCAGAGTATTTATAGCAGTACTCAAAAATTATGTGAGCTGATGATAGAGCATGTAGTTTCGGTCTCTGTTATCCGCTTAGAAAATTTCGCCCTTTCCGGCAGCTGCTGAAGCTGTTGAGTGCGAAAAACTTAGTTTTGATGAACCTTTTAAGTTGAAAAGTGTCCATTGCAATTCCCAAAAGATGTACTTAAATACTGTAGCGGCTCGCACAACTTCCCGATGCTTCTGAATACACTTACTGGACAAACAGCATACTTTATAATTCTTATGTTTTAAAATGGTTTTAAAAAGCCCTTAAAGCAGTAAAATCATGTGCTTGCTGAATGCTGGCGTAGCATAGATAATGGAACAGTGATAAGAGATACGAGTATGTCGTGCTGAGCGGGGTTTTTGACTGTGTGACACATCATAAAACTTACTGCACTAATAATTGCTTTGTTACGATAGGTCAGCCCAAAACTGCTGTATAAAACTGACGTCTTAGGGACAAGCCTAAGTGACGGCCTGGCATTGCCTGTACCGCATCTTTTCGAAAAATCACAATAATATCGTTGTTCGCTCAAACCGGTTTGAATGCCATTGTTAATCAGGCTTGCCGCTTGCATTTTTGCTTTTCTACCGAGACGTAGGAAAAAGCGTGGTAGCAATTTAGCAACTAACGATAAATGCAGTGAAATTTAACCAAAACGTTTTCTATGACGTTCGGTAATGAACTGTCCACGATATTACTGTGCTTGCTTTTATTTGAGGTCAGATACAAGTATCTTGCGGATTTATATGTAAAACTATAAGTAAAGAACGGTAAAAGAAATAAATCAAAGAACCCACGCAATCCGCGAACTGATGTAAAAGTTTCGACCCGTCGAAGTGCGTGTTTTAGAAAAAACCTTGCGTAGTTCGGTAAACCAGATCTACCAACCAACGATGTTACGCAGATCCCTTTCGCGGCAATTTGAAAGTTCGACTTTTCTTCGTCGCCTTAAGCCTGATTATGACGTCAGAAGCAACTCAACTGCTTGCTATTGTACCGCAAAAAGGTTGGTCGGTGTTTTAGGTAGAAGATTAGAAAATTTCTTTGAATTTAGATCAATTGCGTCGCGACATGAAATCTAATGACGCTTGACGCGGAAAAAACTATATATCCAACCAATATCTCCAGATCTAGAGAACGGTAAATTTAATAACCATAAAAAGTAGCAGTTTGTCTGGATTATAAAAGGGCCAAGCACTTTCTAAAGATTTCAGTCGTCATCGAATTCTGCATCTGAAACTGCCGCTGTTACGGAGTGCTTAATATTTTCGTCCTGCTAGCTTCAAATTTATTTTCAATGATCGCGTCTTTTACTTGGTTTTTATTTTAATGGCACCGCTATCTGCTAAGCGTTGAAGAAGCAAGAGGTAAGTACAAATAAGTAGCATTAAGGAGCGCGCAAGCGCCGCAGAAAAACTGCTGTCTGCATTAGCAGCTTGATATTTGGTACCCGTAACTGTCGCTGGTGACCTTCGCTAAACGCCATGCAAACATGCTGGCTCAACAGCCGATCGTATTTTGCAGAACACAATTGCGACATTGGGTTTTAATAAACTTACAAGATGTGTGTTTGTGACCTTATCGTAACAGTGCTGCGATTTTGTAGTGTACATAAAAGCAATATGCCGACAAGCGATCACACAAAGCATTGAAATTTTGCATTGTGGACCATTTGTGGTCATTGTATTGTAGTTCTTAAATATTATACTATTTTACTTTTTTCATATTTTTCTCTTAGGGAGACTGTTAGATTACTACGCACTTGACGTTTACGCAGTCATTCACCGATCCATGATTCACAGTTAAACACCAGCAATACTCGCTGATTAGTACGAAGTACATTATATTTATATTTACGATTATATATACACTTCCATGCCAAGATATGGAAAACACTTATGGTAACTACTGATAAAAACGCTATTTAATTAAGTAGTCACTTAATTTTGATTAAACTATACATTTAATTCTAGCACATGGTACCGTAATTTTTTTGAGTTAGTATTAAATTTGTAAGCGTAAAAAATGGCAGTAAAGTTTGGATTTTGGATAGGATTGACTTCAGGAGAGTAACATGGCTATAATGATGGTATCATATCTATATGTCCGTAGGAACCGTACATACCTATACTTGCAGTTTGCTCTGGAGCAAATTTAATATAGCGAGCGGGACAAGCAGTTAAACCAGATTTTTTACAAATATTTTGGCACTGCTGACCGACAAAACAAGTTGAGTGAAACGTGATATACCGTATGCTGTACGATACGTGTGCACTTTATACGAGCCAAGAAAATTAATATACCAGTCCTGTACGTATATCATGCAGGAATTGGAGGTGTGCGACAACAACCACAAGAACGCACGCTTTGAGTTTGTTGTCGAATTTTTACTTTGGGCTTTATGATAACTGTTAACTCTACGAGCCTTCATTTGAAATTTGTTAGCAGTTGTTTGACTGTTTCTCAAACTTGACAAATGCGCCTCCAAAATCTTATCCTTTGCTTAATAATAATATGCGTTTCTTTGTGTCCGCAATGCACGTATTCGTTGAGCGCAGGTACAGAACGTTTATTACACATAACTGTAGCACTGTAGAATCACATATATATTTGTACCACAGTTTTTGAAATTTAGTTAATGCTTATACAGTAAAACCTGCGTACATTGAACACCTGCGGTTCCAGCTTTTTCGTTCAATGTAGACGCCTGTTCAATGTACAAAACAGCTGCCCCCAAGGGGACCGCCCCTGGAGCAATGGTTCTGCGCACTGAAGCTGCTCCTGAGGGCGAACGGACGCCGCCTCAATGGGGACAACCCCGCTAACAAGCGAATGGCTAGTGAACGCTGGTCCGTAGAACGCTTTTCTTGTGTTTTTTCGCTCCCAGAACCAGATTCTGGCGCTTTGTTCATTTTCGAAAGGGCTAAATATTAGTAAATAATTAGCTTCGTTCCAGCTAATTTGTTCAGTATTCACATCAATTTACGCGAGGTCCTCCCTGTGTTATAGTCTACGAGACGCGCCGGTTCCGTAATGACCGTTCAATGTACACCAGTGTTCAATTTACGCGAGTGTTCAAAGTCACAGGTTTTACTGTACTCATTAAAAAATTCAGATAAACGATGTATTTCTCAAAAGTCATTTTAATTAGTTTAAGTTTGCGCAGGCTTCTTGTCATTGAGTACAGGCTGTTGTCGAAAAAGAGTAATTATGAACAGCGGCTGTGCATATTAACTGCATGCACTGAAGTATACAAGAGCAGTAATTCACTACAAATACATACTGCTGCTGCTCTGGCCGCACAAATTAATTAATAAAATTAATAATAATTTTGAAACATTACCAATACCAGCTAGCTACAGTACTAGCTGATACTGGTAACGCTTCAAAATAATGCACGTGTCTACATGAGATGGCAGCAACTACATGCATTACTCAATCAAAACTAAACACTGAATTTGAATAGGACGCAGCAGCAATACATCTGTGCTTGTATTACAATTTTGTTTGATCGAAGTTGTTAAAAAGACCAAATGATAATACAGGAAATATGCGATAGGTGTGCCTGAGGGATCGGCAATCGGGACGCGGATTGATACTGCACCGGGAACCGGCTGGTCGTCGCCCGGCGTGGACAGCAGCGGTCAGACTGTGGATATTCCACTGGATATCGCGTCACCATCGGGACGTTCCGCCGGTGGACCCGCTGCGAAAAACGATATTCAGGTTGGCTGTTGGCAGTAAGGAATCGGTATTGCATTGTGATTCGGTATTTCATATGTTGCTTTTATGTACATTATACTTTGTCACAACAGTATTATTATAAAAAAATGTCAACGACGTTAATTAGGTTTTTATTGTACTTTGTATAACAGTGCAGTAAGTAAAAACTGCCCATACGTAATCCTATTAACCATATTGTCCAAGGTCATATATAAATAGATACATATACAATATAGTCATACTTTCTGTGATAATTATATTTAAACAATTACAAGCTGTGCACGTATAACATGATTCTTACCATAATTCTTACTCTGCACAATATATATAATTAATTGTACACTGCACTTGCACTTGCGGCAAAATATTTAAATTACAGTATATTGCAGACTTGCAGGGAGCGCATTGTACAAATACTTCTATATAAGCATATCTATATCTATATTGTAAAGTTTGTAATAATCGTAAAGTCCACTTTGATTAATTGTACTATCAATAATATTATTAGTAATCAAGCCTATTCGTTATAACCGCTTGAGCACATCAAGATATAGTCATGTGTTGTCGTACTTGTATCAAGTTAAATAAATGACGAAGTCTGTTTGCTTATCGGTATAGGCACCGGAAGTGTCGGTACCCATGGCCAACGGATCAGCATCTGCCAGTTCAGGAGGAAAGCCACGTTAGAAAATCATGGGATCGTATCCAGCTGTTGAAAACAAGAAACAATGGAACAACATTAATTTCCTCCAGTTTAATTGTTATAGGAATAAATATGTATACTTCTAAGTTCTATGCAATGTCCATGGCGCTGTTAGACGCGTATACTATTATAGCGGCTACAATCGCCGTTACGTTACAAGTTAGAATTGCAAATTTTATGGAATATAGATATTCGGACATGCATGAGATATGTATAAAACTTAAAATTATGTTGTGGACAATGCAAAATTCACTGCACTTGTATAATATAGATTGTACGAGCATTGTACATATCCATTCATTCTTGACACTAATCTGACTATATACAGGGATAGATATTGCAATCCACGCGTTAAAAGCGGAAGTTTTTAACGTATTCGACTGCGAAGTATTATTAATAATTATTATCGTTAAGCTGTTATCAGCTGTACATGTCAGCCATACGTTACGGCTTAATTATACACATTGTATACAGAACTAGTAAAACTTCGAAAATATAACAGTATTATAAATGAGAAGATGGATATACGATATAGTAACATTCGTAAACGGGACAATTAAAATGTGGCATATGTTTCCGCGTGGAGGGTCAATATAATTATGAGCAGTGATGCCATGGCAAATCCCTTGAGATTCATCGACGTCATTTCCGGCGGAAGTGTGCTGAAGTATACTCTCGCGCTCAGTGTTTTTATGCACTACTATTTTTTAGCATTTACCGACAAACGTCGGGATTGTGGCCGTCAAAGAGCATTGGATTCGAAGCTAATCAGCGGCAAAAAAATACTGGGCTTTGAAAGTGTAAAAATTCCACACCGCACACGTACGTTTCATATGATACACTTAAGAACTGATATTTAAGTTTACGAAGTGGTCTGGAATTTCGGCAGTGTATCTGCATGCATTCACAGTAAATTGCTAATAATTTATAATTACTTATATAATAATTATAGAATTACTTACATGCTGTGCGAGCTGCGAAGTAACCTTCGTTTTGCCGATGTTTCTTCAGTTCTGTAAATTTACTTATGGAAAATAGTGGTACGATACAAGACTTGTAAGGTACAATAAAAGCACTAAACTGTTCACACTGTACTTTTGCAAATTTATCCTAAATAAAAATAATTACAAATTCATATTTATTCTCTAATCTCTACCATAGATCTATAGTATACTTATTATGATTGTATAAATACTCGTATAATTATGTTATTTTATTCGGCTGTTGCCACAATGGTATTGCAGTTCCATGGAGCCTTAACTGGGTCGTCTTCCGGTCGAACATATGAAATTGTTGGAATTTCCAAAATATTTACGCTTTACGTCATTTCCTTATTTTACCGAACAATAATCAAAATCATACTTAAATTCAATCAAAGATCCACAAATATCGATCGCGTGTTTTATCGATTTCCGGCTTTTAAAGCTTTACCGCATCACTGACACGAGTGCCATTCACCGGGCCAATTCCCTGTACAGCATAACACACACTCAGCCCTCTTACACACACACACACGCAGCGGATACAAAAATCCGCATTTGGTATTTAAAGCGTTTTGTGGATTTTGTGTCGCCGTGGTGTCTGCTTCTGTGGTGCGTATTCGCAGATGCAGCCGATCAGTTCCCCGAACATCTTCTCTTTTACTGGCTAATAAAACCATCATTTTTCCATCAGCGGATAGGAGCACACTATTTGTCTATCGTAATTTTATTTTTTTATCGTTTATCCTGCGGTTCGCTGGCTGCTCAGCGCGCACTGCACAGGTTGTACCATAATTTATCATCCGTGTTTTATCCGTGTGAGTGTGGGAAATGCGGGAATACAAATTGGTTGTCCTGGGCAGCGGTGGTGTGGGAAAAAGTGCCTTGGTAAGTGGGAAGAACGGGGCAGCGATGCAGGCCGTTTTCGGGGGTGTGAAAATCGTTTAAACGTTGAGAGATTAATCATAAACGGCAGCGTCAATAATGCCTGACAAGTTGGCCGCGGGCTAGATTGTGGCCGACCCAGCGGGGTTCCCTGTTGAGCAGCCGACGACTTTGTCGGTGGGTGTACAGGGAATTTAGAGAGGGGAGCGCGTCTGGTTTATGCGTTTGGTTTGTTTAGTTGACTTTCGTCTTTATTATTTTCACGTCGCAGCTTACAACTGACCCGATTTTTTTGCGCAAGAGTTTAATTAGTTTATTGCTCTGAACGTTTCGTAGTGAAAATTCCTTGCGAAATAGATTTTTTCACGTTCTGTGTAGGGTTGCAGCGTTGCTGCTGGAATGTTGTCGTGAGCTGGATAAAACCTGAGACAGGCAGTTAGTAGTTTGAGACAACTGCTTGAAATGATACTTGAGTTGTTTCCCGTTTTCTGTTTAAATTTTTGATCACCCTGAAACGACAAATGAGATGATGATAACAAATTAACAATCCGTGAGTATTCCGGAAAATTAAATTGTAGTTGCTTTGGATTTTGAAGTTCTGACAGTCTTACTGAAATGCCAGAGATGAGTTCGTTTACGGTTCATTTCAAAATAACAGGAAACTTATTTTGGAGAACTCTTTACATTTATTGATTTGTAAAATTACTGTATTAAAAGGTGTGATAACTTGGAACTGTAAACGGAGAGCTGTCAGTGTTCACTGCCTGTTCAGTTTAACGTAGCGACAGATGATAAGGCGACAGCATATGAATGCGTAGTAATTGCGTATATTGAAAAGCTGTGGGAAATTCACGGACACTTTCTTTCCGAGTTTTTTATCTTTGTGTGGTTCTTCTCGGTGCAGTTGTGAAAGCCAAAATATGAGGTGGTCTTTTACGCTTCAAATTTTTGAAAAATCATCTGTTGCGTTTTACCTTAACCTGAGCATTAAAAATCAAATGAATTATTCCATCGCGAGTATCTTGCTGTTTTGTGAATATGGTTTTGTGCACTTACTCTGTATTCGTATACTTCTAGTTCTAGAGTAGTCTTGTAAAGTTCTAGTTCTAGAGTAGTCCTGCTGCCGATAACCAGAAAATTCCTCTTTCAGTTTGACGCAAAATAATTTGTACATCTATTATTCTATTTGCTGTATTTCAGGAGAGTGGATTTAATTATAAACCCAATTACCCAAAGATGTCAGTCTTTGTCAGATATTGCTATTTTTCTGCTTGCCTGCGATTTTTTCTGAGGCTCGCAAGTCGCAACCGCCGGACGCGCTGTAATAGTTTTTGTGCGTTTCCCTGTCAGAATCACAATGCCCGTCCAGCATCAGGGAAATAACTGCGGGAATTGTGCGGCCAAGTCGGCGTCCCGGAAGTGGGACGTTTTATGGCGCCTTATGGTGTAGATTAGGTTAAATCTGGCTGGCATGGCTCAACGGGATCCTTGACAATCTCCGCTCGCGATGGGGGCTGCATGAGGGCCCGCACGGAGCAATTTCTCTCTTGTTATTCAACGACAGAAAAATCCCTTTTTAATAGCGGTTCGTGCACTGCGCAGCGGATCCCTGGGGTCGATTAAGGGATTAGAACCGTGCTGATATGCGGCAGATTAGGAAAGTGGGTTATTTGTGAGCAGTTGCCGTATTTTTGCATTTTCTAACGGGCCGATTTATTGCGGTGATGAAAATGTTTTTACGACTTTCTGAGGCGATATAATTTGTAGAAAATGTGCAGCTTTAAATAAGCGCGGAGTAAATTATTACAGGATTACAGTTAGATAAACTGCAAATTTTGTAGACTTTCGCTGCTTTTTTTCTGCCGACGCTCACATCAAAAATAAATTTATTCATTTACTTTTAAAAAGCTACAAAAGAAGACACTTCTCGCTGCTGGAAAATCAAAGTTGTTTTAGATCCTTTTTTGTTGAAAACAGTTTTGTTATTTTATAGTTGGCATTAGTGGCGGTTTTTTCATTTGAGTGTTTACTGTTTAGTTAGTAATCAATTCAACTGCGGCGGAAATTAGGGAGACGACAGTTAGTATACACAGTGTAAAGTGTACCATGGACTGTGTAAATCATTCCTATCGGTACGCGGTACCGCGTGAATCAACATTGTAGACGGATAATCTTGGATAAATTTGGATTATTCATTGGCACTCGTTTGCTTATTCATAGTCGGTCGGCGTTTGTCTGATGGCATTTTACGGGAATATTGAGAGCACCTTATTGAATACGCACAATATACATATTTTGTATGCTTGGCGATGATTGACGTAGATATTACGAAACCGTGAATAGGGGGATTATGCCTTGCATTTTGCAGATGGAATAATTTTCCCCCACGAATAGGATGAATGTTATGTATAGATTATTAACGGTGGATTATTCTTTTTCTTTTTACAGACTGTTCAGTTCGTTCAGGGAATATTTGTGGAAAAATATGATCCGACCATTGAAGGTTTGTAACGTGACGTATTCATCGACAGTAACATTTATTTGTTCTTTTTTAACATTTTAATTAGAAAGGATTGGTTAGAGTTAATGTTCTGGCTTCAGAATGAAAGTTTTTGTAAATATTTGCCTTTTAAGAAATATTTCGTTCTAATTTTTGAATTCTGCTTGAGGGAAAGGAGAATAGCATACAAACTTTCGAGCCGAATAATTGCAATGGGATTACTTTCTAGTCGTTTTTTATCTGATGAAAAATTTGATAGATAATGTTAGTGACTGGATTTTTTTCGATTAAATAATTATTAATTTAATTGCTATTAAAAAATAAATTATATTAAAATGCACCCCGATAAAAGTTAACTGCACGCAATTTTACCGGCCATCGGTGATTAGTTTTTTGCGTTTGTCATTGCAGATTCCTACCGAAAAGTACGTAAAACTTACGGCTGCGCCCTTACCACGCACACTTCCTGGTTACTGTTGTACGCGTACTTGTTGGTTAATTGTTGTTGTGGCACTTTGTTTAGCAAGTGGAAGTGGATGGTCAGCAGTGTATGCTGGAGATCCTCGATACGGCTGGCACGGTAGGTTTACTGTTGTGATGGATCTGACACAAGTGGCCGCTTAATTACGGTCAAGTAGTCAGGGCACGCGCGCTAGTTGATGGTTAACAGATGGATGTTGTGGCTAGCGAGATTTTGTTGAAATGATTTTGTGTTTTTCAACGCGCGAGCACACCACTTCGCGGCAGCTGTGAAAATATGTATTTCCGGCCACATGTGGAATTTTACGTTTCGGTTTCTGGCTGAACGGTTTATGTGGAAGTTTATTAGGGAATTTTGAAGCAGAAAACGTTTGATATTGAATTATTTATAGAAAATTCTGTCACAGTTTCAGGATAATTTTTTTTCGAATATTGGTAGATACAAAATTGCAAAATCTTTGTTTGTTAGTTGTAAATCTTTCGTCGGGTTACGGGTTGCTTGAAAAATTGGCGGAATAATGTTTTTAAAATTGTCCCGTAACGCTGTGAACGCTGCGATTCGAGCTGTCCTGAAATTCGTCGTAAATTCGCAATTATATTTTTAATGGGATTGCGTGCAGAAATTCGTTTTCCCGTTTCAAGAGTATTTTTGCCTCCTTCTCTGAGTTGCCCGGTTGAATTTTTTCTTTCCTTTGCATTGTGGAAGCAGGACAGTTAAGTGCAGTAGAACGTGAGGAGGGCTAATTTTCTTAGAGCCGAAGGATTTACTTTTATGGGCGATCGATAAATTGACGGAATTCGATTAGGTTAATCAGGATGGAAAAACAATATGGCTGTTTTGACGAACGACATATTGAAGGCGACTTCTGGATGTAATCGATTATACTATGATGTTTTTAACCCACTTCCGTGTCCTCTCATACATTTTTGACGAGCAGATAAAGGATTTCTTAACGCGAAGTGGCTAGCGAATTTTCGAAATAATACTCAAAAATTATCATAGCTCATCCTATAGAGCGTGCTTTTTACTACATATCTTGATAATTGTAATGAGCATATCCTGATTCGTTAACAAGCAAAAAAATAAAGTTGTGCAACTGGTAGAGGGGGGCACGTAAGGTGAACAGCAAAATAATTGCTTGCGCCGCACTTATTGTGAGTAATGCCATCGCCGCCGACATCGCTGGTTTGCTTGCAGCAATCGCAATCAGGTGCGATCAGAATCTGCAACTGCCCCATCCAGCTTTGTTGAGCTTGCTGACAAGAAGCAGAAACAAAAGAGGCCATAAATGCAGATCTGCTGTCTGATTGCAGTCTTTTGTTTTAGCGTCTATAACTGGATCAGCTGAACAGTGCACTCTGCAGTCTGCATGAAAGTTCTATGGCTGCCTGCCTGTTCTGCGTTGCTCCACATGTGCAGGTGCTTTTGTGTGCGGCAGTCAGCATCTCTCGGTACCGGCACCAGAGCCGTGAAAGAGGTGTACTTTTGCAAGCTAACAGTGAACAAAACGTAAAAAAACTTTGAGAATTTGCTGTAAATACATTTGTTTACCAAAAAATACGAACAAAATCGCGTTAAATACAGTACCGCAGTCTGAGCTTATTATACGGACAGAATCTCTGTTTAAGGTTTTGTTCGGCAGATATGGTCAGAAATATCCAGGGGCAGGGTGCCCCAAGCCCTTCCTTGCCACCCCTGATTTTTTTTCTTTTTCTTTTTTTTATCAATCAAAATTCTGTCCGTATAATAAGCTTCTAATACTTGAGTCTTTGAAATGGCCGTTTCAGAATATTTTTTATCATATCTGTACTCTGTAAAAATCGACCTCAAATTTTTCACTTTAAAAGCTAATATCTCAGTAACAACGAATGCCTAATTACTACTGATCATATTTTAAAGCACAAAAATCATTTCGTTATGTGGCATATGCTACTGTGTAGTATAAAAGTGTACCGCGTCGGCGGTATGCCCGTTTCCGCAAAAGGACCGAGTTGCTAGCCACTTCGCGTTAAGATGCCAATAAGATGAACGTTGTAACTAAAGCCAAAGACTAAATTAATGACAGACTTAATGCGCAGGATTAGGAGAGGCTGTAGTACAGTACAGAACTGTGCAGTATATTAATTTTTCTTTTCGGGGAACAAATTTTTCGGGGAACAGCAATATAGTGTGGAGTATTTACGATAGCAAATAAATATACGCATTACTTGGTAGTTTCATTTGAACATCTTGCGGTACGTGTGTATTTAAAAAAATAAGCTACTCCCAGTTTTTTTTGTAAATAGGGTTTGGTGTGGGACAAATACTAAAAATAAAAATTAGTGTGGCTTAAGAAACGATGACCGATGTGCTGTGTGTATTTAGAATTTAAAAGGCACACTCATATGCAGTTTTATAAATTTTCAGTGTTTTGGCATTAGTTTTACGAATGGATATATGTCGATGTATTAAATTTATTCAGTGCGTGAAATGAACGAATAAATGCACATTATTGAAAAATATATGTTTTTGTGTTTGTTTTGGCAGGAACAATTCACAGCGATGCGGGATCTGTACATGAAGAACGGGCAGGGATTCGTGCTGGTGTACAGCATCACCGCACAGTCGACGTTCAATGATCTTCAGGACATTCGGGAGCAGATTCTCAGAGTGAAGGATACCAATGACGTAAGGGCTGGTGTATACACACAGTTAATTACACACACATACATACGCTGCAGTGATTCGCACTGTTTCCGTCTGGAGAGAGCGGAAAATTGGCCGGCCTAATGCAATAATGGTTCTGGGTTGGGGAAAAAGCGCCAGTGGCTTCTGTTTTTCTTGGCAGATTAAAGGGTTTTATGCGGTTTTTGTCCGCGGGGCAGGATGTATTGATTGGGGTGGGGAAGAAGTAGATCATACGCGGTGATAGGGGATGTTGATGGAATAAAGAGTATTTTACCGGTTGAATTTTGCAAATTGTTGTCCAGGAGTGTTTTTATAATTTTAGGAAATGTTTTGACGTTCTTCTAGTTTCCATTGATCTACAGTGTTAGTACTTGGTTAGTAGGTTGGTAACAGTATGGTTTTCATAAAGCTGACATTTGCCAGAATTAACTTTAGATCCAGGTCAGAGCGTTGTGATATTTGTGGAGTTTTATGATAGTTACCGGTAAGAAATGTGTAGAATTACGTTTTAACAACGCTGATTCGGCTTTGTGTTATTTCCGGCTTGTTTTACGGTACCGGCTGTGCAGTCTGTTGGAGTAATAGAAATCGTAGTGAGTTGGCAGACAGTCTATGAAAACGGGAATCGTTGTGCCTGATGCAATAGATTGAATAGATTCAATAGATTCAATTGAACTTTGCTTGTACAAGTACTATCAGGTAGCTAAACTTTTTTGGGATTCTACAATCCAGCTATTGGTATTGAAAAATTCGTTGTGTCAGTTGGCAGAATTAATACATTTCCGCGTCCCCAGAAACATAAAATAGACGAAACTGTAAAAAGCTATCACGATGATAAACACTACATAATTATGTCATTAGGAACTAAATTTCGTTAATAAATGTGTTGATATTCGAACGTTTTGGTGATTTACGATTAGTTTCAATTTTTAAATATAAAATTGTCACGGTGTGAATAAGGCAAGCGGTGTACGACGTACAGTACATTACTAGTAATTTTATTAGTAAGCGGCGCGTGTATGATATCAAAGCCGGCTTCGTGTTGGCTGGATGGTGAACACAATACCGAACGGTCGGTGCGTGCATTTCCGGAAAAGAGATTGATTACTGTTGTGTTACCTGTGATATTTGTATGGAGATTGTGCTGGACTTATGGGCATGACATCTTTCAGGTTCCCATGATCCTGGTGGGGAATAAGTGTGATTTGGAGGATGAGCGGGTGGTGGGCAAAGAGCAGGGCATGAATCTGGCTCGCTCCTTCGATAATTGCGCCTTCCTGGAATCGTCGGCCAAAGCCAAGATCAACGTGAACGAGGTGAGTGTGTGTGGAATGTGGATGACGCGCGTACACCTGGAGCGGCTGTGTTCTGGATGAGGCAGACCGATACCGTCGTGGCTGTTGTTGTTGTGCACGTTGTGTGCCGTCTTTTCAATGGCGCACGGACCGAGCGAGAGGGGTTTTTAATTAGTGTTTTCAAGTGGGATGGTAAAGGATGGGTTGATTGTGATACCGGGTGGAGGATGGATAATAACCCTTCTTTGGGCCGGGGAAATATTGACGTGCTTCACTTGCGTATATGGGGATAATTGTTGTTTTGGTTTGAAAGATATGGCTGAATGGGGAATTATTTTTATTGATTGAGGGTTTGGCTCGGCTATTCAGCGCAGGCGTAGGTTACATGACTGAAGGCATTTAAGTGGAAAATAATGTTCTTCTAGAAAATAATGTTCTTCTCCATTCGATCTCGGGCAGGATGTTTTCCACGGTATTTAAAAGAACATATTCTTCTTATAGTTATTGTTGTTTTGTCTTAAACGAAAAAACTGTAAAAATAAAATGATTAAAGTGATATCGTATGATAAAAATCCAGTGCTTTTCGTTTACAGTAGATGCTTAAATTAATTTATTTTAATTTCAACCTTGTACAAACAAATGCCATTTACCATTTAAACATTATTTAGATGCTTAAATTGTCTCTTCACGTTTTATTTTCGGAAACGAGGTCGGTAGACTCGATACCCTCTATCTGTACAGACGCAGTAAACCTATCATAGAAGAATTGAAGTACGATTTTATTGGATTAACTAATGTGTAGTTTCTCTGTTTAAAAATTTAAAACTGTGCTTAAGACTTTTCAAACCACCAAAATGGTTGTATTTTAAGTCTTATTCGACCCACTGAATGAAGGAGGCTGAGAAAGACGGCCAACGTACTACAGTATTTTTTGTAATGGTATTGGATGCCTCAACAGTGCTCATCACTGTAGATGATGTTCTTCTGTTTGGTGTTTTTGAAATTACACTAAATGCACCGTTTTCAGATTGTCATTAATCGTTGGTTTGTAGATATTTTATGATTTGGTACGACAAATAAATCGCAAGAATCCCGACACGAAAGCCAAGCACAAGAAGAAGAAGGGCTGTACGCTGCTGTAAAGAGGAACGCCGGAAGGGACTTTTCCTGCTCGTTTTGTCGTACAGCAGCTGGAGGGCGTGGCTTCCTTTCCTGGATTAATTCGCCGGCCGCCTCCTCTTCTTACAAATGGTTCTCCGTGATTTTCTGCCATACTGTTTTTGATTTTCCCCTTTTATTATTTTTCTCGCGTCGGACAGGTTCGAGATGTGGCGCTACATTGTCTGTATAAGGTTGGAAATGTTAATTTTTTAGCTGTTAGACCGTTTTTTTGATTAAGTCTGTATTTTGTATTAATTTTGGGAGAAAAGTGCTATGGTTTTTACACAAATGTTTTTAGTGTTCTCGCTCAGCTTATTAGTCATGCTCCGATCTACTTTAATGGAAAAATTGTCGAATGCTGATAAAAAATATGGTTCAGTGAAAATGAGGAAAAAATTGGTAAATGACTCGATTTAGAAAAAATCGAAAAAGCCGCAGCAGCATCTTGCGTGTTACTACAGTATACAGAACATGTACACGAATCGCAGAATTATTTGTCAAGAAAATCTTGTACAAATCCTGGCCGGTACAGATCTGTACTTCTGCATAAACGGATACTAAAACCAAAGGTACACACCATGCTAAAACTCTCCGAGATTTAGCAAATGATTACAACGAAATCAAAGAGCCGATAAAATCCTTAACAAAAGAACTAAAGCTATTTAGGAACATAATCGAAATAGGCGCAAGATTTTCGGGGGTATTTGCATATCACACCACAAAAACGCCATTCAAACCCAATCAAATCCGCCTCAACTTCCACAACAATTTACACCAATCGTTTTCTACCAATTAGCAACCGCATCTGGTTTGTTACAGTCCCAGTTAGTCTTACGCGCTGTTGGTGCGGCTGTGCTTTCCGACGCGCTGACTTCGCCCGGTGCATGGATGCGGATGAAATCGACCACCGCCTGCGCCCACACGGCCACACCGAATCCTCTCCGCTCACTTTCCGGTAGATGATGACGGCCTCCCACAGCCATCCCAGCGCTTTTGGTAGGGCCTCACGGTACACCGGCGCCAGGCGTTGCTGCTCTGTTTCATCCACGCTGCGTTTCCACAAGTACGGTAACACCGCCGTCCTCACCAAGAAGCGCGCCCGGCTTAGATGGTACTCCGGATAAACGGCGCTGCAATCAGAAGATTGGCACATCCATGAATTTTTTTCCCTAAGCTAGCTGCATTCGTCTTTTTTCTAGCATAAAATGGGAGACAAATTAACAGCTGGAGAGACAAAGAGAAAAGGACGCGAAATGTTTTTCCATTCCTTTCTTCTCATAATAATGTTTATTCTTATGATCGGACAGTCGATGCCTTGACTTACGAAAGTTCATGACGTGTAAAGTCATAGTAACATTTGATAGGTGACGGCTCCAATCAGCGACGGATTTTAAAGAATGACTGGCTCAAGCCTCAAGCTAGTAAACTCAGAGGATTTTCAGAGTGTTACCCAAAAACGGCCTCTGAAACCGTGCTCCGTGTCAAACTTTATAATTATTTCTGTAAAATAAAATAGCAGGACAAAATCCTCACCGCACACAATCCACCATCCCGTCGGCCAGTTGCCACGCCTCTTCATAGCGGCCCTCGGCCTGCAGGAAGTCAACGGCATCCGCGCCGCAGGTGTAGCGCATCCGGGACGACCGTGTCTAATAGTTTGACTCGTCCCATCGTGTCAGAGTGTTGTGCGTATAGCACAGGGATATTGGCACGGACGCCTCACCATCATTGGCTCGGCTCACCATCTGCCAGCTTTCCAAACACGACTGATCGTGTTTGCCATTCGAGTGCCAACCTAGGAACCGTTGACATCGTTTCCTAGCTCTTTTTGGATTCCATGCCCTTTTTCTCACCTTTAGAGATTTGTTTGATGCTGACTAGCATTTATTTCATTGAAATAAAAGCGATTATTTCGAGGAGATGTTGTTTCCGTTGTCGTTTCTCTGTGCAGCGTAGACGCTTCTCCGAGATGGTGGAGATGCCTCAAGATCCCTGTCATTCCCTTAATTTTGTTTAACTTTTGCACTCGATAACGGTTCTATCACATACGCCGTGACACGGAAGTTCCTCTCCTTCAGTGGAGGTCCCAGCTCATCAGTGACAGCTAGCGGAGGAGAATCCCCTACAGCACTAGAAGCAAGGAGCGTCGCTGGTTCGGAAGGCACGCGGCCGCCAGCAAGGAGAAGAACCGCGGATTACGCATCAAAGTGGTAGGCGCTAAGCCTATAATTTTGAATTTTATAGGATTAATTCCTGAAAAGGACGGATCATTTCTGTCCAGAGAGTACAAATTAGTGTTTTGATAAAACAGGGAAGGAAGAAAACGATTGTTTTCAATTAATTGAGTACCGTACAGTCAAAATTGTGACAAAAATGAGGAAAGTTTTGGCTATTGTGGTAGATGGCAGAGTAGTAAAAATTATCGTGACAGATATTGTCGTGGTGTATCTGGATGACATCCTCTTATAAGAGAACGATTGTTCTGTCTTTAGGATGTTATTTGATTATTAGCCGAACGCACGAATTGTTTTTGTAAAGGTTATTTATAACGGAGCGATGGCCCTACAGAGTGGATTTCCCCAGTCTTGCTTAAAAGTCATGTCAAAGAACCAGCTGATCTCTATCAGTGATAGCCGCTCTTTTGTGTAAGCATAGCTGCAGAGCAGCTTAATGGAATTGCGTGGAGCAGGCCATTCATAGCCGCCCAGGCCAATCTTCTAACTGTACAAAATCGAAAACTGCAAAGCAGTCCTGTAGCATAACAAAAAAATAAGTTTAGATTTTGACGATAACTACTATCATTTGATATTTCTCGAGTTCGGATGGCATAATGCCGATACACCGCTCCCCGACCAGAAAACAACCAGCCATTGATAGGCTGAAGCAAGGCGTGGAGGACGTGTTAAAGTCGGCCAGTAAAGTGTTAAATCGAATAACCGAAGACCCAGCAAAGGCTGGTACGAGCGGGGCTCCACAACCGGACAAAGTAACCCGTAGTAAGGCAAATCAGCTGAAAGAGGCAGGTGTGGAAATTACCCACAAAGTCCTCCAAGATAAAACCCGTAAGCTAATCTCCTTGATACACCAGTAATGGAGCCGCCTGATCAGTTGTTTTTCAGGCCGCTAACGCCAGATAAAGTTAGACAAGTCAATCCCGATAATCGGGAAGAGGAACGCGCGCCTGCGCCGGAACGATCTGAAAGTGCTACAGAGTCAACGGCCACGACAGGGTCGTTTTCTCAAGTGAGCGAAAGCGAGCTGAATAAGTCCGCAACGACGGACGAAGAGGAGGAACCGGTAACAGTTGTGCCTACCACATTGCGTAAAACGCAATCATACACTGCTAATCTAAATGAATTGCTGAATTCTGCGGCTAAGCCGGCAACAGGTTCCACTATTGTGGAATTAAAACAGGCGACCGAAACTGTTTCGGCAAACCAAGTGTTGATAAAAGATTTGCAGAGGAAGCTAGAAGTAGCTGAGGACGAAGTCCAGCACCACAAAAATCACTACCAGCACGCCCATAGCTCCTTTAAAAATATGGAGAAAATTGTGTTGGGCTTGCGGGCCGTAATAGGCGAAAAGGATGCGGCGATTGCCGAGTTAAAAGCGAAAGTAGATGAAGTTCGTGTCAGAAATTCCGAAATGAATCAGCAATTAGCTGAGAAGGACACCATGCTTGATCAAGTGTGGCAAGAAAATCAGCGATTAAAGACCAACAATTTTAATTGCACGACCGATCTGAAGAACGTGCAATCTATGTTGCACGAAAGCCAAACGGCACACCAATCTCTTATTGGGAAATTTAATTCTTTAGCGAAAGATTACCGAGTATTGTATGACCGGCAAATGAACCCGGAAGCCGTGGAATACGGCGAGCGACCGCTCAGCAGGGCATATGCCGGTAATACTGGAGCCGAATCATCCCGTGTACAGCATACGCCCTCGGCAATGAACGAGAATAACTCTCGGGAAATGCCGAGCGCTGATAAGCAGCAATATCTCCGCAGTATTTTGCGGGAAGAGATCCAGCGAGCAGGCATCGTACAAAGCAGGACAGTTAGTCCTGTTAGAAAATCGGACTTGGCCGAAGTGATGCGACAGCCCGTACCGCGTCCCAACTACAATGGTAGTAAAGAGGACATAGATAGTTTTATTATCAAATTCGAGCATGCGGCAACCGCAAATCGTTGGGTAACCGATGAAAGGAAGATTACCGAATTGGCGTATTGCCTCAAAGACGATGCCATTATTTGGTATAACGGATTGATAAGGTCGACAACACCGCCGACGACCTATAAGGAATGGAAAAAACAGTTAATTGCCCGTTTTGGCGATTCGAAAAGAGCAGTAAATGCCCTCGCTGAATTGGCAAATCGTACCTACAAACCAGGTCAAGAGACTCTGGAAACCTATTATCAGTCAATGATGACACTGCGCGATCGCGCAGGATTTAATGGATCACCGGAACAAGTCGTAAACTTCCTTGTGAAAGGGTTGAAAACCCACGAGAAGTTGCACGATAAAATAGAGATAATGAGACCGCTAACACCAGAACAATTTCTGGAAATAATTCGTTATTTATCGTCAAATAACCCTGAGAAATATGTAATCCCAGTCGGCAACGTCCGGCGTAAACAGGACCGCGATAGCGAGGCAGTGACCGTACGAACTGTACAACCGAAGACTTACGCGGCGGCGGCCAGCCCGCCGCGGCCAAGCAGTAAAAACAGTGGAAAACCGAGTTACGGTAGTCGTAACAATAATAATAATAATATTCGCAGTAATATCAGCAAAGCTGAGAGTAATGACAGTCGAATCAATCAGGATGATAACCGCGCGCCGTCTCGTAAGGAGCAATGGGCAAATAACATTAATAGAATACAGGAAGTGACCGATCGGTCACCGGCCCTGCAGAAAACTCTGCGTGGCAACCGAGTGGTGAAGTATTGCCAGCACTGCGATTTGTGCGGGCATTACTTCCGAGAGTGCCAGTTCCGCGATAAGCCGCGATGCGAGAATCCTACATATCTCGCTTATCACGATCCAGAGACTGGAAATCGGCGATATGCCGCCGATTTCTATCAGCGCCGTAGTGGCAGTCAGTCGGGAAGTGAACCCAATTCGCCGGCAAGGCCGAGGAGTAATTCCCGGCAAAGTATCGGCCCGGTGGAAGATCGGATACGTCCGACTCCAGGATCACCGTTACCGGATAATAATCCGTTTTCGGGTTTGGCTGATCAGGAAAACGAGGAAGGGCGGTAAATTCCGGCTTTACCGACCCGATTCCGCCCAAACCGCCGGACAAAATCGAAAGAGTTACAATCAACGGATTGCGCATCGTCGAACCCGATGAATCATCGGATAGTAGCAATGCTACCATTAACTTTTGTACTGCTGTAATCAATTACACTGAACCTAGACGCGCACATCCACTAATGTTGGATGCAACTATAAACGGGCGCGAAGCGCCAGTAATGATAGACACAGGAGCAGAAACATCGTTAATCTCTAGCGAATTTGCTACGGAAATATGCGCTGCGAAAATTCCACTAATTAAGTCTCTGCATATCCGCGGTATTGGCGGAGTGCGCGGCTTCTTAGTAACGCATTACTGTCGGATAATTATTAAAATACGCGACTTTGAAGCCATCCATTCGGTTTATATTAAACCGACGACCGATGAAATTAAAGTCTTGCTAGGTCAGGACTTCCTGCAGCATACTTTCTATGCAGTACGGAATAATAAATTGCGTTATCTGGAGTATCAACCAGATGGAAAACCAGGCCCGCTAATAATAAGTGAATCGGTGTCGCCTGTTATTCAGACGATAAACACCGTGGAGGAGAAAGTCTTCCCGATACCCGTGGCAACGGGAGAATTACAGGTTAACCGACCAGTGAAATCATTAGAGGTTGTTGAAAATGCACCGAACGAGGACAAAGTCTTCCCGATACCCGTGGCAAAAGCCACAATTAAATCAGTATTAAAAAGACCAGCGAAAATTCTCTTGGCAACAAAATCAACGTTCCGACGCCTATGGGGCGAATATAGGGTTTTAGTGAGAGAAATTCAAGAATTAGTAAAAGCAAAAGAAGATGGTACAAACGTTATGTACCTTTTCATGGATGAAGATACACCCGTACCGGGGATTGACTCTGCAAAGGCAGAAGAAATCGTCCGTAATCTAGCGAGGCAATATAAAGCGGAATATTCTGCCTTAGAGGAAAAACAGCGACAGTTAAATGAGATATTTAGGCATTTAAAAATACCGCTGCCTTATGTACTACGTACATCACTGCGCGTATTAGCGCAATTGACTCGACGTCAGCTGCCAGTATTACCGTATCAGTTAGCGGTATGTAAACCGCTGAACAATTTCGTGAATGAAACAATTCCTAAAACACTTGCAACCCATAGTCGGTCAGTAAGTTTTGCGCCAATGGCGCGGGTAGTTGAATTTTTAAAAGATGATCCGCCTATCGTAGTGAGGAATACTCTCGATACTGCCGCTACTAATGAAATTAATAATAATTTAATTAATCAAGATAGCATCGAAGTAGTACCGGATTCTAATAATTTAATTATCGTAAATGCAGAATTGGTAGGGCCCACTGATTCTGCCGAGATCACTAATGAATCTCCGACTTGGGAATTTTCCCAGTCTCCGAACATTAACCCCACTTACCGCGGTACACGCGCTAAGCCTATCAAAGTATTCGCCGGCGAAAAACTACTAATTAATCCGGGTACTAATTGGGCGACAGTAAATGTCCAATTCGATGCGGATGAGCAGTTCGATACCGACAAATTTATATTTCTTCCGAGTCCGCACCTGTATATGGAACGGCGGATAAAACCGATGGAAGGTGTGGTTAAACCACTGAACAACAAGTTTGATATGGTATTTGTTAACTTTTTACATCAGCGGCAGTCAATCAAAAAAGGCCAATTTATTGGCTATTTAGAACCGTACGAGGAAATCCCTGATACAAATATTCAAGTTAATGCCACAATGTTGGCAGAAATGACACTAGAAGAGCAGGAAACCGTTAAAAAAGCTGTAGATGAGTTGAAAATCAACTCCAACTTAACGGAACAGGAAATTAGGGAAATCAAGGAAATTTTCCTTGAATATCCTGGCTTATTCGCCACAAAAAGTCGCCCATTTGGCGACGTACAAATCGTAAAGCATCAGATCGATACTGGCGATACTGCGCCAATAAAGTCAAAACCACATAGAACTTCATGGCGAGGCCGTGAAATAATTCAGGAACATGTGAACGACATGTTAGCAAAAGGAATAATTCGCAAGTCGAATTCACCGTGGTGTTTTCCTGTTGTGCTAGCGAGTAAAAAGAATCCCGATGGGACTATCGGCACGCGATTTTGCGTGAATTATATAAAATTAAACGACGTTACAAAAAAGAACAACTATCCGCTTCCTAACCCTGATGAACTGTTACAAGCAGTAGCAGATAATAAGTACTACTGTGGGTTTGATTGTAACGCCGGATTTTGGCAAGTGCAAATGCACGAAGATTCGATAGAAAAAACTGCGTTTATTACGCAGGACGGACTCTATGAATTTTTAAGAATGCCGTTCGGCGTCTGTAATGGCCCTGCAACGTTTCAAGAAGCCATGAATAGGACACTATCGGACGTTCATAGCGAAAATATTTTCGCCTACTTAGACGATATTATCGCTGCCGCTAAAGACTTCGAAGACCTTAAACGTAAAATACGTTTAATGTGCGAGTGACTTTTAAAGGCAGGTTTCACATTGAAACCGAGTAAGTGCCATATTGGCGAGACAGAGCTGCATTTCCTTGGACATATTGTGTCCAAGGACGGGATAAAAACGGATCCCGATAAAATAGCGGCCATTGAGAAATACCCGAAGCCAGAGACAGAGAAAGATCTGAGGTCATTCCTCGGACTCTGTAATTACTATCGTAAATTCGTTAAGGATTTTGCCGGTAGAACGCGCCGTTTATACGGCCTACTAAAAGGAGAAATCGATGTAAAATCGAATTGGACCGTAGATCACGATAGTGAATTTGCTGATTTGAAATCAGCATTAATTAACGCACCAGTACTGGCGAAATTTGATCCAAGTAAACCAACCGTAATCGAATGCGATGCATCGACGGTAGGAATCGGTGCTATATTGCACCAAGACGGTCACCCAATCATTTATGCGAGCAAATTGCTCACAGACGCTGAAAAGAAATATCCAATTACAGAATTGGAATGTATGGCAGTAGTCTTCGCGTGTCGGAAATTTCGACACTTCATTGAATACTCACACTTTTCAGTACAGACTGATCATCAAGCTTTAACTAATTTATTGAGATCGGTTTCCCGTAAAGAGGGACTGAATGGCCGTTTAACGCGCTGGGCACTCCAGCTAAGCAGTCATAAAATGACTATATTATACAGACCGGGAAAACAGTGTGATAACGCTGACGCGTTATCACAACACGGGGAAATACCTACATCGCTGTGGCGATAGATGAACTTACGAAATTCGTAATTGCAAAACCAATACCCGACGCAAAGGCGGAAACTGTCGCTAATTTCTTGATTTATGACGTGTTCCTGCCGTATGGAACACCACAAATTCTGAACACCGATAGAGGAACACATTTCCATAATTACTTATTGGAAGCAATAAATAAAAGGCTAAGAATACAGCACCATTTTGGTGCTGCGTATCACCCGATCGGGCGTGGACTTGTCGAAAGACAAATGCAAACAATTGCTGATTCACTCGCGATGTACGCCAGTGACGGCCGGGAACGTAATTGGGACAAAGTCCTACCATTTGTAATTGCCGGAAAAAACCGTGTAGCGAATAAAACGACAAACCTGTCGCCGTATTTTATGCTATACGGTAGAGAGCAGGTTATTCCTGCAGATACGGAAACAAAAACGAACCTCCCGGTAGATCACGCGACAATTCGCGACTATATGGAGGAATTACGCTATAATTTGAGTCGCGCTCAGGATATCGCAGAATTGCATATTCGTAATGAATTTGATAAAAACGCCGAGCGATTCGACAAAGGTCGGTCGGAAGACACCTATAATATAGGTGACATGGTTATGCTGAAAATTGAGAAGAAAAAGGCGAAACGGAGTCATTCCGTCGGAAATATGAGCTCGAACCGTGGGAAATCATTGGGTTTCCCTACACTAATGCCGTCGAAATTAAACGAATAAATTTCGATAAAACAGAGGAGATACGAGTCGTAATTGTGAACGGCTAAAGCCGTACAAAACCACCGAAGAAGATCGCAAGAGAGAAACCTTTTGGTTCAGAACTTGTTGGAGAATCATAAATTAAGGGAAACCCCTGCGAACGATGTGGTCCGTACCTCTGCAGATAATTCTGCGAGTAATTCCCCCTGTAGCTGATACAGAAGAGTGGGAAACAGTAGATAACGACGACAACGATAATAAGCGCAATACCGCTAATAAACCGGTACCAAGAAAGCGCTTTATGCTAAGTTGCGCAAAAGCGCTAATGGATATGTTAAAATTCATCGTATAACAGTAGGATCGAAGTACACAAAGTGAAAAACCGTCAAACAGTATTAACTGTTTAAATAAAAATAACGAGCGTTATTTCAACGCCGTAATACCGTATCAAAAAATTTCACAATTAAATTGTGTAATTTTTTCCATTGCAGATATTTTCGCAATGGACCGCGATCAGCGACCGAACCGACCGGTTGGCAGAGGTAATCCTCGATTCTTCGCCCCACCCGTAGCGGGAAATCAAGCTTATCGCCCGACGCAGCGATTTGCTGCCCCGAATGTCCAGAACGTTCAAAATGCCGGTAATTTGCCCAATGTGGCACCAGAAGTAATTCCAGTGACTATGTCACGTAGCACGCAAACTGATCCAGTAATAGTGGCATCATATGCCGAATATGAGCTACTGTTGCGCAGTAATCGGGAACGCGACTTGGCATCTTACAGACACTCGTTAGCAGCGACTGCTGCCCAACCAGAGGAAATAGCCGCAGTTGATCAACTGCATATTACTCCGCCAGCAGAAAGAGTGGCAAAGGCCATGATAGCGCGTGCAAAGGCACAGAGTGATGCTGCAGAAGCCTCAAAAGAAGTTGAAGAGGTGCCGTATGAATCAATTGTAAAGAAACCTATTAAATCGCCTGCAAAAGCAGGAGTAGAAACAGCGTTGAAGGCAAAGCCTAAGCGAAACAGATCACCGAAACCGCCGGCAGACGCCGACGAACGATTAGCAAAGCTGATCGCCGACCACGAGCAGCAAGAGGCCAGAGATAGGCAGCGTTGGGGGCAATCCTTCATAATGGAAGGTCCCTTTGCCCCGACGAAAACAGACGCCCCTAATGGGAAAGAACTCCGAGTAGTTACGATGCCGCAGCATGTGTATAATACACCACAAGTCTTAACGCAAATAAGGCCACAGTTGCAAGTGCAACCGCCCCCGGCATTCTGGAAGGAAACTGGCTTAAAGCCAGCCGTAATTAGATTCCCTACTCCAATGGGAGTCGTGCAAGCGCCGATCGAACACCAGCAAGCGGCTGGGACTCTCAAACGGGGCCCGAACTCAGTACGAATCAAGGAAGAACAGAGCTACATTATCCCGAAATTATCGGGATCGCGAACACCGTCACCAGCCGTTAGTATTAGTGCCATATCCAGTAAGACGCGCCCTTATCGCGTGCAAAGCACGCCCTCGCCGGGAGAGGAGGATAAAAAGCGTAAACTGGAGGAAGACAGAGAGGAGATATCTCGAAGAGTTGTTCAAGTGAGGGAAAAGCTGAGACATCAGCCATCGTCGTCTGATGACGATGAACAACCGCAGCTTGTCATAGACGAGCAATGTAGCGATATTGCCCAAAAAGGTAGCGAAGGAGACCCGATAAGAGTTTCTAGTGAATCTAATGGACGTAATAATTCTCCGGAAATTCCGGAACCAAAGCCTGGCGGACCACCGCCCACACCAAGTCCCCCCCCCACCAGTAAAGACTGGAAAACCGCTTCCATCGGTGTCTAGCGATAAAATCGCTGAGGTCACGAAGGTGACTCTGGACATTATTAACAATGTCCGAAAAAAGGACAAGATGGCGGCGCCAGCTTATCTTTTACAAAAGTATAGCCAGGTTATAGCTCCTCGGTATATCGATACCGAGGAATATGCATTTATTGTGCAAGTAGCCTCAGAACGCGGCACGTTGGTGGAAGTATACGAAAACTGGGCACCAACGATGAAATATGCGATAACCGCAAGTCGTAAAAGTCGATATGTCGACATGAGAGTCCATAACATGCAAGAAATGCTAGAAGCGGTGGCAATTGCTATCAGAGATATCCACAACGTTCGTGGATCAACTATCGATGAGATTGTTAGGTATATGTACCTAACAATGCCATTAGATTCAGTCAATCCTGAGCAGCGTTACTCGGACGTCACCACCGCTGTTAACGAGGCGATTGCCACAGGAATAATCGTAGATGCGGCATTGGCCGGTAATAGTGGGCGATACGCCCTGGCGGAGACAAACCGAAAAAGGATAGCTGAATTAACTGGTCAGCACATCGAGGAAGTCCCATATTCTCCGGCCAAACGACTTCCATTCGGGCAAAGGCCCATAGCAGCGGATGAGCCAAGGAATTTGTTGGCTCAACCGTCGCGTCACGAATTGGCAGTCGCCATCTACAAAATCGAACAAAGGGGGGAAAACCCTACAGCCCAGCGAATTAACGATTATTTTGGTACTTATCCGCCTTATGCGGTGCAGTCTATGCTTCGTACAATGTACGAGGACGCCCAAATCACACGCCGCTACGACGGCGAAACTTCACCGTCATACCGCTTCGGGCGCAAAGGACTCTCGTTCTTACAGAACGTGCAGTTCGATAAATTAAAACAGTGGGATGAAATTGTCGTAAAGACAATTGGGGAAATCGGTGACCCTGCTGGTTCATCACCGGATGAAATCATCCAGTATATTAGAACCGTTTGTCCGGCAATAGCTAATTCAGTAGATGATGCCGTTACTCTAGCGATAAGTCGCTTAATTAGCGACCCGAGAATAATCGGGCTGAATGACCCACATCGTGGGATGGTTTTATCCGTAGTGTTAGATCACGTTAGCGAGGAAGATAATTAAAAGCAGTATCTCCGAGGCGGTGAATGCATATAATATGCAATAAGATAAATGCCGTAGTTGCAGAATAATTTAATTAATTTAAATTATTTGCAGAAGGAATGGAGGAATTACCGTACGCCTATGCGCCAATGCGCTCCTGCAGGCGATGCCAACATAACACTAATAATCGGAAATGTGTGGAATGCACATTGGGGCCGAATTTCCGATCGGAAAATCCGCAGGTTACCGTATCTCGTCTGTATGACGAAGTGCTGCTACGCAGCTTGGATGCCTACCGCACTATCACATTGCCAGAATACTGGACAATAGTCAGCGCCACGCCGTATTATTATCGTGGCGTTTTTGACAGCGCGGTGCAGTTTATCGGCGAGGGCACCGATGAGTGGTCCTATGCGATTCACCCGGAAAATTTCGGGCGATGCACAGTGGATTTGATGAAGCGCGTAACTGCGCCACCGAATCAGATGAATTTACATGTAATCAGCGATTGTGGAAATTTTGAGATATTTCCCTTGAATCAAGATATTCAGTACTTGCCGGGCAGGGATAATTCCCATAATTTGCAGAATTATCCGACGAATTTCGGCGGACAGCAAATGCCGTCCCAGCAGCCAGCATATGGCCAATGGCAGCCGCCAGTTATGTTTTCACCGCAGCAGCCATACCAGCAGCAAAGTCTGCCATCAATGGGATATCAGCAGCAACAGCCAGTTCGGTATACGAATATGGCATTACAAGTACCGCCGGGTGCTTTGCCACCGGAGCATATTGCTCATTTGCAGCAGAGTCTTCCCAGCGGAAGCTATCAATACGATCCGGAGACCAAAACCATAACACCGTGTCCATGGCCGGCTGGAACAGCACCGAAAGAGCCACAACAACGGCAAGCTAATCCGTTGTTAGCGAATCTTCCGCCACTGACCAGAAAACCGCCAGTGAATCAACAACCGCCTTTAGAGTTGCTGCGAGTGCAAGCTGCGTCTGTAAGTGAACCAGTTTTCGAATCTGAGCCGAACTCAGGCGCTAGTTATTCTAGCAACACTAGCAATGCTAGTGGTAAAGCTCGACAGAAAATTACTTATAACTTACCGAATGTGGGGAAAACCCCAGATAACTCGTTTGTGGAAGGCGATATTATGCCCGGTAAGCTGAATGCAGCTGTTAAATTTCAGAGAAAGAAAACGCCGAACTGGAATGTCCGCGCTACGCGCGGTGAACCAGTTAAATACCAGCCAGATGCATCTGTATTATTGATGCCCGAGCGTCAGACGCATCCACAGTACATCCGCCGTGATATCGACGTTATTCGTCGGGACTTGGATCAATATGTTGATCGCGTTGTGTCAGTAATTGGCACCGTTAACGCTGATCAGCGAGCCGAAATTGGCAAAGCCATCACTGATACTTTGGACTTACTCCATACTATCGGATATGATCTCCGTATACGGAACTCGATCAACATGTATAAAATCGATTTGTTCCGTCAGATGGAGATCAGGCGATATGAAACGCTGCGTCGTTATGGTTTACGGAGTGCGCTGGATATTTTCCAGCTAAAGGAAAAACTTATTGAGATTACCGTCGTCGATTGGGAATTAATTTCCCAATTTAAAATTTTATTTACTGAAGAGCCGGAGGAATTCCTCCTTCAGTTTATACTACCGGACACGGATCCAGCAAAGTTCTGGTTTTTCTGCCGTGCCGCTTGCGCTATGCAGCGTAAGATAGCTCCCATGAAAATTACATGGGATACGATCGCTATCGGATGGGGACTTAAGAAATATATTCTGGTCATCCTATCCGCGCTTATGGGCAATTGCCATGCTCATCATTATGCCCGGACATATCGTCAGGCTGAGCAGAATCGCCGATTAAAGAGTTACGTTAATCGTATGGGGGAGCCTCTTAATGAGGAACAACAGGCAAAAGTCCTCAACGATCTGCTGCATGTGATGCAAGTTGATGGACTGAAAACCGAATCGATCCATAAGGGACACTACGACGGGATCTATGATCTCATTAAGCGATTCGCCGAACGTCAGAATCAGGGAAAGCGCAAAGTCGCTCTAAATTCCCCTGACACTCCGTCAACCAGTAAAACAGTCCAGCCTGGACTGAAGAAACCGATAGTGTCGATTGACACTGTAAGAAGCGAAGAAACGCCGAAGACAGCTAACGCTGTGCCAGTTGTATCGGACAGTACAGTAAAGACTGTACCAGCAACTGATACCGTAATCGCCGTACCGGCAGTAGTTACTGCGAATACACCAGCATCGACAAGCGGAACGCCGCAGAATGAAGTAACCACGTCAGTAGAATTACTGACAATTCAGGAAACTCCTGAGATAACGGAGCAGAAAGCTGCGATGGAGACGGACGAGAAGCCGTCGCTAGAGAATAATTTTCTCTTCCCGTCCCGGCAAGCTTTGCGGGAAAAACAACGGGAATTGATAGCCGCCGATAACCCGGATAGGACTCTTCTGGAATTGGACATTTGTGTTGTCACGATTCCTGACAACGACGATGAGCCGTTGTATTTTCTCATCCCCGCAGCTGAGGTGGATGTTGATATGTGTGAGGATAGCGGCGAAGCTAAAGCTACGTCCGCCGTACTGAGCGATGCTCTTAATGTATTGAATGCGGAACCGCAGGTACAGAAGCCGTAAAAAGCATTAAATGCTAAAATAAAAATCGCCGTAGTGTACAACGTATGTACTGATATTTAATCGCCGTAAATAACCCAACGAGTGCACCAGATTGAATTTATTTCAATCATTACAGAGATGAATCGCCGAAAACGCACAAATCAGTGCACAAATCAGTTTCAGAATTGCCGTAGTGCATTAATTGCATAAATCGAACGAATAAAATTGCCGTAGATGCACTAAGTTGCACATATGTCGTGGATCGACGCAACAATGCGTATGGTTGGAGGAAAAGCTCCGGAATAAACCTGCAAAATAACACGGATTAAAACGTGTGGAATGGGATTCGCCCGGATTAATTTTACCGGATTTTTGTTACGAGTTATAACTCGTCTTGATTAATTAAACGCCGCATTTTGCAGCGTGTGTTCTCACTAACCTGTGATGGAATAAATTGGCACAATTTTTTAATAAAACCTGCTCATTATGTTGCATTTAACATGCATTTCCTTGTTTTTCTCATTCCTGTTTTTGAGCCTCAAGGGGCCTCGGCATCCCGTCCCGTGGCATGTCAGAGTGTTGTGCGTATAGCACAGGGATATTGGCACGGACGCCTCACCATCATTGGCTCGGCTCACCATCTGCCAGCTTTCCAAACACGACTGATCGTGTTTGCCATTCGAGTGCCAACCTAGGAACCGTTAACATCGTTTCCTAGCTCTTTTTGGATTCCATGCCCTTTTTCTCACCTTTAGAGATTTGTTTGATGCTGACTAGCATTTATTTCATTGAAATAAAAGCGATTATTTCGAGGAGATGTTGTTTCCGTTGTCGTTTCTCTGTGCAGCGTAGACGCTTCTCCGAGAATCGTCTTCACAAAATTAACGGAACCGTCATCATCGACGTCCACGTCTTAGCGCATCGTGGCAAGAAAAAGCATTTTCTGTAGCTGAGTGGCATTGTCCGCTCCGCACTGCGAACAGGGCTGGAGGGCCCGTGCATCGCTGGGTATCCGTGCCGTACATCCAGTGGTGTGGCATTTCAAGGGATTAATATTCGCTTCCTGGAATAATTAAACACATCAAACATTCAATGGTACAGTGGGTGCACATCGCAGTGCAAAGCTCGTCTTGAACAAAAACGTACGTATTCGGTAGTGCATCTGCCGCAGTTGCACGGGTGACCGTAAAACATCATGAAAGTCTTTCGGCGCTGGTTTAGTCCCACAAAATAACTGGTACGACTTTCTTCATTCTGCCGCAGCTGGAAAACATGGTCGACGTCCAAATACCACACGCATTAAATTACGTACTTAATGAAGGCGCGTCAATTACTTATTAGCCTCTGTACGTCTAGACAATTGAGAGAAGTAATCAGAACATTTCACTTTAAAGGAAGCAGACAATCACCAGCCCGCGGGATGAACAGAAAACTGGTGTTCAGACGGTAAAAAAATCGCGTAAAGGCTGGTTTCTGTGCCTACACAGTATCCTTACATCTGTCATTCCACTGTAGTGAATCTCCTTAATCGCTCGCACCACCAGCGTGCGTCCCTTGAGGTCCATGCTGATGTTACTGTCCAGACAGACCGGCGTCATGGTGCGCTGCAGCGCCCGTGGGAAAATGCCCATAATCTCCGGTTTCAGCTTGTTGCGCTGGCTCAGAACGGGAAAGGCGTTGTACACCAGCTTCTTGACCATATCCTCAAAGTACGGAATACTGCGCGGATCCCGTGTGGCCAGATGGCATCGGAAACTTGCTGGTTAAAAAACGCGTACCTGCCAAACAGCACACATACCAGAAATATATTACAGATTCATCGGAAAATGCTTTCCATAAAACTATCACTGCTGAAAAACATTAAAGTAACTGACACGTCCGTAATGAATGGAAAGATGGGCTGGAGCGGGAGGACATCCAGGACTTGCTGGACCGTGACGCTTCCGCTGAATCCGGGCACTTTATCCAACGGTTCTTGCTACAAAGTGCAGACATCCAGTTTTATCACTTCCGCACAAGCGTTTTCCACTTTATCGACGATCACATTACTTAATGCCAGTATTGTTAAAAAGTAATTTAATATGTATGTACGTATAACCTTTATCTACGCACACTGAACACAATCTTCCGGTGAGCGTTTAAATATTACAGACCGTTATTATCTCTCCAGCGTAGCATCCGAACAGGCAGCAGCTGTGCAGTGCGCATTCATGGTCACCACCCTTGTGAACTGGCGCTTGATCGGATATCAAAGTAAGCAGGCGTTCGGCCTGGCCGTTCTCTTTGGAGCGCGAATCCGATGGCGTCATCAGGGAAGATTTGGCCACAATCGTATCCCATTTCCCGGAATCAACATTCGCGGCACGTTCGTCTTGAATCTCCAATAAGGCGGTCCAATTGTTAACCACTCGTATTGTCTGGATTTTCGATGGCCGGTCCATCTACAAAAAGAGATGGTGCAAGGACCCTTCATGTGCCCCTGCACCGGTCGATGCCGATTGTGCCTTTAAATGGAATAAGACTTATGAATGATAGGGACACAGCTGCTGCTGTAATAGTAATACTAATCAAAACCTGCCATTATCACTGATATAAACGAAATGAACATAACTATTAATTTCTAAAAAATGTCAAATTAACAGCAACTTTTTGGATTTGAATGAAGAACGGCAAGCGCTGCATATTAGGTGTGACGCATCGATTAGAAGCCTGCCTGTCAAAGGATAGGCCCTATAGCAGTTTAATTCTCAAAGGCGAGGCCGAATCAATATCACATACATTTGTGCCGGTTGAAGCATATACCGTTCGTGATAGGGCCTATCCTACTGCTATCATAGGAAAGCCCATGTTCTAAAACGCGGCCAGACAGAGTTCCTGTTTTAAAAAATGCATTAGAGCGACCAAGCAAATCATCTCAACAAGCCGGATCTGCCATATAAGCTTAAAGTACATCCATACTTAAGAATAGTACGTCCCTACATAAGAAACTACTGTTGCTACGTTTAGAAATATTAAATTTGAAAATAAACGACCTTAAAGAAGTCAGATATAAGGTCTTAGCCGGCAAACTGCAACTCCAGTTTTCGAACATAACTAAATGCGCAAACGTAAAAGAAGTTCTGAAAAGTTCTGAAAATGGATGACAAAAGTTCAGTTCTGAATGTTCCGTTCTTAGTAGAATACAGCTGAGCAATATTAGTAATTACGCTTCACAAATCATTACTGTACTCTAACCCGCTACGTTGTACGCTATGAGCGACGTTTGAGTTATACGACGTTTTTCAATCACACAACTCAAAACCTTTCATTAGTTGAACTTTCGCTCATGACCTTTCGTCGGAAGTTTTGTTTCGTCTGAAGGTGGATGAGTGACCAAGCTATTTAGTGCACAGTGCCCGTTAGGTAAACAAGTGACCAAACTACCACGGCTATCCGGGGCAAACGGCCCGTTAGGGAAATTGTGACTAAACTACCACTGCTATTTAGTGCACAGTGCCCGTTAGGTGAACGAGCAACCAAACTACCACGGCTATCTAGTTAATACCTAGACAGTAACTGTTGAATGTTGCTTACATTCGGGTACGTAAGTTTTCGCTTCTGAAATTTTGCAATTTATTTATACTAATCTAGACCGGCTGAGGACCACAAGAAATGCGGAGGCGCAGCCGACGTCATTTCTTGTAATTATTATTATACAGTACTAGTGTCAGTGGCAGTGGTCTACCGCGGTTCACCTTTGTCCATCAGAAGCAGTACGAGTACGAAGTACTTGTACTGTTTTACATACTTATTAATACAGTACATACCGGCACGCGCTTGTACAGGCCGTCTACAAAACGTACCAAATGTTGCAGCTAACTGCAGAGACGTTACAGTATGGTTACCTTAATACATTCTGCTGACTGCCTGGTGCGCCAGTTGAGCACGTCTCCTTTATTTTTTTCCCACTTGCGAATTGCGATTATGATTTTTGGTTGCGAAATCTGTTCATATTCCCCATCGACGGTTTGCTGATCATTCCAACTTCGCAGAAAACGTTCCGACATTTAATTAGATCTAGAAACTACATAAAATTCTTCTGTCGCACCGTGGTTTGGCTTGCAGCAGCAGGTACTGCCAAAGCAGTTTTCAGTGCAGACTTGCAGTTACTCAGTACTGCGGTGATCCTTCATTTCATCATGTCAGCAAATTCGTCTCAATGGCGATCAACACTTCCAGCAATATCTGACCAGCTGAAACATATCCTGGCTAGCGGTGCCATGAGTGATGTGCAGTTCACCGTTGGAAGTCAATATGGTGATGTGGAAAACTTTTCCGCTCACAAGTCAGTCGGTCGTACTATTTATCACACGTCTGCTGAGCTTGCATAGGAAATCCCGTTGCAGATTCGTTTTGAGCCTTGGCAGCGATGTCTTCGACACCATGTTTAACGGAGGTCTGCCGGAGAGCGGCGACAGTCCCATCGATATCCCGGAGATTTTGCCTGAAGCGTTCGCCACCATGCTGAAGTGAGTGCATGACTGTACTTGATGTACTAAAGTTTTTCCGTGGAATCCGTCGCGCACGTAGCCTTTGAAGAGCGTTTTGAAGAGCGAAAGTTTTGAAAGATTTTTCATTGTAACAATGTGCTCTAGGTATCTGTATACTCGGTCTGTGGAAGAGGATCTCAAACCGGAGAACGTTTTTGAGACTATCTACTGCGCTGACAAGTACAATCTACCACATCTGATGGAACTGTGCTTACAGTTCGCCAACACCCAGCTCAACGCTGACAACTGTCTCGTCTTCCTGGAAAAGGTTGGTTGTATTGGATCCCTCCTGTTGTTAACCCGTGATAGAGTGTTGTACTTGTATTCCATAATCGAGCAGGTTAAATATTCGGCGCACGAATGCAAGGCTGGTTTCGTGAAGAAATGCTTGGCGGTGGTGGATGCTCAGTGCAGTGACGTTCTGCAGTCGGACCAGTTCAGCGCTATCAAAGAAGATACGTTGGAAATGATTTTACAACGCAGTACATTGTCCGCTGAAGAAAATGTCGTCTACATGGCCGTAGAAAAGTAAGTTGTTTTTCCAGTGTCGGATGCTGCATCAAACCGTAGTTTACCCATTCTGGAGCCCCATCGTTAATAGGTTTTCATTACGGTTTTGGACTTTTGGGTGATATTTTTATTTCGGGCAAAAGGAAATGCTAAAAGGGGAATACTGCAAACAGTAAGATTTGTTCGTATTTAGTAAGGTATTTTAATAAGGTATTTGCAGTAAGGTACGTTAAAAGGGGAAATATTGCAAACAGTAAGGTCTTTTCGTTGGGGTGGAATTTTAAATTGGGGCAAGGTCAATGAATTCTAAAATTCAGTTAATTGTTTTTGTGCGATTGTAGGTGGTCGGTGAAAGCTTGTGTGCGGGACCATCTTGAGCCTTCACCGGCCAACCGCCGTGAGGTATTGGGATCGGCGCTGTTTCTCGTCCGCTTTCCTTTGCTTACCGATGCGCAACTGGCCAACGGACCCATTAAAGTAGGTGGTGTCACGCATTGTCATACGAGAAATAATCACCTACTCCAATTTCTGCAGAGTGGTTTGCTTTTGGATTCCGAGCTGCGGGATATCTACCAGTTCAAGCATGTCGACACTGGGAGTCAACCACATTGTCGTTTTCCGACTGAGCCCCGTCAAGGCTCGGTGTTGCGCGTCGCCAGCGCATATGCTACATTTACATACAAAGAAGAAGTATTCGCGGACGTCGATGCTCAGACTGCGTACTGGTGGCCAGCAAAGGTTATCGGGATACGTGAAGCGCAGGTGCTTGTTACTCGGAACGATGGAAAAACTGTGGAGCATTATCCGCCACACAACATTGTTCGGGCCGCGGACATCCTGAAGAAAGATCAGAAGCTGACTAGTAATATCTTCGGGATGCCTGATTGCGAACTCAAATACATTGGCCGCCGCACGGAAGATTCACACATTATCATTCAAGTTACGCACTATTCCCTCGAGTGGTCGTGTCCGTTTGATAATCTCCGGATTAGTCGCGCCCAGATGGCGGCGCGGAAGCCACCTGCTCCGCAATAGCTGGCCGAACGTAGCTGTCAAAAACATGGTTTTTGCGGAAGACGTTGCGGTATTATTTTTCTCAGGCAATTGAGATAAGGCTCTGCATTGTCTGTATAAGGTTGGAAAGGTAAAATTTATAAATGTCGGGCAGGTTTTTTATTAAGTATGTGTTTTGTATCAATTTTAGGTGCAAATGCTGTTGTTCTTACACAGATTAGTCATGCTGTGATCTACTTAAATGCAAAAATTTATGAGAGCTGATAATAAATATGGTTCGGTGAAATGAATAACAAAGTGGTAGAATATTTTCGACATAGAAACAACCCAACCGGCGCAACAACATCCTGCGTTGTTATGTCCGTACTCGAGCCGCAGAAATATTTATTAAGAAATTTGTAATTTATTAAGAAATTTGTAAAAACCGGCGCCGGAATTTTCGCGCAAAAGGATAGAGAACTCGACGACAAGTAACAACTGATAACAGCAAAATTTAGGGAGCAATTAAATCATAAGCAAAAATATAGTCATAGGTGGTAGGTACTCCGGATATATATTGCTGTAAGCGACAAGGTCAACTGCAGAATTCGTCCAGTAATCGAGCAAATATTGCGAATACAAAACTACAACGTTAAGTAGTCAAACAACAGGGATACGGCCATCATACGGGCCACGAACTAATTAACCAATGTATTATATCTGTACCTACATACATTACCAATCTCTATTCTGGATATTCAGTTACTTACTCGTTAACAAATTTTCTATGCATTAGTAAACGTGGGCAATCCAGTTAAACCAAACTGCAGGAGCGAGCAGAAAAGCACACCTCTTGATCTTTTCTTAAAGAGTATTTGTACTATTGTCGCAAGATGGAAAATGAGATTTTCAAAATTCTACAGTTGTAATAAGAAGGGTTACATCTATCACTGGGCGGAAGTTTAGTGAAATTAGGGTGAAAAGAAAAAAGTTATTCAGTTTTTCGTTGCCGACCAGGAGCGATTTGGCGGGCTGGCGTATCTTTCTACACTACTGCCACCTGTGGTCAAAATCAGTGAAAGAAAGATTGCTTCAAGAAGCGGTTCTTTCATTCTGAAAGTATGCCTTGTGGTTGTTATATACCATGCCAGTTAGCAAGTGTGGTAGGAGCAGACAAGGCTCATGTTTACACAGTGAGGACGCATAGAGCATGACAAAGGCGCTAGACAATGGAAAGATATAGCGCTGTCCCGTGAGTGCACCTGAAAGAGTGGCCAAAGTCCACTCTTCGGTGTGCACCACAATCTAGTGTGGCGGCACTGCATGCGCAGAATCGGTAAGACCAAAGGAAAGCGTAGTACAAAAGAAGGTTCTTCGTCCCATCCTGAACAATTTTCGAAAAACAACTTCTAAAATCAATAACAATTCGCAAAGGTTTCAGAAAATTTCTAACTTTGATCAGACTTCAGAAAAATCATTTTCAAAAAGAATTGTGAAGCGTTTTTGTGGAAAATGTTTACGTACTCTTTAACAAATAAAAAAAAGTAACTTTGGGTGTAAAAAAGTTTGTTTTTTGCAGCACCGGGTGGGTTTTTTTGAAAAATCGCTCCACAATACTTTAGTCATTCCATCGGAACACATTGCTGTGCCTGAATGAAAAATTTAAAAAATCTGCTTGAATTGTTATTGCGTCCGCAAAATAACGACTTTAAATCAGTAACTTTTACACTTTACAATACCCAAACCGAGTTCAAACTTCTAACTTATGTAGTGAAAATATTATAGTGTTTGGTGAAATGCATATAATAACTGGTTTATTGTCCTTTGCTACGAGGCGTCGCCTCCTTTTAAGCTAAGACAGGGGATCGCGAAGGGGGAAAAACATGAACATCAAAATAAAGAAAGAAAACAAGGCATACAGACGAAGCATAGCTGCCTGTGCACATCAACAGTAGAAGTTTACAAAGTAATGTGCCAGTTAGATAAAAACTGACTCAAGTAGCTTTTGTGACAAAGAAGGGATGATCTTTAATCCATGCAAGGTTGATCCAGTCCACAGAATCCAATGCACTCTGGAAAGTGCTTGCAGATTGATAAGCTTCAACGGGAAAGGGTAGTTCATTCCACAGTGCAGTCAGCTGTTCAAGGACACGCATATAGTTAGCATGCAGTACAAGGACACGCATTGCGCCAGCGAGAAAAGTGAAAAGAGGTCGAAATCGGTAGAATCTCTACTTATTGAGCGAATACTGCCGCGGAAACGAAGTAGCCAGTTGGCAGACTTGTTGGTTAAAATACTTACGCAAATCGTACGAGTAGTTCATCTCGTATAAGCAATGGATAGTAGATAATATTATATTATCGGAAAAGTATTTCTTGTGAATGTTTTCTTCGGCATGGCACACACCTTTCCAGTAAACAGCTAGACTGAAAATTGTTATTATTCATACACAGGCTTAGCATAATTCCAAACAAGGAAATTCTGTATTAAAACTGATTGAAAACATCAAACGACCCCAGAATACCACTTCTAACACACACACAACATGCGCAGATCTTTCTATATTGCCTTCAAAACAAAAACTGTCTACGCTATACAGCCAGTTCTGTAGAGAATTCGGAACTCTAGCGCCGCAGTAGGCCGACACAGTACCATCGTCAACAATTCCGCCAAATGCTGCGTCCGTACCGCCGATATCGGTACAACGGCTAATAAAATGCAACAAATGATAAAAAAATAAGAGTTAACAATAAACTATCCTAATTAGCGCGGCCAGCAGCGAAATCCATTTAACAAAATATCTCATGCAACCGACTGCAACGCGAAGCCTTGACCATTCCAAAACACGCCAACAATTCCGCAGAATTCCTCTCTACCATCGAAACACCGCTTCCCAACTGCCCCAGTTCCAGTTAGCCTTCCGTGCTGGTTTCACTGTATTTTCCGTCGTGCTGACCTCTGCCGGCGCATGGATGCGGATGAAATCGACCACCGCCTGCGCCCACACCGAATCCTCACCGCTAACTTTCCGGTAGATATCCTCCGCCTCCCGCAACCATCCCAGCGCTTTGGGTAGGGCCTCCCGGAGCACCGGTGCCAGCCGTTGTTTGTCCTTCTTCTCAACGACACGCTTCCACAGGTACGGAATCGCAGCGGACTTCACCAAGTAGCGAGCACGACCGAGATGATACAGCGGATACATGGCACTGCAAAACACAGCAACTACTCATTTGTGCCATCGTCAGCCTAAAATCTTGCTATCGCCATCGCATTTCTGAAAACAAAAACAGCCAGGAAATACGTAATATTATACAGTATTCAAAATTTCAAAACTGAAATTAAAAATAATTTAATCTTTAAATTTACATTTAATTAGTTTGTATCCCTCACTAAATTAAAAAATCATTTATGAAATAACCGAAGATAATTTACGGCGATTACTGAACCTGTAACATACATAAAGTGATCAAAACAGCAAATTTCACACATGGTGCGGTCATTTTGCATTGATACTGCTAAATGGAAAATATTAAGAAAATAAACAAAAAGAGCCGGTAATTACTGTCTCGACGACGTAAAACTTTAACGTAAGATTCTCCTGTCGCTTTTTTATATAACTTTCATTTCAGAAACATGCATTTGCAATCTCCCAACCAGCATGAAACCAACATTCTCACCGTACGCAGTCTATCATCCCACCGACAAGATTCCAAGCTTCCTCGTACCGCATGGTGGCCTGCATGAAATCCGCGATATCATAGCCGCAGGTAAAGCGCAGATGCGCATCCGGATGGACGACCGTATCCAGCTCTTTGACCCAGGCCAGCGACTGTGCCATTTCCTGGAAACACTGGTCCGGATCCGAATCGCCCATCTGATCATGCGCCGCCATGACGGCCTTCAGCTTCAGCAACTGCGGCACATTGTCAGCGCCGCATTCTGGACAGGGCTGTAGGGCGCGCACGTCGCTGGGTATACGCGCCGGACATCCCACAGTACAGCATCGCAAGGGATTAATTTCCGCTTCCTAATTATTCAGGCAGTCAATACAAACTAATGTTATAATGTTACAGTAATACACGAATAACGACACGAAAAAAACTCAACGAAAAGTAATTTCAGAATCCATACAAAACAGACAGGCGGGTTGTAAAAATATCGAATTCGAAATGCACACAAGAGAAGGCAAGCAAACAGTGAACATGCCAGAATGCTAGTGCAGCAGACTTACGTATTTATCATTGCACTTCCCACAGGCACACGAAAACCCGTAAAATCTTTCGAAATCTCCCTGTCGTTCTTTCAGTGCCACGTAGAAGCTCTTGTGAACTTCTTCATTTTGGCGCAGCTACAATAAAAAAACAAAAGAAATACTATAACAACCACACAGAATCAGCCCAAACTGTGTACTAGTACGTAGTGCAAACCTTAATGGTAAGCTATTCTACATTGTAACGATATTCATCTACGTACTCAACTTAGTACAAATACTAAATAAAAGCATAGCAGAAAATCTGGCAAAGAAAGCAAAGTTATAAGGCTTTGACTAAAACAGAAAGAACAAGAAAATCACCAAGCAATATAAAAGAAAACAGACAGAGGAGTTCGAGGAGACCTAACTGCAAATATAGGAGATAGAGTTTAAGAAAATCCAGCCTTACGTCTTTCAATCCGGTGTAGTGAATATCCTTAACCGCCCGCACCACCAACGTGCGTCCCTGGAGGTCCATGGTGACGTTGATGTCCAGACAGACCGGGGTCATGGCGCGCTGCAGCGCCTGCGGGAAGATGCCCATCATCTGCAGTTTGAATTTGCCGCGCTGATTTAGGATGGGTAAAGCGTTGTACATCAGCTTCTGCACCAAGACTTCGAACTGTGGAATCCGGCTGATGACGGCCGACGGCCAGATGGCGGCGCACACCTGGTGATTGAGACGCTCGAATCTACCAATGTCACCCAAATCAATTTTCACTCATATCGATTATCGACCACCTATACTGCTAATGAGTTCTTTCAGCTGTTTACTTACATGTTTGCTTGACGCGGATACGTTGGCTGGAGCGACAGCGCATCCAAGACTTGCTGGTCGGTGACATTTCCGGTGTAACCGGAAACCTCTTCTTTTATACCTTGCTACCGGAAAGAAAGTAAAAATGTCAATAATTTATAACGGTGTTGGTCTCCAACTTTTAAGCAGGTTCACATGGACGGGGTCACAGGACCGATGAATAATTATCATTAAATAAATTCTGCCTTTCGACATTTACGATATCAACATGAACTGTCAAATTTACATTGTTACAGAACCTATTTGGTGTTTTTCAAATTTCACTCTTTATCTTCATTAAAAAACTATGATTCACTTCCTCGTCCACAAAAACCAGTGCTTTTCATCCAATTTATTGGCATTTGTTGCTGTGCATTCGGTTTTTATCGAAAGCTGTAAAGAAATCGCTAGTTTCTAGATTTCAGAATGTGAACATAGACATACGAATCGTTACCATGATTTTGTTGAGAACTTTGGCCACGAGAATTTCTCCAGCGCAGCATCCAAACATGTAGCAACCGCCCAGCGAGCAGTCATGATTGAACACCCCTTTGGCAATGAACGGCTGCAGTTGCTCGTGGATGGTCTTCAACAGGGCGCATTCAAGTTTGTGCTCTTTCTTCCAGTTGACTGACTAAAAACCAAAAACTGCATTACTAATGAAGCACTCAGCACTGTATAAAAACTTTTATGAGAACAGCTGACACATTTGTATGATATCTGCAAGACTAGTAGCTACACAGTAAGAGTTCTCGCCATCAGTTATAAGACTGTACTTCAGTATCCTATTCGTCAAAAAAATCAGTCATTTCCTCAAACTGCATAATAACGGCATACAGCACGCATAAATCATAATCATCCACAGTTCCGCACTCACAGAAACGGTGAAATACTGAACAGCAACCTACCGTAATAATTCTACAGCTCTATTAGGAGCACTTAATAATTCAAACCCTACGAGTACGGGTAACGTAGGGCCGGTAGGGGTAAGGTGCCTGTCGAAAAGTGAGAGTGTGAGACCCAAAGTTTAGTGCACATTTGACATTTACAGAGTAAATCATCTGCAGAGTAAATGTGCACTGAACTTTGGGTTTCACTTTTCTAAAGGTACACGGTGTACCTGCAGAAAAGTGAAAAAGGTGTAGGAACGTGCGGTGTGTGCTGTGTACCGTACAGCGGATCATAATATCACATATGCGAGGAATTAGGTAGCAGTCTCTCTGAGAGTCTACACAACTGTGGTTCTTCCTTCATACCTGGCATTCCGTATTGCAATAGCGGTACAGTTTACACCCGGAACATGTGCGCAAATTCTTGATCTCGGTAAAACACTGCGCACAGAGGACGGAATGAGCGTTATAATTGAAGGACCAGACCCAGGGTTCCGAGGACACCACGACGTTCCCGGCCAGCACCAGCCGCGCCGACGGATCCTGACCGCTTGGAATGCCTGCTGCAGCCATGTTGCGCACGGTGAACAGCAGTGGGGATAGGAGAGCCAGAAGCCTAGTAAGGATCGGTAGGAGACGCACACCGAATCACGGACTGGTACTGTTTACTAAAGACCTCCGCGCGATGAGTCAGAGTCTCCACGATACTCCTCGGATGTGGAACCAACGAATCTGAAGATTAAACGAGCAGCAAGTTAGACTCCAATATGATGGTTATGGAATAATCAGGGGACAATATACTGTGTATAAAAAAGCCAACTAAAGAAGAGCATGCAACTGCAAGTCGGTCGTTTGCATCTGGCAGTAAATAATTTTTGTTTGTCTTTGCAGTAAACTGCAAAAGTCAGTAAAATGAAGGACTCGCAGTCATCACTTGTCTGTCACAAAACTCACAACGACGGCGTATAGTCAACCAGACTGCCGCCTGCTTGGCGGCTGTTCTGGTGTCACGTCAACATAGTACTGCTTACAGTCTTACATTAATGGACGTCCGCAATCACTCCGCATATAGTGGACTTCTGAGTTCTCATAGAAAATGTTGTTTTAAACGTTCAAATTTGTATTAATTTTAGTACTTACAGTAGTGTCACGTGAATGCATCTCTTTGTTATTGACGCCTTTTGCTCAGTAAAAGACAATTCTGATTTAACGCACATTAGGTATGTAATAGTGTTGTGCTGCTAAATAAAATTAAATAACGACCATTTACCTACTTAGTAAAAGTCCGCCTAATATTAAAAGTCTAGTAAATAGTAAGGTTTTGGAAACAAAGTAAGTAAAAGTAAGTAAATGTGCTGCCGGAATAGTAAAAAGTAAGTAAATATTAAGGTTTAGCGTTGAATAAATAAAAATCATTTACTAAATTATTTACTTACTAATTCGTTTTATCAGCGTTATGTAAAATTGGCGTGTCAGCCGCCGCCTCTCGCAGGTAAAGTGAGTGTGCGCAGTAGTTGGCTGCCAGCCTGCCGCCCTAAAAAGCAGCAGTATTTACTTTTCAGTGTGCGCCTGTATAGCTTGATTAATGCCTAATTTGATTAATGCATTTCTGAAATTTTTCTGCACCATTTTCAGTAGTTTTCAGCACTTTAAAACTAACGCATTTCGACACTTTCAATCCTAAATTACATTTATTTAGTAAATTTACTTTAATTTAGTAAGTAAATGTCCTTGGAAAACTGGAAATAGTAAGTAAAAGTAAGTAAAAGTCCCAAAAAATTTTGAATGGTAAGTAAAAATAAGTAAACTTCCAAAAATAGATAGTAAAAATAAGTATATCGGCAAGAACTTTTACTACCAACACTAGTATGTAACAGTCATAACTGCTACAAGACGGAAGACAGGCACTGGTTACTTACCCGATATTTATAGGCATTGCATTCTATAGATACCTCTTGCATTCTACCGGATGTACATTGTAATCTGACAAATGCTTTTTTCATTTTTAAATATATAAATAAATATGTTGTATATAATTATTTATTTAGTAATATTAATTGCAGCCCATACACGTAATAATATGACAGCTATAAGTTATAACAACTTATAGTTATAAGGCACTAGCACTGGCATCCGCAATCATCGCAATCAACAAGTTTTGTTTTTGCCCATTATAAACCACCCAGCTTAGTTGCCGCATTTGTTACGAATGGTTGTTCTGGAATGGATATAAATGGGCAATATTTTACCAAATTCGGCAGTATAATTATTCGGCAATATTTTACCGTTAATATATTTCCTATAAGTTTTAACTGCAGCTACCTTGTGTCTACAGCCCACCTATATTTCTCCGGTCTTTTCGGGAATCCGTTCGATTGTTAATCTTATTCGACTTACTGTGTTTTTAAAGGACGATTCTGATGTTTCACAAGCTCTTCAAAATAATAATGCATGGGTAAGCTATCCCACACTGTGTTTGACATTATGGGATGGGTTCGATACAGAGCACCAAACGTGTGTACATGTAGCAAAATAATCCTGTTGCGGGTTTGATATGGTTAACATTAATGGCGATTGGCAAACGTCTTTCTTATCGCCTTTACCCGAAAAGGCATCTTATCACAATGATCGTTATTTTATTCATTCGCATAGTGCAATGACTGTTAACTTCAATTGGTACATCAAGACTCCCGGGGGCAACAGGAAGACGAAACCAGAGTATATTCAATTAGAATAACAGAAAATTTCTCCTGCATCATCAACTTATTCTGTCATGTTTAATTTGGCGCACCAATAATTTTTATACCGGTTTGACGCGAAATTAAAAACCAAAGTATGTTAACAACTTAATTTGCATCAATAATATTAATAAGCATGGGCTAGCGGGGCGGAGCGTAGTTGACTAGACTAGTGTAGCAGGCTGCATGTATGAAATGTTACGGAATCTTGCTGTGTACTGCACAAGTTCACAGGAGCATAACTGCGGCGGGCAACATTAGTTAATTATGAACGTAATAAACATTAATAGCTCTGTGCGCTGTCTCAGCAACTCTGGATCCATGGATCCATATCGGACATCCGGCGGCGGCAGGGCAAACATACAATTGACGACCGGTATTTCCGTATTACGATTCCGTTGATTAAGCATTAACGTGTAATCTGACGGCAGACTATGTGGTCAAAATGGTTTAGCAGCATTCGGCGGGCGACAAGGCGAGTGTATGTATATAGCAGCACGTGCAAAAGATGCGACAGGAGCTGGGCAGTGGGCACTTGGCGACCACAGCAGCAGCATGCGACCTCGCAGAAAAGTGTCCGGTTAAATAGGCTTGTATACGGAAAGGGATGCAGATAATGAAATAACATTGCTGTGTTCATTCCGGGTACCGAATTAAGTTTGTTGAATGAATAGGATAAATAATCACAGATCACTGGATAGTACGGCACGGTTTTGGGCAGTTCCGATAAAAACTACTACCGATAACGCGCACCACTGCCAACTCGAATGCAGCTCTCGTACCGACCCAGTAGACCCACAAACTCTCGGAAGGCTATCTTGTCCGATGAGAATTTTCCCATCAGGCTTTCCACGCTTTGACCTGCAGAGGCATCAAAGGTGATTCAGGATCGGAATGTAGACTAATATGACGTAAGTGCATGACGTAAGTGGAGTACGTACAGCACACAAACGTACTGATTTATACGAAAAACCGGCCTGGTGACCTTTAATGTATGCCACAGCTTCGCCAGATTTAAAGTTGTTAAACATCAAGAAATTTTACGTACTGCAGATACAAGACTGGTGCACGAAAAGCGTGATAAAAATTAACAAAACGACCAAGACAATCAGTACATAACCGACCAACTGAACATTAAACCACTTATTATTATTAACATGATCGTAACTGGCTACTAACTGTCATGCCGTACATGCATTATATAATTAGCATTTTCGTTGTTCCTTTTGCCAAAAATAATAATTTATGCCTACGGATGTCCAGTCATAAAATGGAGATTAGTTTTATCCGGTTATGTACTTATAACCCAGAATACTGCATACAGAAGAAAGAGCCAATAAAGTTTCCGTAAAACTTATAATATTTCAGGCAGACAAAATTCGGTAGCTCAACAGTACCGCCACCTTCGTTAAGCGTATTAGAGTAATTAATCAATAACAGTCTTCGCCTTTTTGTCGGTACAAGAGTATTGCAAGCTGACACTGCAAGAAACCGGCATCTGTGACTGTACCTGTCTTTTCCGCTACCGCTACGAGCGCCAGTAAGGGATTCATCCCGCATCCGTCGGCCATCTCTTTACATGCCGCATTCGGCCAGAACTGGCTGTAGGTGATCACGGCGAAAATCGCCAAAAGAACTTTCATAGTGATAGGAGAGGTGATTGGCGAAAAGGCTGTAGATGCCGCCTGACCGACGCGTGCGCGGAGTGGAACACAAACACTGAGCAACGAAACTCTGCACTGACTGCGATTTTAAACACTTTTAATAGTTTCGGATTCTGCCGTATCACAGGTGTGGAAAAATGTGGCCAATTATTGCGCGCCGTTGACGCAGAGGTTAATGGAGACTGCCGGTACGGAGCCGGGAAAGCGGAAAATGGTCTCAAGATGTTGTTGTCGGCTGATGGGGCAGCTGAGTACGCTGGAGTAAAAGGGGCTACTTAAACCGCTGGAACCGGCGCACGCCGCGCTAAATTGGCTAATATGCTGCCGACCGACGTATAATACTGACGCACGAGTGTCAGTTGGCACGAAGGCAGCGGCGCAACACCCTCTGCGTCGGGATTAGAAAGTGGTACAACAGGAAATTATTACTACGCTTGAAGGGAATGCTAGCTAATCGACAGCGAGTATCGTAGTGGTCACTCTGCTTTACACCGCAGTCCGTGCACAGAAGTGCATATTATCTTCTATTTTTAGCAACCCGGTGCATTTTGAAATGCCACAGAAAGCTGACAGTAACGGTTGTTTCTGCCTTGAAGTAGTGCTATTGTAGTGACGTAACTGCTGCATTGAATCAGTTTTTTTAAAGAAGAAACAGAAAGAACAGCGAGAATTACTGTTGTATGGTTTAGTGTTGCGGGGTTCTCTGGCAAGTATTTAATAAAAGACTGCTCTAGACTTGCAGTTTTTCTGTAAAAGTACGATGTAAACTGCTTGTAGCCAAACGGTTTCATTCCCGTACCGGCCGGAATAGAATGCGGACATCGCTGCACACTGCGCTTTGGCTTCTGATATACTTAGAATTTATTAATTTTATTGGTTATTAATTATTTGAGAATTTTGTTAGGGCCTCGCTATTTCGTTCTAGTACTGGGATAGACATCTACGAATATTAAACCGGAAACTGCTTGAACCAAATACGGCAATGAGATTATTGATGGTAGTCCACCCGATGAGAGAAATTTTTTCGAATATGGGGTCAACTTAGTCACAGCTAAGATCCGAGCGATTTGCTAATGCACTTTATACACATTCACGCCTGCGTTCTTTTTATATTATATGGTAAAACAAGGCATAGTACGTAATATACAGCTGCTGAGGGGTGCCCCTAGAGGTCATCCTGCAAATATTGAACAGTTCTTAAAGGTGGCATATCTCTTCATACATACAGAGAAATTACTCTGTTAACTAAATTATTGTCTTGATGTGCAAGTACTGCAAAAATGTGTTTTGTTTTTGTAGATCTAAAAATTTATGAACTTATTTATCGTAATTTGCGTCTCGGAAACTTACAACCAAAAAGGCCAGCATTCAGTCATATAAAAATCAGTCTCAAAGTCCTAGCAAATATTCTGCTGCATGCTAGGTTGTAAAACTTTAGAGCTTCGGAAAGTTGCAAAGTATAAACACAACTCTTAAAACAAATGCAATGAGAGGACAAGACACTCATGGCTTGGTCTTGGGCTTTTTGAGGCATCGTGGAACCATGCCCAACGTCTTGGGGTCAATGGGATCCTGCACATGCGGGCGTTTCTTGGGGTTCTTCTGCTTCTCAGCCTGTGTCCGGATACTATTGACCAGGTCGGGGATCGCTCCGAGGGGAATGTTATAGTGTTCCTTCAGAATCTTCTTGACCTCCTCATCGACTCTGTCCTTGGCCTTGGCTCTGTCTCCGGGGTAGAGGATGCCCTTGACCGCTGCCTGGTACTTCTCGGCGAATTCATGGACCATCTGCTTGGCAACTTCATCGGCGCACAGCTTGGTCAGGGTCGGCACGTTGGACTTGTCTTTATCTCCGCTGCTACTGCCGGGTCGACTGCCGCCGCCGCCCTTGTTCTCCTTGTTGCCGGATCCGGAACCCTTGGTGGCGTTGATGCAAACCACTGCAAAGTCAAACACATACTGTAGTCACGATCGCCTACTCAAAGGTCACTCTGCCGCTAGTGTTATTGAGATATCACCGTCAACAGTCAGCGGCTACTGCCAGTGTTTTTCATCACAATAAAATCAAAGCAAAAACATTTTGCATTAAAATTTGCATTAAAATCAAGCCAAAGAAGGAAGGAATTTTCAAAATTATCCACAAAGAGTTTTCATTATCCTGGTAAGATAACATTATTAATGATAAGTCACACTTACCGGCTGTCGCTACGACGAAGCACACAAGCAATAATTTCGCCATTTTTGCACGATATAAAAGGCTAAAAGCGTATCGTGTGCAAAGCATAAAATTTCGAAAACGGAACACTGCCAGCATGTTCCACTTGCAACGTAGTTATATATACACCACTGCCGATAAGGATGGTAGTTACAATGGACAAACAACCATAGGTGAGTTACCGTTAGCGGATGCACAGAGTACAGTAGCTGCGCAACTGATCCGGAACGACCGTATTAACTAAGTTTAGTCTCCCTTTGTGCTTTTAACGGTGTAGTGCTTTACGTCAGGTCGTTCTTCTTCGAACTTTACGACAAAGTAGTTCTGAAAATTTAAACGGGAATTCTGGTGTGTTAAAAGGGCTGAATTTCATTATTTTTTAAATCGTCGCTTTGAAATCTTTCCTACTTTGACTTATACTTTGTTAATCAACAACGTTCTGCCGAACTGTATCTGCTGAATTTTCGGCTGTAATGAACTTTCGGCCCGTTCAACAGTTGAATATTTTTACTGTGTACCATAATTATTATTATGTACCATAATGTACCATACATTATTATTATGTACCATAATTATACGTATTGGCGCCCGGTACTGGGGGGATGATGTGTTTTTGGCGCTCAGTAAGCAACTAACATGAAAAAGAACGACAAAGTACATAAAAGTATGAGAAAAACAATCAACAACACAGAAAATGTTTTGCAATACAAAGAAAACTTGATGAGAATCATCGTTATTTAAACTGAGCCAGAGGCTTCCATAATCGCTCTATTCTGTTAAAATCATCGGTGTTTATTTGATTATTTTCACATGGACCTATGTATTTTGTGACAAAGCGAAAGCTGAGGGCTGATTTTTCTGCAGTCTTTTTACTGGAAACATCACAGTGCACACTCCGTAACAAGCCATTCATATACGTGATTATCGGTTAGATAAAAAGCTGAAGGTGGATGGTTTTATTTACTACTGTTTAATCGAAGACCGGTGAACAATACCTGTTAATTACAAGAAGGCTGAGGCATTTTTATTGAGCAGTCTATGATAACAACATAACCGAACATCGAGTCGCACAACAAAATAATAATACCTCGTATTATTCGGTTTCCACTGTCGCCGTAGGGATATCTGATGTCAGAAATTATTCAGAATCTTCGTACATGACCATGCAGTACTGTATTATTGTAAACATTAATAAAATATGAACAGCTTTATACGCTTTAGTGCTCTACAACGTACACAACCGTATATTGATTGATTGAATATTATTTCCCCATAGGTACTCCGCGAAATTATTTAACTAATCCTCTGTTTTTACCACATTCTTTGAATTTTCTTCCATTAAGAAAAAGCCATAAAGAGAAAACATGCTTGAGAAATTTATATAAACCACTCGGTCTCAAATGGTGCCCAAACTGGCTGATATTCTGCAAATACTCAACTCGTTTCTCCGTTATAATATTTTTTCAGTCCATAGTATACACCCGCCATCATGAAATTCCTGTCTGTCTGGAACTGGATTACGTTGGGGGTCATGGTATTATGGCGGTAAGCTCAACGCTTTTGGCTTGTAACCTACGAGTAATGGCTTCACCGGGTTCAAAAAATGTTGTTCTCATTCATAAGCAGTTACATTATTTTTTAACAATCCGATAGAGCTTCGTTTATCCTGTAGTTTTAGTGGAAATGTTATATATTATTGAATACCAATTATACCATGAATACTGACCAAAATACCGACCGAATTTAACATATTTACTTTTTTTCAGGTCTCCACAATCGGCGAAGCCAAAAAAAAGTGTGAACCAAACGGCTATATATGAGTGGCCTTCGCCTTCTCCTTCCGCCTTCTCCTTCGCCTCCGCATTCTAGCCGAAAACCTTCTCCTGCGCCTTCTCCTTTTAAGTTTTACGCCTTTTCCTTCTCCTTCCCCTTCCTAATTTTAGGCCTTCGCCTTCTGACTTTGTTCAATGTGAATTTTACAAGATATCATACTACGAAACATGAAAACATCATTGAACAAAAACTGAGCTAATTCTCATTATTTTTATATCCGTTTGCCATTTTCCATTAAATTATTAAATTATTATGAAGGAGTTTGCGGTATACTTATCAGTTTACGGCACTTGACATTTTTAGTAACGTTTTTTTTTTGTGGGAGGCCTTATTTTTCAAACCGGTCAAGGGAAGGGAGCTTATTACGGAGGAAGGGGTGGGGCTTGTTATGGGAAAGGTGCAGATTTCAGGGTTACGGTGGATGTAATTTCCGAAGCGAAACAAAGAAGATACTGTATGAAAGTGTGCTGCATCCAGAAACGGCACCCAGATTTTGATCCAAGGGTGCAACGCCTCGACCCAGCCGTAAAACTTGAAGAGTTTTCCGACATTTATCTGAACGCATTTGCTTCATTTAAGGCCAACAGGAAGTTTCGACCTAATAATTTTCACAGTTTTGCGATTGTTTAACCGGTAACGCTCTAACGGATTTCGCACGCGATACAGTTGCTCTACTAGATAAAAACCTTGTTGAAGGAAGGTCTTTTTGACCACTGGCCAATTACAGACGCCAGAAGGTCATGAACTATTATTAAACTAATTATGATTACGGTACCTACTACCTTGCTATGTGCTATACAGTGTGTAAAAGAATAAAGCTCAATTTTTGTTCAATAATGTCGGAGCGAAGCGAAGGTCCTCTATGTTCACGAATACGGGACTTTCTGTCACGTCGGTCACATCGGTCACGCACAGATAAAGTATTGCGCAATCGTAAATCGCCCAAATGACTTAAGGTGACCACTCCGTAAAGGCGTAAACTACATTTCCCTACCGTTTACTCCGCAGTCCGCACGCTGCCTTTTGCACTACCCTTTGTTCCCTGTACTACCATTTCGGGCACTACCTTTCATTTGGGAAACTATCAATCCATGCTACCGTTAGCGTTGAGATTGCCTTTATGGAATAGACCAAGCGAAAGCATCTTATTGCAGTAAAGCTTTCAAAATAAGAAAACGAAAAAGCGGCACCTTGCAAAGTTTCAAACGCTGCAAGGAAAAACCGACACACCGGCGCTCGATGTTGCTTACGATAGTTACGTATAGGTAACTGCTGATAAGATTCTTTAAATTAAGCAGTAGTTGCAGCTGTTAAAAAAAACGTTGATTCCCGAAATAACGGTGATGTGAAGAAACTGAAAAAGGTCGTGCATGTGCACGCAGATAAAGGGAAAATTAGCCTTCGGAGTGGTCTCCAGAACTTAAATACGCATACACAATGTAATTTATTACTACAGTTTATGTTACACGTGTATAATACACTGTAATATATACTGTAGTAATAAATTTTTGTGATACACAGAACTACGTACGATTTATTATGTATATCGTCTTTTCTATAATCTATCACACGCGGGTTCCACCACGCGCGGGTAGCTTCTTTCTAAAATTACCATAGGTCACCATAGGACAAACTGACAAATGCTTAACTTTCACATGATTACCTTATAAGTGCAGCATCTGCTCTTATGATTTCTACGCAGAAGGCGTGTTTGAAATTACGATGGGATCAAAACTAGAGCAGATCTGCTCAAAGCAGCGGCTCGACCCTTTTACCTCGATTGCCTTTGCCCTTTCAAAATCTACTTATAAATTCTGTTGCTGCCATAATTCAGAAAGGTTAAATTAAAGGTGTCTGGCAATCCGTTCTCTTGCAAAAAGTACAGATATCACGCAGCAGTCCAGCTCCGCCAAGCGTCCATGGCATTTTGCAATGTACTGTCAAATTGGAGGAAAACCTTTTTGGAGGAAGACATTTCAAACTGAAGGAAAATAATACCAACTCTCCGCCTAGCTGTGTACTAGGTATCCGGCAAATAAGTGCACCGCTTTTACCTAATTTTTGATTTCATATCTCATCTTTTAAAATAATAACTGGAGGTTGCTTTAGCCAGGCAATCATTCTCAAAACGGGATATACCGCTTAACATACAAGTCTGTGGGACAAACACGTTGTTCGGAGGTCTAATCGAGCACAGTTTCGGGCAGGAATTTTTTTCTACAGCTACCATACGCCTCTCAAATCATATAAGAATTCCAAAAAAGCCCACACGAAAATATCGTTTGGTACAGGCTTTATCTGCAGGTATACCCACGCCAGAAATGACCACTACCCCCTCCTCTTAATCGCTCCTTGAACAGTAACTAAACATCAAATGATTCCGATTTTAGTATTGCTGAATCCGCATTAAAACGTTTCATCAGAAAAGCAAAAAATATACGAAAACGTAACAACGCACAAAGTGACAGCAGTATTTTTAAATTTATGTTATGCAGCTGTCCGCGTGTGAAGGAGCAGTCAGTTTTACGGATATTACAGTACTGCAGTAAAAGGAATACTTGCTCAGTGCTTCACTTCCCTACGTGTAATTCACTTCCTCAATTCTTGATACTTCTCTAATTAATAGTGCTAGCTTCGCTTCGGTCTTTCAGTGCTAGCCAACAGCGGTGCACTTCCCTAGTTACCGTACCTACTACCTTGCTATGTGCTTTACAGTGTGTAAAAGAATAAAGCTCGATTTTTGTTCAATAATGTTTTCATTTTCCGTGTTGCGAAATCTTGTGTAATTCACATTGAGCAAAGTCAGAAGGCGAAGGCCTAAAATTAGGAAGGGGAAGGAGAAGGAAAAGGCGTAAAACTTAAAAGGAGAAGGCGCAGGAGAAGGTTTTCGGCTAGAATGCGGAGGCGAAGGAGAAGGCGGAAGGAGAAGGCGAAGGCCACTCATATATAGCCGAACCAAACCCCTTGAATGACATTGTGGTCTGTCACTGAGACAGCAAACGATTGCGTCGCAGATAGCAATGGTTAATTAAAACTGAATACCATGTGCTAAAAACATTATACCGGTAACTACATCAACATGAATAATGCGACAGTTTGGCACATTTCGATATGACGTACTTGTACAGAAAGAAATTTATATTAGTAGAACTACTCGAACCTAGATCTTTTATGATCTTCATTTTTCAATTGAATGCGTCGCTAGATGCTTTTGGCCGACATAAATTTGCCTGCTTGTAAAGCAGGCAGTGAATTTGGTGGTTTTTATTCGTATCCGCTAGATTCGAATAAGTTTAGAGTCTTTTGACTCAGTTCACGAAATGTATGCTGTCCGGGCCCAAATTAAAGACACGTAATGTTTTCGTTAGATTTTCGGTCCAGTTGGTAATTTATGCAAATACGCACCTATACACATGAACACGTGGTAAAGTAGAATATTTTTAAAACAATTCGTTCATTTCAGCTTGAAATGCTCCCGGTATAATAGAAGCACTGGTACTGGATTTACTTTCTTATTAAAACGGTACCGTTATTTTATTCGGGAATAGTACTGAGTTGCTAACACAGAAGTTCTTCTTTTACTTACAGATAATTAATCTGTTAACATAAAACTTTAACCTTTTGTGATTAAAAGGAATAGATGAAAGAGTTTCCTCTCGGCGTAGATCTGATTAAAACGACTTCTCGTCCTTATGAAGCTTTGGCCATACTTATTCAAAATTAACAAATTAACGCAGAACCATATCGTCGATAAATTATAAGCGACACACACGATCATAACAAGTTACTGCAAATTTGCAACCATCCTGCATGTATAATTGTGCACAGACACAGTGGACTATAATCATATCGGCGATTAAATTAAAGCCCGTGGATGGCTTTACTGTGGTTATTTGTTGATCGGAAACCGCAAAACTATTTTTACAGGAGGGAGGCAGTAAAATAGAAGGATGCCGGTAAGACGTCCTTTGCAATTATTTTTTGCACACGAGGAAGTTAGGATAGAAGTCAGTTCAGACGGAGCTAAGACAGCGGTAAATGCAGGATAAAGAAGACGACAAACTTAACCGCGTCTGGCTGTCTTGATGCCGATCCCTTATCCTCTTTTAGGCAACAACGCTGGGTTCAGGACTCTATGAGTCACTGGATAGACTTTCATTGGTTAGATTGAAGGAATTGTAGACGCAACAAGCGCACATGCTCACCGGTGAGAACACCACGGGATCTTTAACCGAACCCGGAAAACAGCAACGGACCTTTGCACTAATGCACAGAGTCAAACAAACTGACCGAATAAAGACGTTATCGATCCTCAATATAAACCTCTGTTCGGCCCAGAACATCACCTTTTCGAAAGGATCAGGCAGCAATGATTTAACCTGGAAGTGTTCTCCGATAAATAATTAAATGACAATCTCCGTAACCGTACGCAATACTGTTAGCTTTCAATCACTCGTGCAAGAAAAACCGTTGCCGAATCTGTGCAGCGACAATTTATCATTTTATCGAGGATGGCGACAGCGGCGCATCACTTCAGCAGGGTGCATTATCCTGCAATAAAACTTCAGGTACTTAGTGGACCGCTTCTAAGCCTCTCAAAAAGCTTCTTGCCAGGTGTCTCATCTTCAAAAAAAACCCGCCTAAAGCCGCTTTTCAAAACGCTCCACAGTAATTCATCAGCAAAATCTAAGCTGCATATAATTAATTTCCTGCACGATAGTTTTGCCGTGCTATTCGGAACTGGATTTTATTGATCTGATTGCTTTTCCGCTCAACTCGTGACAGCCTTTTCATTCTCTTTTGAACTTCATGTGAAACAAGTGTTAGCGCCAGTGTGACCCGTACGTTCTGCAGTTCGTAAACATTACTTAGCGATTTCACGAGTAATTTCTCTAATCGCAGCCGTATTCAGCCGGTCTTTTGCCGGTGCCGGTGGAGCGAGGGACGACAGACGAAAGGCTTCCGTGCGGCATCTTTCCTGCCAGTAATCCTCTTATTAACCGCTCCCACATCATCTGTCTGAATAATGGAAGATGGCACATCGCGCGGATACGGGAAGCCGGTTTCATTTTCCTTACCGCATGGCATCTTTAAATCCCTTCTCCGCTGCAGGAATTGATGTCGCGGTGTGTAAGGCATTCCATGCACAACGCGAGACGCAGGCATAATGATGGAAAGTAAACTATTCCTATGCCTGTTTATAATAGCGTTCTATAATGTAGTGACTAGCATGAGGTATCCGAAATTGAACATCGTCACCATCACGGACGGTCCCTTCCAGGGTTCCGGTATTGCGCCCATGCAGAGCACCTTTCGGGTGGCGATTGACAATATGCGGCAAAAGTATCGCGGACTGTATGAGGATTATTCCGAGACGCACGGCCATCGAGGACAATGCGACCGCTTGTCGGATCGAGGAAACGTCATTGTGCTGAATCTCCTGCAGCAGTGGTACGGCAGCGGAGTGTTCAATCAAAACGGACTAACGGTCATCCTTACATCCGGTAAACAAAATGCGTCACTGTACTCTACCTATGACAAACTTATTGACTATCATAAGCCTGTAATATTTAGTAATGCTCCAAGCCTCTAACACAAATCAGTTTAAAATTTTAATTACTACATTCATAGGAGTGATAAATTAATGTAGAAAGACCTTCGGTTTCATAACCATTAGTGTTTATACAAGGGTAAACGCAAGACCCATGTGTCGTGGCACCATTAAATATGCAGAACATCGCAGTATTTAATCATTATTAGTATTAGTTTTTAATTAATCACATATCTTTTTAACTACCATTCTGTGCATGTTGCTAATTACAACGAAATCCAGTACAAACGCATTTAATAAACGGATTGAATTCGAATCATGCGCCTTTCTTTAAATAACGAATCATCCTGTCTCTTTACAGAAAAAAGTTTAGGTTAACGATGATTAACGCGTAATTGCAAGAGGGTCATTCCTGACGGTCTTTTGTTTTACAGTTTGTGCGCCGGCTTACCTTGTAATTGGAGATTTCGCAAGAGGTCAGATAGATCGTATTTCATTTATAAATTGAATCTTTCTTGCTAAAAAGTACGGAATTAGACGCGCCGGCAATAAGTGTAACTTGTCTGTTTTTTTGCAGAAATGGATTTGCTGACTGTTGCATGGTAAGATTTGGCGCTGTTCTTTTTAATTTCTCATCATTATTACATAGTATCTGAGCTTGTTAATATTAATGAGAAATTCATTCATATAACCGCCAGCTTAATTGTCGACGTGTGCGAGATTACCGTGAACTTCGATTTTGCTTCCTACGCATCTTTTTTATCGTACACCACGCGGAACGTGGCAGTTATTGTTCTTACTAAAGCCTATAGCGTAATCCTTCTGAGTATGCGGTTATGCGTGACAGCCGTTAAGCTGATGGAGAGAACTCTTGCAGTGGATCGGTGGAGATCAGCCAGCGCTACCCGAACGCCATTGCCGTAACGCTGGGATCCGTGAAGACTTACGCGGAAGCGTATACAACCGTCATGAGCCACTTTCAGTGGAGGACAGTGGCGGTAATAAACGACCGTTTAAGCCAGTCTGTGTTCGGGGCCCGTAGCACAGAAATGTGCCGTGGTCCAGTGGAGAGACTGCAGGATCTGGCGGCGGAGTTCAATTTCCTTATCGTCGATACGGACTCCACACTGGGATCGTTTCGGAAAGCGCTACAGGAAGCCCGCCAACATAGCCGCGGTACGCAATTAGATAACTGGGAAACTGTCGTGCATTTTGGGTGCACCGAAATAACCGAACTTACCTAAGTGCTTGCTGGGAGCAGTTTCGTTAATATGACTGTATGAGTGTGAATCCAGTTACTAAACCTACAAAAGTCCAGAGCCGTCGATAAGATACATTTATTGAAATTAAAAACTTTAATATACTGCATTTTTAGACCGTAAGGCTTTTATTGATAGTTGTCTGCATGCTTTGGTCTTAGATCGCTTGAATATTAACGTATCACAGATTCCGTCGTGTTATGGTATATGACATTAATCTCCGTCTGTTTTACGGTTTCTTTCTACAGTGATCCTCTGCTGTACACTGCATACTGGGATGCGCCGACTTCTGGTAATCCGCTTTGCTTTGGTTTATACTGCATTTTGGAGCAATAAAACTGACAACTATTTTCTTTTAATACAGGCTGACGCGTATGACCTCAATATGACATCCGGAGATCATGTAAGCCGCTCTAACGCCGGCTATCGAAGACGTATCACTGTATTCCAGCACCATAGACATGTGATCCAGTGTGATATGTTGCCTGTTGCGTTAGGTGTTCGTGTACTTGTACGAATTCCAGATCCCTCTGGAATATCCTTTATCCTGGCAGCATGACGATGCTCTGGACGAGGTGAAAAGCCAGCGAGTCGGTTCATATTCGGTGAACGGTAAAATCCGTTAATCTGTGCGGTGTCTCTTTAGAAAGTCTGGTATGGCATTCAGAGCGTAATCAGTATCCGTTCAGCCGTGGTCGACTGGACGAAATATGATGCCACGGCGGAAGCTATTAATGCTCGACGAAAAGAGATTTTCGGTACACAACCGAATCCGGAGAATAAGGTTCGTCGTCTTTACGTTTCCTCGGGCTGAAAATGTCTCTTTTAATTATCACATCATCAAAACATAATCGGCAGATTTACTGGATAGCTTAATCGTGGAATTATTGTTCTTGCAGTTCAATGAATTCGCTATGATCTGTTATGAAGCGGCAGAAGTATTATCTTACGTGAGTTTCGCAGGTTTCTAGCTTGCAGATTCACACCATTACAATTACTCTAATAGATAAGAAAAATGAAATCTTTGGCTAAATACAAACTTATTATACAGTTGAATAAAAATGCTGTATGGATTCGTCTTGTTTATCATTTGATGTACTTTATTTTCCACAGTGGCGTAATATGCCAAAACTTAAATTTTTAGTGAAACCTAACCTGCTAGACAATACGATTGGAAACACAAATTTTTGAAAGTCTGACATTACAAGTCGAATGCATAAGTCAACGGATGCACTTCGTGTTGATAATGTTTGTAGGGTCTGAATGCGACTCTTAATTCCGACCAGACAATACTGACTAATGATAACGGTATGCTACACATTGAGCGAAACCAGTTTACCAAGAGTATCATCGGGAAAACACTGCACCTGAGCTTTCGCGACGCGAGTTTTCTACCGTCCGGACAGCGCAGACCGGAAATTGTCGTGCAGCAGTTCAATGCGCTTGCCAATGATTTCGTTGTGCGTCTCCCGAAAACTTTCTCGTACATGTTACGCGTACGTTCAGTCGTTGTTCAGTATGATGATTTTACATAGGACGTTTTCCACTATGACTCCGTCTCGCAAAGTTTAATTCCCGTTCCTGGTCGTTCCATTGAGTGGCCCAACGGCATCAAGCCGGTGGATCGCCCGGTGTGTGGTATGCGCGGTGAACTGTGCGGGACCAACTGGAAACCCGGCACTACTGTGGCCATTGTCATTGTGGCCGTTGTCGTCCTGGTCATAACCTTTATCTGGTATTATGACGCTTCGTTTGCCGCTAACTACTTCTCTGTCAATGCACAATTTACGGTTTCGCTTAGTTAAATTTTTTTACTGCATTTTTCAACTACAAATACTCCAGTTTTACAAATTTTTGTGTGAATACTCCAACGGTCGTCGTTTTTAGCTGCCGTATTCGAAGAGCCCGTCATGCAACGAGATGGTGGGAAATCAAGGAGGGCGGTCCGAGTACCGACGGCTACAGTGTACTGCCGGTGAAATCCACCAATCTGTCGTCCTTGTCGGCTAATCAAGACACTACAGCCAAACTTACACAACGTTTGTTTCTGGTGAATGGCGTTAAAGCCTACAGAAGGACGCTGCTGTGGGATCCACAATGGCAGTGTTCGGCTGGCAAAAGGCTGAACCAGTATTTACTCCAGGTAGACAGCTTGTAACGAAATTATTGCATCACTGCAGTCGCAGTGCGTGCCGATATGCTTTGGTCTATTGCCAACTTGATAATAAAGTGCTTGTAAAGTTACCTTTAAGCTTTAATAAATAGTCATATTAACCATTTATGTTATCACCCTCTTTCCCGAATTTTAAACTGGACAGCTATAAATTTGGCTGATTGTTTTACTTTACACATGACACCTAACAGGTTTTATATTTGAGCAGCAAAGCCAACCTCTCTTCCTTATAATGAAATCCGCTGAATTTGCTTGTTTCTTCGCAGTTGAAAAGACTAGATCATGAAAATATCAACGCTTTTGTTGGACTATCAATTGACATCCGCCCGCCGACAATCTATTTCCAATTCTGCTCCAAGGGATCCGTAGAGAATCTCATGGAAAACGTTACCATCGATTACACTCTCAAATTATCCCTCATCCAAAATTTAATTGCGGTGCGCTTACTTTTCCTGAAATGGAACAATAATAGCATTATTTTATTATTGTTTATTATTCCTGGTAGGGATTATCTTACCTTCATCTGTCGGCGATTAAATTACACGGCAACCTGCAGAGCAGCAAGTGCTTAGTCGATCATTACTTTACGCTGAAGATCTCCGATTATGGGCAAGAAAAGCTGAGTGTGCTCTTGCGGAAGAAGCAGCTGCGGCATTTGCGCTGGGAGTTGACGGTGAAGCGGCCTTTCTTCCCGGTCAACGTTTGGATGGCGCCGGAAGTAATGAGAGGCCACGCACCGATGCCGGCTTGTGATGTTTATGCTGCGGGAATTGTTTGCCATCAGATTGTTATGGAATGTAGCGCGTTTGGGTTGGACTGCTATGGAACACGATGGGAGTCTTTGATGGATATTAAAGCACTGACCATCAATGGTAAATCGGTAAATTAAAGCGTACTGAAAGCTTCAAAACTAAGACATATTTTACTGACTACCGTTTGGAAAGATAAAACCTAAAAATTTAAAAACGGCGTTCCTAGCCAAAAAAGCGAAAGCACTAGTTTTTGCTTGCTGATGCAAACAGGAATGCAGCTACCGCAGGGCAATTATTTTAACAGAAGTTATAAAGAGAATACGCACCGGACAAGTTCCGCCATTTCGTCCCTCGTTTCCCGAAGAGTTTCGAGAAGGAAACTGGAAACTTTTGATGGATTTAATTGTCCGGTGTTGGACCGAAACACCGGATACCCGGCCTAACAGTGCCGATCTCAACAAAGAACTGGCCAAATTATGCAGCGCATTCGATGGGTTTTCGGGCCCATTACTGGATCGCATACTGCGGCGGCTAGAAAATTACTCCACCGCGCTAGAGCGAAAGGTCGCTGATAAAGTGTACCAAGTCCTTGAAGAACAAGAGCGCTGTGATGAGTTGCTGAAGGAGATGTTGCCCAGGTATGCGGAGCAGAAATACCACTGACACAGGCAATTACGGCGTTACCTCCGTTAACCGTTTTGCAGTCCTGTCGTACAGCAACTGCGGCAAGGTCGCGTGGTCGTGCCGGAAGTGGTGGAGGAGGCCACTGTGTTGTTCTGTGATATCGAAGGGTTTGCGGAGTTTGTGACGGTTTCGACAGCGGAAAAGGTCTTTCGGTTCCTGGATGCGGTGTATGTGCTGTTCGATCGGGTGGTAACGACACGGTCAGTCTACAAGATGGAGACCATCAGCAGCTGCTATATTGTAAGTTTGAAGTGCTAATAACTACCAGTTAGTGTAATACTATTACTGGATGTCGCCAATGCACGAACTACGAAGTAATTATGCTGCAGCTTTCACTTACTTCATACAGAAAAAAGCTCTTCTAATAACGTGCAGTTTTGTCTCTCGCGCAACATAAAAGTCATTACGAAACTGAGCTGGGCAAATCGATTTTGCTAAGAGGCATTACTTTTTGACAATGTTGCAGGTGGTTAGCGGATTGGTGCTGCAGCTCGGAACCCATCATGCAGAAGAAGTGTGCCGTACCGCACTGGCTCTGCACCAGACTTTCCGGGAGAACTGCGCCATCTACAATATGGAGTTTTCCGCTGGCATCCACAGCGGTCCGGTTGCAGTTGGTGTCGTCGGCGCAAAACGTCCACGATATTGTTTGTAAGTGGTTATTTTTGGTACAAACATTGTTGTGGTTACGTTTTCAAGAATATTACTGTATGCTGATTATCGTGATGCAGATTCGGCGACACGGTTAACGTTGCCTCCAGAATGCAGGCCAGCAGTCAGCCGTCCTGCATCCATGTCAGCGGTAAAACCGCCAGCATTACCAATGCACCGGAATGTGCCTTTGAGTTGCGGGGAACTATGGAAATCAAGGTTATTACTAGTACTCTCAGAGGCTGTTGGATGTGTTCGGCAACGGACGGGAATAATGTGAGCGCTGACTGTATTGTTTGTAGGGTAAAGGGGAAATGATCACGTATTGGCTCGTGCAAGCGGCTGGACAATCTTGAAGCGTAATTGTGCTGCTTCAGGCTTATCATTCTTTACTTGTGTGAAGTGGCATTCGGATCTTAGATGGTCATCCTTTTTTTATTCTTTGGAAAGAACGGGAAATAAATCTGGGCGGAAACACGCAGAGAAATGCTAATGCAAGCCGCTTGATGCGGCGATGATCGCTGACCGACCATTATCGCAGCAAAGCAACAAAAAGCTTGCCACGCTGCAACGATACCGGCTGCTTCGTGATTTTTACACACAACATGAACAAACGCCTACCCCAGCTATTTCAACCCATACTGTAGCACACTTCTTCGGTTCTTTCTTTGACAAAAAGTAATGATTGTGTGTTTCACTTAGAAGATCGTGCCGGCATTTGTATTTAAATGAGTAGTTGCATAAGGCCTCATTGACTTTGAAGCATTTTGCTGGATTCACCGATACCAGCATCATGGCGAACAGCCACAGCTTGTAAAGGTTACACGCAAAGGAACCCAAATGCCGCAGCTTAGAAGTTGTCATTGCAATAGACTACGAGTCAACGTTGACTCGATCAAAGCTGACAAAAAAATTTACCCCAGAATTATTTCATCAGTAAATGGCAATGCTTTTCTACATAATTTGTTAAATGACTGCTGTAGCGCTTTTAGTTCCTCATGGATTAAAATTAGGCTGACCATAAGTTTAATCAGCACAACTTACCATAGTTTTGCGTACGTATAACGTCGACGACTTAAATATCCGTACTGGAGCACAAGAATGGCCATGAAAACTAAAATCCTCCCTGGCCCAAAATTTCCTGTAAGAAGCACGGCTCTAGACTTTCTAACAGTCGCGGGACTTACGGAAGAGAGTCAGATCAGAGAGCAGGAACATGTTGGCAGCCGCTGGTATGATTATTATCCGGTTATAATATAGCAAATATCTCAGCAGTGTTAATAAGCCAAATACGTAAAGCTGTGTCTTAGAATTGGATGCCCTCTGGATCTGGATAAAATTCCTGCATGGAAACGCCCAAAAATGATGTAATATCTTTATTGATATCTCCGAAATAAAAATAATGCACGGGTTCAAATGCACGGAAGTAATTCGATAATTTCGGTCAACCCGGCTCTGAATGGAAATGATAGCATGTGCAAACTGCAGTGTTTATAGAATTTTAAACATCTGACGTTGATTGTACATGTCATGTTCCAATTATTGCTTGAACGTTGACGTGAAAGCAGTCCTATCTGGAGAATGTTTTCGATTTAAATTTTCGATTAATAATTCGCATTCTTTCCACCTGCTGCGTTGCTGCGTCTACTGCATTGTGCGTCCATTCTCCGAGCAGGAAGCAAATGGCAAATCTCGCAAATTGAGAACGGGAATATTTAGCTTCCATCTTCAAAGCCCTGTTGTTGACGAGTAACATAAGCTACAGATAATGAATTTGCCACGGAAATTACTAACCGAAAGGTCGCCAAAGGGATGTAGCTCCACTGTGTGCACTCGACGCTTTATTAACTAACCGACATTGCCTTAAAGCGCAGGCATTACATTGCTTTGATGTTGAGAAACTTCCATCAGGAAAGTACTGCACTCGAAAGATTAGAGAAAGAAGCACTTTGTCGTATTAATCCGCTCGTATCGTCTGCAATCCTCAGACAGCCTTCGAGTTCCAACTTTTGCTGACGGAGCGTTTACTGGTGTGCCACTTTCCTTTCGGCATGGTAATGAGTGGAATGATGAACAACAGTTCAATATCGAACAATACCGCGGACGTATGTGATACGGCCGCCAACCGAATAATGTGGACATCCGACAGTATATCACTATTATTAATTTTTTTCATGACCTTTGCGCTGAACGGAATTGTACTGATATATTATCTCACAAACATTCGTTTGCTTAAGGATTTTCATGTCTATGTCTTTGCGCTTCTGAGCTACAACTTTTTTTATGCACTTTGTTTTGGACCGCCGGAAATGGTCAACCACTTATTCGCTGTCTGGTGCTGGGGTTCAAACTGGTGCACGTTTCGTATTTATCTTGGGAATGTCATACCGATGTGCCAGTTTATCTCGCATACAATTGTAGCTGTTAGCCGCTCTTGTGCGGTGATATTTCCGGTGCAGTATCGGCAACACCATAGCACACGGGTCGCCATTGCATTAAGCGGTCTCTGCTTTACAGCCGCTCATTTTATTATCGTACCGGGTGTTGTTACTGATGCGCTGCTCTACAGGCGGCCGGAAACGATAGCAGGCTGCGTGTTGAATTTTAAAACGGCACCAACGCAGCGCGCGTGGGTTTATTTCGATCAAACTTTCATAATCGTTCTTGTATTCACTGTAATATTTCAGTATCCAGCCGTCTTACACATTCGTTGGAAGCGTTCACGAAAACGGCGCCGGGTTCAAGACACCAACAGGCGGAACACCGGTAACGAAACATTCGTGTTGTCAGCTTCGCTCTGTGTACGGGAGAGTAGGATTGTGTAGCATAAACGACAACGAAAACGAACAACACGGTCAATTCCCTTCGTGATGTGGCGAGTATTACTGGAAGTACAGATACAAAGTCTACGGTACTCGTATAGAGTCATAATAATGTGATGTTGCAAAGGAAACTCATACATTAAATAAGTACACGATGGAAAGACATTAGGCAGGAACAACTCTCGCACAACCACAAAATAATGTGCTGGGATTGTCCTATAGGAAGTTGGCGGGGAAAGGTTAACAAGAAGGTCGGAAAGTGTCCCAATTAGGAGTGTGCAACGTAGACTTCCATGCTTAAACAAATAATGAGTAAAACGTTGTCTACTCTGCTTGCATGCTAAAAGCGTGTTTTGTCAACATTATATTTTTCAAACAAATTCAAGAAATCGGTGGTGAGTGCTTGGGAGTTAAACTATCGGGAATGAATAAGTATCATGATGCATGGCTAGCAGCGCTCTGTAATAAGATTAAATTTGGCCTTTGAAAATATTTTCGGGAATGTCTTCTGAGCTGTAATTTTGTTGCAGCGTTAACTGCATCTTGGTTGTGCGTTGTATAGGGTCGACATGAACAGAGCGGTTAGCTTGTAATTGCAAATCAGTTCGCTAAAGGTCACGCACTTCCATAAGCCGTCAGTTTCAAGCGTCTGAGCGGGATAAATTGCAGCGTCCCTATTCAGAATACTGAAATGTCTGGTGAACTCTGTCTGTAGTTTAATGCAGCACGACCCAACACAGACTGATGGTCTCACATTGATGACCATACGCTATCAACATGGTTACTATACTACGCCACACCCAGTAAAGCTAGAAAAATATTATTTGGTAATGAGAATGTAAGCTATGTTCTATTCGAATATATTGTATACTACTGCAGCGTTGTCATTTACAGATAGTAAAATCCAACCGCTTAACGAAACGTCGGCACCGTCAAATAACAAACAAAGGAAGTCGCAAAGCAACGCCTTCTTACTGCTAACCATACTAACCGCCAGTATTTGCATTTGCTGGACGCCTATCGTTATCCTCTTGCCCTTGTTAACGTTTGTGCAAGATTACACGGTCCTGTACTGGATGCTGACGTTAAACAGAATACAGCCCATAGTGGATCCCATAATCTTTACCCTCTCGTTGCCGGATCTTCGTCCGTTAGTCTTTTGGCGGCTTAACTGTTGTTGAACGATAAAGCCAAATGTTTATCTTTGTCAGCGCTAACGATGGTTGTTAGTTAACAATGAGCACAACGATTCAAAGTTACAAATTTTGCTACAATTGCTATACTACATGTAAATTGTCCCTTCATATATAAACTGGCAAAATTTTTATTTGATTCGTTTTTATGTGACGTAGCCACTTGAACCGTGACGAATAAACATCACATCGTGATGATGATTACGAGTGCGTGCTTCCTTGAGCATATGTTTCATATAATTGAATGACTGAACTGACCATAATGTGGTGTGAACAGTTACTACTACCCTACTTCTTTGCGGTTACTTGGATCAGCATTTTGCTTTTTGCCAATTTGAAATTTATTAAAACTTTATTAACATTTCATTTATCGTTGCAAAGCACTACAAACGCTTCTAGCTCGAGCAGATTATCACAAAATGTGGCAATAAACCTGTTTCACAATTATGTAATATTAAAGCGATCAGATGTTAGTTACGTTAATTAAATTCTACCGTAATTTCAAATTAAATTAATGTTTTCTTTAAAATTTTCTTGGTAAAACGTCGGGCGCTCCAGGATAACTACATAAACACGTTTTCTAGCGAGATCAGTAGCATGGCATGTTCGGCATACCTCCTTATAGTTTCTCATAATCTTCATGTGGCTATTTATGTAGCAATTCGTGCTAGCGCCAGTGCACAACATATATATTTGCCAACCGAATAATATGCAGTACATTTACTCCTTACTCAGTATGCTTTTTTTCGCTTTACCGTAGACCCGCGTCACTTTGCACTACTTTGAAGTACTGTATTTTTCTTATTAAAGAGTCATGAGTTACGCTCGTTGGAGGGCAGTGGTAGTAATTAACCACTAGTTTAATTCAGTCAAAGCAGGATGCTCGCCGGGCGGAAATACGCCGCGATCCAGTAGAGAGACTGCATGATCTGGCGGCGGAGTTTGATTTTTGCATCGTCGATGCAGACTGCACGCTGAAATCGTTTAAAAAATCACTGTAGAGGCTAACCAGCATCGCCGTGGTACAAAAAGATAACTGGAAAAGTGTCCCAGTCCCGGTCCAAAATTGTGTACTCCGAGTTGAAATCAAGCATTTGCTAATTAGCATTTGTTTTACTGATACAGGATCATAATTAATTTCCTCCGACTGCGTCGATTGACAATACGACATCCGTCGATTATGTAGTTATAAGATGGAGAGCAGTTAACGCCGGCTATCAAAGATTTATGGTTATAACTGCAGACGCATATATGCGTCTGCAGTTATAACCATAAATCATATATATGGTCCCATGCTGATGGGACATGTTGTGCGTCGTGTATTTGTGTGGATGACATAAG